TGACATCGAAGAGATTATCAAAAGTTATTAAAACACGATTTTAATCCTTATTTTCATTTATCAGTCAGCAAAATAGGAAAAAAACTGATGAATTATGTTTTGGAAAAAATATTCCATATTAAATGTCAAGTCTGTATAAGGAGTCATTTGCAACTACTACATGTAGGCTCATACTTTTTATGAATGAATCCACTTGATACAATTAGTCAAATACCAGATAAAATAAGATGCAGTGTACTATATACACATTTTAGTCAACATATCCCCCCCCCCCAAAAAAAAAAAAAAAAAAAAAATATATATATATATATATATATATATATATATATATATATATATATATATATATAGTGCTAATAATAAAAATATCGGACCCATTCTCCAGTCCCCAATAAGGAATAATAAAAAAAAAGACACCTTGGGTGCATTCAATCTTCAATGCCCCAAATTAGACATCTCATTGGATCATTTGCCATTTGCTGTTGATAAGGAAGATTTAAGAAAATAAAGAGCAAAAAAATAAATTCTGTTGCAATAATATTCAGGTTAAACTGTATATGTATATTGTCGGACCATAATGTGTCAATTCTGCTGAACATGTTAGATGTAACTTCAAGTAATTAAATGTGACCTAAAACGGATACGGCAATTTAACCTCGCAATCACTTAATGTATTTGGGTATTGTGTTACTGTAGGTCTTATGGACCGTTTCCATAACCCTATCGTTCTAGCTTGATCTGTCTACCTCCTGATTGATTCTCCCTAAATTGCATTCAGTTTAAGCGGTTGCAGATCAGGGAATATGTTATCAAAGGTGATTAGTGAAAAAACGATATTAATTAATACAGTGGGAGCCTCGAAATTTTATTTAGCCGAAGGGCATGCAACAGGCATATTACACCTAGGCATGTATCCTCAGTTAAGGTCGCACATTTATGATTTGTAACCATCTGGGAAAAAGTTGTACTTACGGAAAAAAAGGGAAGATTAAAATTGTGTATATTTAGGTGCAAGACAAATTCGCAATTGGATTTGTTTTTGAAAGGCAAAATTCCATAGTATGGGGGTAAGCGCGTCCGCTGAACACGGAAGGTTTGCCAAGATATGCAGAGAACTACCAATGTTTATCTTTCATTTTTTTATTTCTCAGAATTATTGATAAAGAATACATCATAAGCAAATCACCTACGTTGAAAACATTTGTCAGCAACGCTAACAAATGCCTTATATAATGCATAACGGAAATTATAATGACGTATCAATAGCGGAAGCTAGCTATCGTTGTCCTTACTGAATGCTTAAAATTTATGATCGTCATAAAATCGACCTAACCCAAATCAAACCTGGTTTGCCTGCCTTAAAAGTTGATTTTTAACATATTTAGCTAAAAGCCGATTGCACCGGTCTATACTGGCCAGATATCCCCCTCCCTCCTCGAGCATCGAGTGTACATAGATGTGTTGTCAGCAATCTCCTTGCTGTTTTACATTCTGAGTCACTCTCTCTCTCTCTGTGTGTGTGTGTGAGTGTGTGTGTGTGAGAGAGAGAGAGAGAGAGAGAGAGAGAGAGAGGGTGGGTGACATTCTTTCCGAGCACAGCAACGTTTGAGGGAGGGGAGCGTCACTTGCAACGCTGGGAAATGTTGAAACTATGGTGCAAATAATGAAATATACGCTTTTCGCCCCCAGTGCTGTTTTGTCTCCTCTTTGGGCCCCGTAAATCAGTGGAGCTCAGTATTCACGTTTTGTTGCTGCAGGTGTGGAGGTGCATAGCGTAAAAAGTACTATCTGAAGCAATTCACACATTTAAATAATTTCGAGTGTTCATCCCCGGAGCTGGATAACCGATTTTTTTAAAGATGGTGGGGGTGGGTCTAACTGATAAGCAATCGCATTAGCTAACATTACTATTAAACATTTATGCTAACGGTTAATTTATACCACTAAAAAAAGCTTAGCTGCAGTATAAGTTTGAAATAGGAAATTCGTTTCAAGGAAAAAAGGGTTCGAATTAACAAAATGAGATAAATCGCTACCCTTCGATATCAGGAACCTCCAAAAAAAAAAAAAAAAAGTATCCAAATTAAAGTATAAGGCCGATACAATAATTTTGTAACAGACTATTAGTGGACCCTGTGGTCAGAGAGTAATTAATTACTGTTGGTTCAAAGTACTGACCTTCCACTGGTGCAGCTATCTGAATCCAAGTCAGTAGTGCAAGCAACGTTAACAAACCGACAGAATTCCTTACGATGACCATGGTTACCACCTCAGTGCTTGTCTTCATATACAATGCTTGGTACTTTGTTTTATGTCTGTTAAAAACAACGCTGAAGCGGTAACGATCTAATTCACGTAGTCTACTGCATTCAATTGATGCTAACCTAGTGCGATTTTTTTTTCGCAGCGTCGGTCGCTGATGCCTCAGGGAAACATGGTTCCACAAATGCAGTTTTTTTTCACATGGCGAGGTTTATGGGAAAACAATGAAAAACAAACGAGAGGCACGCGAGTCTCGGTGATGTCAGAATAACCGCTCAGAGAGAGAGAGAGAAAGGGAGAGAGGTTTAAAGGGTGCATTCTAACTCTAGTGCGTGTGTTTGGTTATACCTATCGATGACCATTTTTTTTATGTACCAGGGCCGTAGCCTGAGCAAAATGCCAGGGGGGGCAGTAAGCGGACACGAGGGGGCGAAGGCCGTGTGAGGGGGGAGGGGGTGGGAGGGGGTGAAAATCTCTAAAAACTGTATGTATAATACTGCATTCTGGTGCATTTTAACTGTTATTTATTGCTCAATCAGAAGTAAGAAATTGTGGGTTCATTTTGCCATAAGTACAGTCATTTTTTCAACACAACACGCCAATTGGACTTCATTTCGTAGATTGTCTCAGGATCAGGAATATGTTTCTTCCTCTGTGGACAAGCAAGAGAGCCAATCCGCCAAGGCGTTCCTCTGCCTTTGTAAACAGATTGTTGAATGATTGTCTAGTGGCCATGAGTGCATTTTCTCACAGAATTGATACCAACTTTGCAATTATTATTTTTTTTTTACCTTTGCGATTATTTTTTGGACCTCAAATCCCAGGGGGGCAGCTGCCCCCCCTGCCCCCCCGGAGGCTACGGCCCTGTGTACGTAGTTGAGAAACATGATACTTGTACATGAACCATTATCGGGTATCTTTTGAAGGTCATTTTTAATTCCCTAGCGGCGAGTCCGTTGATTATTTTTACTGTCTCGGAAGCTCACGACAATTTACTATATAATTTAGATAACCGATAATAGGTCTAGTTCTGATGCTCAAATTCTAACTACTTACTCCCTGGATATAAGATCAACGTGCTTGTTTCCTATTTTAGATGACCCTATACAATGCTAAACCCACAAGATCAACTTGTGTTTAAGCGCCTCAGGAAAATGCTCCTCCGGATCTATTCTCAATGGACTTTTAGTTTACTATGCCGTTTACGACGATATCGTCAGTAGCCTACCCTGAAACCCGTGGTTGACCGACAGGTCCACTTAACGATATTAGTATCATCGAATATTATACCTTACTCAGGGTGCAACTTTTTTGCCACTTCAAATAAGTAAAGCGTAGGCAACATCGCACGAGTACATAACTCTTTTGCCGTTTGCCTAATGAAAATCCCATCATCAGCATAGGAAACAGGATTATTTATGACCTTGTTCTGTTACTTTATTTCTTTATGGTACCCAGTTCATAAAGCATCACTATGTCACAGCTAGGACTCACCGGTGTACCAGCTTGTTTCCGGCTTGTTATCCTCACCGTTACCAATAACCAGCCGTGTTACATTACAAACGAGAGTGCAGACCTCCCCCAAGGCAGCAGTTTTTGATTATTATTGATTATTCATTGATTATTGATCAGATCACCACCAAAAACTTATCATCTGTTCTTTGGCCCACTTCTGACAGTTCCTGAAAATTTCATCAAAATCGGTCCATAACTTTTTGAGTTACGTTGATGACAGACAGACAGACAGAAAGACAGGCAGACAAACAAACAAACAGGGGTGAAAACATAACCTCCTTGGCGGAGGTAATAATATATATTTTTAATAATGCGAGATCAGTAAAATCAGTTTTTATATCAATATAGGCGTGCTGACAGAACACTGAATTAATATGTTTGTATCCCTATGTGTGTACATGTGAGTACGCACCTTTGCACTTTCTTACCGAAAACTTATCCTCTACCAGGGTGGCAGATATTAAAGGCAAATTTTCCAAAAGCCAGAGACAGAAAGTCAAATGACCGTCTATTTATCTAAAGAAATATATGTGATTATCTTGAGAAAAATCAATCTGTCACCCTGGTAGAGGGTACCGATAACTTACACTCTACCAGGGCCGCGGATTAACTATGTTCACTATTCTCCTTCTCAGAGCAAAAAAGTTCCATCAATTTTCCAGAGACGTATCGCTGAATATCTAGTGAAAATCAATATATTGCCTTGGTAGAGGGTACATTTACCTTATGCCTTCTTAGAGTACACACTGGCCCAACATGGTAGGGAATTTTATTCCCAAATTCTGGTGAATGATTGCCTCTTATCTGAAGTTGATACCAACGTCTTTTTACTGTTCGATATTTATATATATGTTTGCCACATTTAGATATGCTANGTTTCTTCCTCTGTGGACAAGCAAGAGAGCCAATCCGCCAAGGCGTTCCTCTGCCTTTGTAAACAGATTGTTGAATGATTGTCTAGTGGCCATGAGTGCATTTTCTCACAGAATTGATACCAACTTTGCAATTATTATTTTTTTTTTACCTTTGCGATTATTTTTTGGACCTCAAATCCCAGGGGGGCAGCTGCCCCCCCTGCCCCCCCGGAGGCTACGGCCCTGTGTACGTAGTTGAGAAACATGATACTTGTACATGAACCATTATCGGGTATCTTTTGAAGGTCATTTTTAATTCCCTAGCGGCGAGTCCGTTGATTATTTTTACTGTCTCGGAAGCTCACGACAATTTACTATATAATTTAGATAACCGATAATAGGTCTAGTTCTGATGCTCAAATTCTAACTACTTACTCCCTGGATATAAGATCAACGTGCTTGTTTCCTATTTTAGATGACCCTATACAATGCTAAACCCACAAGATCAACTTGTGTTTAAGCGCCTCAGGAAAATGCTCCTCCGGATCTATTCTCAATGGACTTTTAGTTTACTATGCCGTTTACGACGATATCGTCAGTAGCCTACCCTGAAACCCGTGGTTGACCGACAGGTCCACTTAACGATATTAGTATCATCGAATATTATACCTTACTCAGGGTGCAACTTTTTTGCCACTTCAAATAAGTAAAGCGTAGGCAACATCGCACGAGTACATAACTCTTTTGCCGTTTGCCTAATGAAAATCCCATCATCAGCATAGGAAACAGGATTATTTATGACCTTGTTCTGTTACTTTATTTCTTTATGGTACCCAGTTCATAAAGCATCACTATGTCACAGCTAGGACTCACCGGTGTACCAGCTTGTTTCCGGCTTGTTATCCTCACCGTTACCAATAACCAGCCGTGTTACATTACAAACGAGAGTGCAGACCTCCCCCAAGGCAGCAGTTTTTGATTATTATTGATTATTCATTGATTATTGATCAGATCACCACCAAAAACTTATCATCTGTTCTTTGGCCCACTTCTGACAGTTCCTGAAAATTTCATCAAAATCGGTCCATAACTTTTTGAGTTACGTTGATGACAGACAGACAGACAGAAAGACAGGCAGACAAACAAACAAACAGGGGTGAAAACATAACCTCCTTGGCGGAGGTAATAATATATATTTTTAATAATGCGAGATCAGTAAAATCAGTTTTTATATCAATATAGGCGTGCTGACAGAACACTGAATTAATATGTTTGTATCCCTATGTGTGTACATGTGAGTACGCACCTTTGCACTTTCTTACCGAAAACTTATCCTCTACCAGGGTGGCAGATATTAAAGGCAAATTTTCCAAAAGCCAGAGACAGAAAGTCAAATGACCGTCTATTTATCTAAAGAAATATATGTGATTATCTTGAGAAAAATCAATCTGTCACCCTGGTAGAGGGTACCGATAACTTACACTCTACCAGGGCCGCGGATTAACTATGTTCACTATTCTCCTTCTCAGAGCAAAAAAGTTCCATCAATTTTCCAGAGACGTATCGCTGAATATCTAGTGAAAATCAATATATTGCCTTGGTAGAGGGTACATTTACCTTATGCCTTCTTAGAGTACACACTGGCCCAACATGGTAGGGAATTTTATTCCCAAATTCTGGTGAATGATTGCCTCTTATCTGAAGTTGATACCAACGTCTTTTTACTGTTCGATATTTATATATATGTTTGCCACATTTAGATATGCTAATGTAAATATGTTATCATGTGTGGCATCCTCTTTTGTTGACTTTAATAAACCCATTTAAATAAGTCAGTTAGGAAATTCACTTAATTGTGTTGAAAGCATCTTTTTATCCCTTAATTGTGTCGTTAAATATTCATAAGTATCATAAACACACAAAGATAGTTTTGAAACATTTATTGGTCCTAAAAACATAAACAAACTAGAGGATCAGAGAGGCGATACCGCCTCCTGGTATTGTACCACCAGTTGGAGCAAGCGCATTCGTATGGGAAAGAAAAATGTAACGTGACAGAGAGTCCCCCATAACAGAGAGTCCGCTTCCCTTTCATTTTTACAGGTGAGACTCGCCCCAGATTTTGACCCACTTAGGTCAGGCTAACCCTAACCAATTATAATTATATGGAGGGCAGACTTTCTGTAACACGGACCTTCAGTTTCGTTACACCAGCGGAACTGTACGAGACGGGTCGGGGCTAAAACCTTGAGTACCGTCAGCGTACACGCTGGTGGTACTAACTAGACTAAATTACAACAAATAAAAAACATCTTTACCTCTTTTGTATAAACATACTCATTAAGGGTAACTATGTTCTTTTCTGAGACATTTTGATTAAAATAGGTATGAAATAAAGGGAACTGATAGGGATCAAAACAGATGATAAATACATTCGTATGCGTTGATTGAAAGATGAATCCATAAGTCCGGATATAATTTCTTTTGATTTTACAGTTATGATGCAACAGCAGTTATCCTTTTTTCCAGTCGTTTAATAAGGCAAAGTTGTCTTATTATCCATTTCTTGCTTGACTACCGTAAGAAGTCTACATGGATGACCAGGGAAACAAGATGACTTTCAGCTGGACAGAAACTCGTGGCATTGTGCAACTCATAACCTTTATTTCAGAAGTTTTTAAAACAAAACACATACCGAATAAAAAGAACTTTAGAATAAAATATATAATATTGAATAAAAACTATATATTAGAAATCCTTCGAGATCAAAATAATTCTACAATACACCAAGGAGAACAGCGTGCCTATATTACAAATTTTATACATGATTTCAAGTGGTTCAGATCAATGACAACTCTTATGTTTTTCATCTGAGCCCGCATGGGTCCATTGCGTGATCTATATATGATGATAGTTGGAGAGAATTAAGAATGGTGTTGAAAGTGACAGAGTATCACTTCGTCCATTCAGGTTGCATGCTTCCATATTCCTTTGTCTCTTGACCAGGAGCAGCTGGATCACGGGATTTTTCTATAATATAAGAAACACTGACATATTGGAGGGTGTGAGATACATGTACTCGTGTAATGGCGCGTTTATTCGGTCTCTGTAATGCTAGAAGCTGATGCCTCAAGGGAAGCGTGACTCCATTGTTTTAACATTTTATAGTGTAATTGAGTACATAAAGCAAAGTAGTAAACTAGCAACTTTTCCGGTAGAACGGGTCACATAAATATGTAACGTGTGTGTATGAGAGAGAGAGAGAGAGAGAGAGAGAGAGAGAGAGAGAGAGAGAGATTTGGGTGTTCCAAGTAATATACATTCCTCCGTTTAAGTAAGTAAAGTTTTTAACTGTAATACATTGCGAGTTTTAGTCATATTCTATATACTTTACGTACGAATTTCTCCATGCAGCCCCTCACGCCTATTGATTGCTTTGTAGACAAGCACACCTAATACAATGACAACCGCCCTTGCCAAAACAGCCAGCGTACAGCAGGTTAGCGTTACGATCTCCAGTTCAAAAGTTGCCGTTGATAGAAATTCATTCCCCACCTATTTTAACATTTAAAGAAAAGAAGCACACACTTTAATAAATTGCTTAAAACGGAGATTTTCACTTTTGATTTATATCTTTGAGAAATTGTATTGATAGGTAAAGATTGATTTAAAATGGTCTTACAAGACAAACAAGATAATACTACTCTCTGACCACAGGTTGCGCTAGCAGTCCGTTACAAAAATTTCAATGGCATACAGTGAAATTTTGTATACTATTTTAGGAGCCCCTGATATCAGAGAGTAAGATATTACCCGGTAGATGTATACAGGCATAGAACTGAAACATCTTTACCTTTATGAAATCGTAAATAATAAACGCTGGTTCTATCAACAAGAGTAGCACCAACACAAGCCAAGCCAAACTCCTACTTTTTCTTTGCACCTGGAAAAAAATATTAAGGCGAAGAGGAAAACGTTTCGTTAATAAAACAGCCTACATGCAATCGTAGATTTAAAAAGGCTGTCCTTTTAGCTCAACATACGGTCACTCTATCAAAGACTAAACACTAAGCAATTTTCAACAAAGGTACAGGGATGCACATATTCTATTCAACTTGACAATCTATACAGAAATTTATTTCGAAAAATGTTATTTTAGAAGAAAATCATTCGGTATGCGGTGGCTATATCAAGAAGACAAAATAATAGGAGAGATATGGAAAACTTAAGGTATCACCTACTGCGAAATATGTTAAAATCCTCAATGCTACAGTTAATGCAAACCCAACGACAATTCCAACTGTTCCGCCTACTTCGGAATTGTATCCACGGCGTAATAGTAGAACGCACACGCTTAGCTGCAAGGACAGGGGAGATATCATCACTTATTTGTGGTAGGCCTATGTTGTGGTATTTTATTACAAGATATCTGTATCTTCATTGCCATGTGCATTTAGGGCACTTTTTCATAAAAAAATTATCGTTGCACGGCCATTTTCCAAATTGAATATATTGGATCACGTGCAGGTTTTTAAACATTTTTGAAAAAACAAGTAAATCCAGTTTAGAGTTTTTACTCAACCACTTTAAGAATAATGTTTCAAAGATATCTATTTTAAATGTACTTTAAAATGCAAAGCATCTAACATACCGCCATTTGCATATCAACAGTGAGCGCGGGTTCAAACAGGAAAACCAGCTTGGTAGCATGAACCACCTCTGTCTGCGCCGATTTGACCGTGCGAAAAATAAAATCTCCGTGGTCGTAATATTCGTGAGTAACCCACATGCCAAGCCCCAAAGTGACGGCGGAGAAGACGACGGTTACGATAAGTCTGGCCTGTAAAGCAATTTTTAGATAACCAATAAAAATTTGAAGTCATTTTAACAAAAATATAATGTGGTGACCTCATTTAAATCAGTTAAAATCGTTTGTAAAATCTTTTCTGTATTTCCCGTAACAACAAATACATACTCACTAGTTTCACTATAAAGAGTGTTCTGTCGGGAGCGTTGACCATTTGAGTAAATTTTAGTCCGAAGTTTGTGGACACATATGCAAGCAGCAAGATATTTGCACCACAAAATATAGCAACTTCATATGGCTTTTCTCGGAGGACTCCGTTCAGAGCATACCAGCCGCAGAAAACTGAAGAAAAGAAACAGTTTTGCCGAAACAGGCATCATTCACACACAGTGAGCAATACGGACACGATTTTAAAACGAACGACACACACAACTTTACAAAAATCAATAACAGACAGTTTGACATAGGCTAACCAGCAAGACAAAGATAAATATATGTGCCATTTTTTCTACTTAAAGAGGGCCAATCATATAAATTAATAATGATTACATGCACTAGAAACAGCATTGGTCTGATTTACAGATAATACGAGTCACACTGCTTTTTTAAAACATAAAATACACAAGTATGGTGTATGCATAGATAAAAAACTATACTTACATATGTTGAAGAGAAGTAGAAGAGCAAATGTCCAATCGTCACCATTTAAAGTGGCGAGGCCATAAATCACGAATCCCAAAGCTGCTACGAGACCAAACGTAGACACTATTACAAATGCCTTTTCTTTCCTTTCAAGTGGACCCCATCTACGCACAAGCAGCTGTCAACAGAAAGAAAATGACATAGTGATACGTATCTTCAATTGAATATTTACCTAAACTATATACCATATACTGAATAAACTAGACTAGCTCTGATATTATATTGTTAAAAAGTGGCACAAACGGAGATATTTGCAAATCGGCCTCACATGCGCTAGTCCGTGATCACAAAAACACTGAAAATACTGGCACACGCTTCTTAATTTTCGTCGGTGCATTGAAATTTCGTGGGATGAAGAAATATCTATTGTTAGATAAGTCTCCTCTTGTGAAATGAAAAAAGACTTAATTCTTATAAATCATTTTATTCAAAAGCAAAAATTAATTCATCATCATAACATCGCCCTCGCCTGTTAAATCCTAACATATCTTGCTTATTTGTATAAATGCGGAAGTACGGTTTTATAATGACGTTTTATGCTTACTGTTCTCGATGCAAATGGAATATCCAGGGTATATAATATATGTTGTGCTGTGTATTCGCCAAGCTTGCTATCTGTATGGTTAAGCTGGCATCACTGCCACATGCACAATAACAATACCCCAACCGTCTCTTCAATATCTATCTATCTATCCATCTATCTATCTACCTATCTATTGAACCTTTCTCGCTTTCAGCAGCTTGAAATTTCCAGGAGAACAACGCTTTGCAGGCTTGACTTTATTAGTGTTCTCACCTTTTCCGGCTTATTAAGCATATAAAGGCCACCATATTGTTCACTGCTGCATTCAGTAAGACAGTGATAAAGCCAACACATGTCATCATCTACGTATCTTAGCTCTGTAATCACTTCTATTAGACAAATTTTCTTGACTTGTATTACACTGTACTGGTTTAGATTTAAAGCAAAAGTAGCCTATGTAGTTTTGGTATTTGAAAAGCATCGTTTTCTCTCTCGTGCACATCCAAGTGCAAATCTTTCACTCTACAGTGACTGAGTCACGTTCAAAGCAAAATTGAGTGAACATATTGACCGTATGGCCACAGCTAAGCACGCATACTCCTACACACTTTGGCATCAGAATCACGATTAAATAGATAAAACATTTACACCTGGATTTTACTTACCGTGCCACAACATATAAGCCTGTCTCTCCGTTCTGCACCATATGTGAACAGGGCTTCTTCATCACTCTCTTTGCTGTCCATTGCTGTTCTACCAGTGTGCTCCCAGGGTTTACATGGAGCAAGGAGATAATCTATCTCTTTGCATGGAGCTTTCGTTTTTTTGCCTCAGATTAAATTCCGATATCTAATCATAGGTTCAAGGACCAACTAATGCAAAACACCGCGACGTAAAATAGGTTACTTGAAGCACGACCTTCCCTGTTGTACCAGGTTAGATTATAATATTTCGCGTCGCCACGACCTCACAATAATTGGTATCTTTTGAACAGCTGTGTTGACAATGAAACGCGAGGCTTCGTGGCCCGACTATGCAGTGAGAAACACGCCGTTATGTGCGGCAATATTACATACTGGCAATGCTGGGGGACCTGTCTTATTCCTTCAATTAGCCCGCCCACTCATTGTTAGCACATGGATTACATAGCAGTAGAGTGTAATCAAGCTGTCTTCTTTTTATCAGTATCCGCTGGCATATGTAGTGTGTGTGTAGTGTTTATTTTTCTCGACCTTATGTCAGACAATTCAATTTTCCTTTCGACAATATGGCTGTTCGTGGAAGAAATTAAAGGGCGATAATATGACATACTGAGTCGGATAAATAAATTATTTAAAGAGGACTTTGCAACGCAACAGGTCTCGTAAAATCAATATTTTTATTATTTTTTTACCTGCACAAAATACATGTAATTAACGTGTTTGACCTGATCATTGTCAAATAAAGAATGACATTTACAACCCTGTCTATTTGTAAGCGTTGCAATTTAATCATATGGTTTGTTCACAGAGCTGTTTTGAATGAAAAATGCTATACTTTTCTAAAACGGAAAAATCTTTCATAGGCTTTATACAACTAGAGAAACGCGGGGCGGATTTTTTTCAGAGACTGCATTTTTGGGTCTTTATATAAACCGGTTTCCTTTTCCCAGACTATAACAAGTCTCTCACTTTTCTTTCAAACAGCGTTTGGATGGATACCACTAATGGTAGGCCTACACAAAACCGTTTGTATTGCAAGTCTTCAGCAGTTGCCCTAGAATTTTTTTCAGGCTACCGCCTTGATTTGAACTTTTTTTCTTACCACATGGACTGCTCCAGGATTTAGAGTCTACTGGAACCAAGCGTCGTGCTTGACCCGATCATCGAAAAATAAAGCGTTATATTTACGATTGTGTAATATTTGTTAGCAGCACTGTGTGCCTTCGAAAGGTACCCACCCACAGGTTAAAACATAATCGTAACGTAACCGTAACGTTTTTTAATAAACCTTATGGTAGCATTATAATAGCGTTCCGTGTTTGCTGGGGCAAGCATTTTCTCAGCCTAAGGTACTGAACTGGTACTATAAACAAGGTTTTGCTGCTACATAGGTTTTATTTACTATCTAAAATATTACAATGTTCTAACTGTTGGCCAAGTCTTTTGTCATCGATCTGTAATTCATACCGGAGTGAAATAACCAACCAAAATTTTATATGTAATTAGTCAAGCGTAACCTTCTTACATATCTCAAATCCGATTGTTCACTATTTAATGCAAATACTGACTCACACATCGCTCATATGGATTATCTCATTAATTCTTTACACTTAAAGTTGACTTTCCTAGCCTTTTTCTTAATCTGTCTGCAAGTGACAGCGGACTCTGTTCGGCAACATTTGAATCGCCGGTTTCATTTACACCAATGCCGTTCTTGCCCGTGTCATTCTTGGCCATTTGATGCGCAATGGTCGTAGCTGGAGGGGTGTCCTCATTCTGCAACATAGCCTTCTGTTTTTTTCCGCTGCAAATGACGTTTGAACTAAGCTGACATTCATTAACATAGCTTCCATTTTGCTTCTCCCGCTTGCGAAAGGTTTCTTGATTAACACAAGGAGAACCGCTGTCATTTTCTAAAACAGTTTTCATGAATTGCCCATTTCCGCTTTTAACACACACATTGTTAGGGCTTTCAAGATATGTGTTAAATGCCCTACAAGGTTCATTTCCATTCATATTTCTTCTTCCGCCAACAATATCTGGTGTTACTGACACAGGAGTCCCAAAATCATGGAAACTATGAAACTGAAATGTGGTTGACATTCCAAGAAAACTTGGCTCCACCGCTGTCTTTTCTAAAGGTGTGGATGGAAGACAAGTCGGCCCATCTACTGTGTCATTGAAGTGACTCACTAAAGATGTCTGAATGGTGAAGTTTCCAAAGTCTGATAAATGAGAATCATTGCCATTGCTCTCTGGTTCTGCTCTTTCAATTAGGCTACATGGTGTTGAGATCTGTGTTGTTAAGCGGGGAGGTCTGTTGCTTTGTGAAGAAGTGCTTCTGGATGTTGCATAATTAGAGAGGCTATTGCTACTTACTACACTTTCTTCGTCAGCGTCTTCAACATTTTCAGCGACTGGTATTGTATTAGCTCCATCCAGTTCCCAAGAATCTGAAGTCTCATTTTTTCCATTTCCCATAATGTCCACACTGGCATTGTCAATTATCTCTTCCTCCTGGGTTGTGTTACCAAAGCCATTTTTCTTATCTCTGACTGTTGTGACAAAAGTACTGGAGTTATTCAATTTATCTTCCAAACTTTCATATTTATGATCTTCTGTAATTGTCTCCGCTAATCTCTGCTTGGGGTATGAGGCTGAAAAAACACTGTTACTCTCAGTCATCTTTGTTCCATGAGGTTCTTCCATTAGATGTTCTGCTCTTAACATGGAACCTCTTGACAAATTAAGGTCATTTTGATTAATCAAGGAACTATCATTATTTCTGGATGCATTGCCAGCTGGAGAGTCAAACATGTCTGCTGTACTGGAAAAGGAGGCATCATTGCCCCCTAGGTGACTATGGCAGTGTGAAGAGTGTAAAAACTGCAGGGTGGCAGTCTTCCCTGACCCTGCTTCACCCAACCTGTTAGCAATAAGGGACGTCCCAGCTGTTTGCCCTACTGGTGTGTGGGCCAGGTTTGTTGAATACATTAGAGCCACACGGTTATTCTCTGCCTGTGCATCCTTGTCTGTTTGTGAAATATATATACCTTCTGGTTGAGTCGCTGGTCTAGAGTTAGAGGAAGAAATTTTGGGTACTTGAAAAGGGCTAGTGGGCTTTCTATTTCATTCTGCACCTCAGTGACATGTTGCACCTGTTTTACAGTTTCTTCTGATGTGGAGTCACTGTAATGTGAGGCTGAGAGCAATTGCCATGCACTATGCAAATTAGCATCTTGTTTGTCCTTTCTATAAGCAACTGAGTGTGAAACCTTCTGTTCATTCATCAGTGAAGGGCTTGTTACTACTTTTTCATCTGATTCTGCCTGTATGTTTGTCTTATCAGACAACTCTTGAGATATACCTCTATCTATATTACAATTTGATTCATTTAACAAGAAATTGCTTCTTGGTCTTTCCTGAATGCTTTGTGACACATCTATATCTTTGTAAGATGACTTCAAAACTCCTGATGCACAAGACTTCATTTCAGAAATTACATTGTCTTTGTACAAAACAGACTGTTCAACAGCCAAATTAACTGGTGAAGGTTTGGTAGTCTGCAATGAAAAGGCAATTCCAATTCTAGCTGTGTCTGTGTCTAAATCTTGTTTTATGCTGCCCTTGTCTTCAGAGGTTAAAATGATTTGGTCAACAACCATTTTTGTTTTACCAACTGCAGGAACAGGTTTCACCACATTTTCTGCAAATGAACATTTGGCACCACTGTTCCCAAGACCTTTACTATGTAGACCTCGCATCTTTAGCCGTTGTGAAAGAGGAACCACAGATATATCAAAATCCTCCTCATCTTGGTGATTCTCACCATATTTACTATGTATTTCTTGTGCATCTACTTTCAGTGGCACATTTTGCTCACACTTTGGTGCAGCAGGGTGTAGTCCTGTTGCCACAGACTGAGAACTGTTCACATTTTGAGAATCCAGAGCACTTTTCAGAGTGCAAGTAAAATTGCTTTTAGATGAAACAATCTTAGAGGTCTTCTCCTTTTGTTGGAAAATGTTTTCTTCAGATGTGGATATTTCATGTCTAAGCTCCTGAGTCATTTTCCTGGGATGTTCATCAATGTTGATAGATCGCACTGCGGTAGCAAGTTCCTCCACATCCTGAGTATCTGATTTACTGGCTTTGGAACCTGAAAAAATGTGCAACATAAAAAATAAACTACTGCTTGAAAGTAATATTGGCAAAAAAATCTTATATTTCTTGAGCACATTTTCTACATTAAACTTTTTCGCTATAAAACCTACTCTTCTTTTCCACCAAAGAAACCTTTGCACTGGCAGTTTGGGAAACTGAAGCAAACAATTTTTCTTCTTTAAGATAAGAAATTCACAAATACCTTTTCTCCTGGGTTTCTTTTTCTGCTCAATTGTAAGTTCAAACATTCTGACAACTTCTGGAAAATTCATGGTAAAGATAACCTGATCTTCAACTGTCACATAGTAATCAGCCTCCGTGTCAGTGTCCCAACCTGCAAAGGTAATTCAGCAAGATTACAGGTGCTAATGATAATACAACTGTAGGTACCAAAATGAAAGCCAAAATAATTATAATTTGAGCACTGCATCATGCACAAGTAATCTTTACCATATTACTGAATCTACATTAAAGAATTAAAGAAAATTTTTAGAAAATTCAACAGAACCAACTTGTGATTGTTTTTTTTTAATTCCCTAAAACACCCATTGTCTTTTTAAGAAAGCTTTTAACAACTATAACACCAAGTGCAAATTGCATTTCAATGAGTGTAAAAATTCTGATATCACCTACTTTCTTTAAACCATTCCACTTCATAGCAAGACACCCCTTGTCTCACACGTGATTTTACTATTCTAAAATGCAAAGAGAAGAACTGTCAGGTAAATGCATAAATTGGCAAAGATAATAAAATATTAAAGTGCATAAATAAGCAGACTGTTAATGGTCTTCAGACTTTTTCTACACATTTCAATCACTGACTAGAGATTATTCCAACAGCCCAGAACTCCACCAAAGGGACAATTCTTTTTTTAATACTAGAACCTGATTTAGTTGAAAATTTAGTCTTGAATAACTGTTCATCCTGAAAATTTGATTTTTGTGACATTTTTGAGATTATTTTGTCCAGTGAATAACAGAAACAACAACACTTCCTTTANATGCCAGAGGTAATTAAAAAAGAAATACCATATCAGTTTTCATAACATCAATTCATCAAATTATTTACCTATGGGGTTTCAGCCTGATCATCTTAGCTGATGATTTGGAATGGACTGTCATGTCCCACATTGTTACCAGAGGAAGAACCTTGTCTAAAGTATACTCTGTGGACCATTCTAGTCTCTGGAGGGTAAATGACTGAAAGAAAACCAGAAACTGTGCAAGTTTTGGTAATAATGGCAGTGCAAGGTAATATGTCATACAGATCTTTGATATTGCCTGCTATAATTGACCCTTGTTTTCTCTCACTAACTGAAGTTCAAAAAATGCATTTAAGTACATTGAAAAAGCACAGTTAAAATATTTTCTCCCACCTGCAATGTTTGAATCTGAGGTCGCTTCCAGTCAAATTTTACAGTAGGTACTCTATCCCGTGTATTCAGGAACTCAGAAATTACCTGTAGAAATCACAAAGAATGTTTCTAAAATATTTTGATCTTGATCAAATTAAAAAGCCATTAATTTTCACATGTTAAAAATCCTAATCAAATTGATGCCTTTTATCTACATACTTGCTTACAAGCCCCAGATATAGATGCTCAACTGCACTAGTTGACAGGCAGATTATTATCTTTTTAAAGTGTGAACCTTACAGACTGATACAAACTGAAACATAAATTGCTTTAAAATTGACATAGGTCAATATGGATATCATATGTCTACAAAGATGTTATAAAATAATATGCATGTATGGGTTTTCACTCGATTCACATACACAGACACACACTCTGACACACATGCACACCAACACAAATACACAAAAGTCAAAATTGTCAACATTGTCAGAATTCAGCTTACCTTTTCATTAGGAAAGTCCTTTAATTGCTGACTTTTTTTATACACAGGAATTTCCATGGCATCCAAATGCATCTGGCTACAGTGCTGCCATTGTCTGAACCTATGAAAAATAACAAACATTCTCATCTTATATTGGAATATGAAGCACATTAATACTTTCAAAGTCCACAGATGGTTTTCAATTGCAATACAGTTTAAACAGCAATAATTATACGGGAGGCTTTGCTTTTTTCAATTACTGTATTGTCTTCAAATAATCAAGTAACTTTTAAAATAGTAGTGAAAGCTGATAAATTGGGCATATACATGGCAACTTTGCATTGTTTTACCTCCAGATTGTGAAAACACATGTACCTGTTTAACACATTACATGACCCCAGGGTATGCATCAGTTTTATAGCCATCTCCTTGCCCACCCCAGGAATGCCTTTAGGTAGGTAGTCACATCCTAGGAGCAGGGCAAGTCCCACTAAGCCTTCCCTGTTCAACCCAAGCTGGGACTCTATGGAGACTGAGGTGAACATCTCAACATGAGGGTCCTAAAAAGTGTAAATAGTTGTTGTTTATATTGATCAACAAATTGGAACACTGGATTCTTTAGGTTCATTAGTAAATGATTTTCAAGAAAATGAAAAGGAACATATTCCTGCAACATGTGAACATTAATTTGGAACTTCATACTTAATACTTTTTCACTGAATAAATAAATAATCTTATCACATCCTATTTCAAATATAACTGTTCACCAATTTTCTAAGCAACTCTTGTTTATCTATCCCTTACCTTGCTGTTCATAGTAAAGTTCCTGTAAACTGTCTTTGCTCCATACAAAAAGGCATCACCATCATCTGTTAAGCAGCCATCTACTAACTTTTGAAAACAGTTTTGTCTCACATTAGTGATGCCCCGTTAAAATGGGATGCAATTTCAAATTGAAAAGAGACACATTAATCTCAACACAAAAATAGTTAAATGTATAATAAATATAACACCAAATGAACTACTCAAGCATCTATTCATTAAAAATTTTTGAAGAACTTCGACAAAACTAATATGTGTGCTTTTCAAGGAAAAAAAATGCAGTCAGTTGTTTATGTGGACTAATGCCCATGTTTTACTAAACAATACAGGATCTTCACCCACTCAACCACAATTACTTACTCCTTCTTTGTTGAGTAAAGCACACATAGCCTCAGCCTCCCCTTCACTTTGTACAAAAGGCACTCCAAGACACTTCAACAGTTCACAACACTGAAAAATATAATCACGATTTTACGGTAAAAAAATTTCAATCATAATAACAAGTATGTCCAAAAGTATTTGATATAAAAAACAATAATACTGATTTAAATATCAAATATTTTAAGGTCAATGCAATATCAAAGAAATGTTTGGGCAAAATTAATAAAATTGCATGATCACATCATGCCCCCTTTATAAATGAAAAAATGTAACAAACTAACAATAAATAAAAGAAAAGCAATAAAAACATCTATAACACATTAAAGACTGTTCTTGTCATAATTATATATAGTAGAAATAGGAATTATAAAATACATACCTCCCTGAGCCAAGCCTTGAAGTGTGACCTTCCAGGTTTTCTCCCTTTGCTCACTTTCCCTTCTCCTCGGCTTCTTCCTCGCCCCCTGGATACAGATCCACCAAAACGGGATTGTTGTCTATGCAACATGGTATCCCACTTCAGCTCTGGTGGCTCCCCCTCTACCACAAACACAGGCAGGACACCCAACTGCAGCAAGTGACAAGTGCGGAAGAAAAGGTTTCTGCAAAAGTTAAAAAAATTTAATATACTTTGACATTTTAAATACATTATCCAGCAAAACAGACTTATGAGCCCTGCTAAAAGCAAATTGCTGCACCATCTGCAGCTGTAATTTATAGTGTGTGGAGGACGGACACACTATTAGACAAGTGGCTTTTAAAAAACACATTCTGATGCCAACTGTGCATAAATTTGGTGACATGACTTGGCAGTGTCTTCAAATTTATGGACATTTTTATTTCTATGGAAAGCACAATGACAGATAAGGTACCTGGAATTGTTAGCACTATCTAAAACAGTCTACAGCTGTCATGTGATTATTGTAATTAAAAATACATGAGATTGGAGGTGAGACAAACTTTTTGATCAACAGCACTGTTTTACAGTGCATATGATATTTGTATTACTAATTAGTGTATTACCTCCTCTGTTTCTATATAATAATATACTAACACGTCCAAGTCATTCTATACCTGAGGTATGGTCTGGTGACAGTCCCCTGCATCTGCTTAACACCCTGAGTTTCACAAACCCACATGCTAAGATCAACCGCAAGGATCTGTCCTCTCAAATCTGCCAAAGGCTTGTGTTCCTTTACAGGGTCTAGTATCGTCCACAAATGGGTCACTCCCATTTCGGCTTCTCGGTTTTTGAAACTATGCAAACAATCTCTGGGTCAAACCTGGATTTCTCAGTGAAGGAACAAGGGCAGTCTTGACGCCTGAAGGTGTAAGGTTGGGACCCATTTCACTTTAAAGTGTTACCATGCATAAACTTCCCTAGCTGGTATTACTCAATGAAGTCCGACTCGAAATTGTAAATCGGAGTTAGGATACTTATAAAGTCATACTCCCTCTCCAAATGTATCACAGGCTGCTCGTATAACACAATGGTAGTTGCTCATAAAATGTGTCTTTTCTGCAAATCGTATGTACAAGAAAATACGAAGAAAATAACTGAATCAAGTACAAAGTATAAAAATCAAACAATGCCGCTATAAAATATGACCTTGACATGACCTATACTTGATTGAAGAAAATCATTTTAAAGGAGAAAATGTTCAAAAACACATCACTTTTCGACAAAAAGAATATAAAATTTTACATTTAATAATTTCTAATAGTTTTTGTGGCGATATTTTAGGCATGTTTTTATGTCATCACGTAAAATCTCTGCGTAAAGAGACCATGTGTTTCGTTCCCGCCGTTTTTAAATAGGTTTAAATATTTCGACGTTTTGAGAGATAATGCCGCTTCTTGGGAGGAAGCCATATACCCCAGCAAAGCCTCTGAAGAATTTCGATCCTAATGAGACCATTTATACCATTCCACAGACCAAGGAACAGTTCAGATCGAAGGAGTATCTTTTACGTTGTTCGCACCTGCTTCGCCAAGATGGCGGCGCGCATGAAAATGGCATTTTTGTGTTGTTTTTCGGAGTTTTCTCTGTGATTATGACCTACCTGACCACAAAAAATCACACATGGTGTAATAAGGGGCTGTTGTATTGAATGCATGTGTTATTATTTGAAATCTTGTAGTTTTTCGCTTTTCATCGCACCTGTTGTGATGAACGCTACCGGCACATTTCGGTTGTTTACATTTCCTTAGTGACGTTGACGTTGCACAGCATGACAGCTGTGAGCCAAATTGACTCCCTGAAGTGCTATCTCTATATGTATGATGTGAAAGGGGTGTGATTTGAGTAACTTGAAAATGCCAACCCCCGTGACAGCCATGTTGGATTTTTCTCACCATGCCTTTTGTCCCACTTTTGCCTTGAACACCTGCATTGCAACTAAATGGATGACATGCTTAGATGTAGTGAACATATGAATTTGTTCATTATTTCTTTCCTTAAATTTTGTAAGCATTTATATTTTACCCAAAGATTTGATTTATTGGCACCTGATCATATGTAAACAAAATGAAATTGATTTTTATTTTCTGTTTTAATTATTATTCCTGGCAATTTATTTTATGGGATAAGTTACCTCTGCCAAACATTACATCTTAAACTACAAAAAGACTTGCTATCTGTCATGGCTCTGATTATGCCAGCAATTATACAGGTAAGTAGTTAGGAAATAAGGATTTGATGGTCTCTGAGACCTCTTCATCTAGCGCATATAATCCATTTTAGTCACTACTTAAATATCAGCATTCTGAAATAATCTGATGTTCAGAATTAAACCTAGATTCAACTTACTTCATGACTGATCTCCCTTCTTAAGACTGTTTTCCTTAATGCCAACCTAGTGAGTATGAGCAGCGTAAGACCTTGTATGAGGACAATGTGTGGAGTTGTCAGTGCACAGGTCATATCAATCTGACCTATGAGGAGGCTGTCAAGTCAGAACAGGAGGTACACAGGCTGCTGAAGGAGCAATTCTCTCCAGTATTTGTTAAGCCAGTGTTGCTGCAAGTGCACCATAGTAAGTATGCCTGTGTTATAGTTGACCCCTCCCCTTCCTTCCCATCCCAAGAAAGAATTAAAAAGTAAATGCCAATGGATAGTATTTATAAAGTAACATGTTGTCTCTTTTTTCATCTTTAGTACAGCTTATTCCTTTTTAAGTAATCTATAAACATTTAAACTTTTTGATGTTAATTGTGATAATTTATAAAACGTTTGCTGGGGTGGCGCCAGCAATTTTTTTTTTCGTTTAGCCAAATTACTACTTTTTCATTGCTTTTTTGTACAAATGGTTTAAATTTGACTAAAGTGAGTCAAATCAACCCTAATTTGTTTAGCCAATTTTAGTCAGTTTTTGCATTTGGCTAAATTGGCGAGTGTTAGCGCTACCCCAGGTTTGTTATTATGATTAAAGTTATGACTGGTTATAAATAATCGAAGGTTTTTCCTACATGTTTTAACCATCTGAAAACAAAAATCTGTGAAATTATCGATAACAGTGCGTTTTTATTTTATTTTTTTTTCTTTTACATCACAAATTAATTGTTATGATTGATTCTCATTTTTAAGGTACCACTGCATTGGAAAACTTGGTGGATCAAGTTTGGACCAAAATACATCAAGAATTTGTAGTAGATGAGTCAGTGGCTTTGAAACACAAGGCAGGGGGAAAGATGTAAGTGTTATACATGCTGTTATTGATATATTTAGATATATATTAAAGATCATGTGCATAAATCTGAATAATTGTAAATCAGTATTTGCTTAGTGAATTTGTTCTTGTAAAATTGTTCTAATGACTTGTGTAATTTTCACACTATCATATACTGCTTCAAAAGTAAAATGCCAAAATGAAATCTGATTATTTTTTCTTTGATGTGTGAATAATTAAATTTATCTTTGGATAATTTAATCTTACATGATTGCAGAATCAAAGGAACAATTGTTAAAGTTGATACAAGTGTTTCTCAGAATGCAGTTAGCAATGGCAGTTCACCAGCCAGTGACAAGGAAAATGCTTCAAATAACCAGGAAGAAGAAACTAATAGCACCAGTGGAACTCCCAAGAAATGGTCTATACCAAAGGTGCAGCATATTACACAATACATAAATTCTCCACTTCATAAATGACTTACATTCCTTTATAAGTGAAACAGCACATACTAGGAATTAAATATTTTACTGTCTTTTATTTGAACATTATTTCAATTGACTTGTGGTCCAATTTACTAATGTTTTGTTGTAAGGAGTTATTGGTTATTTGGTGACAGATTCCTGGCAAGACTATGGGAGTGGTATATATTTTGCATTAGATTCTATGATTTACTTCTTTTGAAATATTTAACAGCATGCTTGTATTAGTCTCTAAATTCCTTGTCCTTTTCTTACAGTTTCTGCCTTATAGGTACAACTTGAAATTGGAAGGACAGGATAAGATTATCAGCTCTATTCCTGCTTTGGATCTCATGTAAGGACAAGAAACATCGGCTTACCTAATTTTTGTTTTTGTGTGTAAATTTACAGTACATAGATACTGTACGTGTCTTTTAATTATATAGATTATTTGGCATAAATAATTGACCAGATGGATTAGGAATGATTCATTTTTGCTTTGAATTTTTTCAAAACTTTTGTACATGAAATATTAATGTAGAACAGAGGAATTATTCAGGCAATACCTGATTGTGTTGTATCTTCTCTAGCCTGGTCACATGGCTAAAGATTAGTTGCTCAAAACATGGTCTGCAGTTCTGACTGTTCCCCTGTGTTTCTTCTTCTACTATGTTCTTAATTTATGTTATTTAGATACGTATATGTGACTTTGAGTTCTTTTATACCAGGAGGACAACCAAGCCCCCGTCAAAAGAGTTGCTTCGCCTGTTCATACGTGCTCATGCTGTGCGTATGGGTCCCAATCAGACAGGACCCTGGGTGGTGGATGAAGAGATGGTGAAAAGGCATTCACTGCCAGGGAAATTCAATGACTTCTTTCTGCAGTCCCCTGTAAAAGTATGTAAACTATGATAATTGAAAATACTTGCCACTTTGTTGAAATGATATCAAAAGGCACTTGTGTATATGAAAATTTCTTAGGATTATTGAAATTAATTTATTAACCGCTATGTTCATTGCTTGTGTAGATAAATAATATGAAAAGGAAAAATAACATAAAGTGTTTTTTGTTTTCCTTGAATGTGTTGTGTCTCTGTAATTTGTAAGTTTGTAAGTAATGGGAAGTTTGATTTAATTCCTGTTAAATAAAAACAGTAGCTTTTTATTCATGTTACTGTACTTGTATGTTAAAAATTATGGCTTGTATATCAATTTTAGATGGCAGAAGCTGTTCGTAAAGCAGAGGAAGCTGCAAAGAAAAGGAAGTCAACATCTAAGCCTAAAACACCTGTGGCTAAAAAGATCAAAACTGATGAAAAAAAGCAAAACAAGGACAAGCAGTCTAAAAACAAAAGCCAGCAAAAGAAAACTGTATCTTCTCCTGTTAAAAAGAAGACTGGTGTAAATGGACAAATAAACTCTACTCCAAAGAAAAAAAATAACACAACTTCTAAGAAGAAGGAAGCAGTCACTGACCTAGACAGCGACAGTTCTGATGATTTTGTTCTGAGTTCCATACAAAAGAGCCCAGGTTTGGCTGGAAAAAGGAAAAAGGAAAGTCTGAGTTCTGGAGAATCTGATAGTGAAAACGAAACTCTTGCCAGTATTGCTAAATCATCTCCAACAAAATCTGCATCTGGCTCCCCGAAAAAGAAAGTTAAAAATGGGTCTACTAAATCGACTCCCCAAAAGAAGAAAAAAAATGAAAGCACACCTAAGAAAAAGAAAACACCAGAGAAGAAAGGCAAAGAAGGGACCCCTAAAAAGACCCCCAAGAAAGATGAAAATAAGAAAACCCCCAAGAAAAAGGTTAGATATTGTATTGGATATATTTATTTGATTATTTGACTTTGTATGATATGTGTTTTAGGTGTTAACAATTTTTATCGTTAAAGAACATATCTGCTCTCTTTGTCAAATAATAATGATGGTAGTTTTTTAATCTTAATGCATGAAATTGCATTTGTCATAAAGATACTTTAAACTGAATGTTAATGCCATTGTTTTAGGCATATGAAAGCTCAACAATGAATTCTAGTTACATGATACTCGAATGCGACTTTTCTTCATATCCCTCTGGTTTTTTAAAAGGGTTTGAAACAAATGACACTGCTGGACATGTCTAAAAACTCTGGGACCAAGCCTGACACCCCTAAGAGCCCCAAATCTCCTAGGAAGTCCACCCCAATGCCTAGGATCTCTGGCAAGTAAGTACACCTATATTGTGAAAGGTTTGATTTCATGGAGAATAGATGTAACTTCTTCTTAAAGGGCCCTTAATTGACTCCAGTGAAAATGTCGTTGAAATGTTGTAAGGCGTGTATTCACTACACAAAATTTGATTAACTCAAGATATTTGCTTTGATTTGTTGATATTTATATGAAGTCTCTCTAACTTAAAAGTTGACTATGACAAGTGAGTTTCATGAAGAACCACTTACAGAGTAGGGTACCTGTATACTAGAATAAAGCTTTATGAAGTTTTTTTTCCATTTGAAAAAAATAGAATCCAGAAAGCCTTAAAGGCAGACGATGCTAAACTATTGAAGCAACTTGTGTACCAGGCAGCTAAAGTTCTTTCTGCACAGCAGAGGAATATCTTGCCTCCAGAAGTAAAAGAATTGGTTGATGCAAAATACGAACGCTTTGAAGAATTGAAAAAATTGTAAGTAATTGCAATATTGGTGTATGTTTTGCAACTATTTGATGGCTTTTGCTTGAATTGTTAAAAATTTTAAGTCCGTTAAAGAACAAGTGATATTCTACAGCTACATTGGATCTTTGACACATTAAAACAACGGTGAAATCAATCTTTATAGTTTAAGAATGGATTTTTTAGAATAAATCTGCTTTTCAGTTGATACTGGACTTTTAAAATTTTTTGATATTTTTTTTAATCACCCAGAAAGACAATGAGTGCAGAAGAAAAGAAAGAATATATGAAGAAGAAAATAAAAATGCAGCATGAGAAGTGCAGATTGAAAATGATTGAGAAAAAGAAGGTATAGTTAACAAATGTGACATTTTATATGTGTTTTTCAGTTGAAATGTTGACTTAATATTTATATGTATGATTAAAATAAAAGAGTTGTTGGTCCTGCAAAATATTTTGTAAATATTTTGAAAAGAGATTTGGCACCGAATAAGATAAGAGTTTAGAAATATTATGTATCTACATGTGATTGACTTTCATTGATGGTTTGTGCATAGTTTTAACCCTTCTGGTTTTTCTTTTCCTTGAAGCTGTATGATGACCAAGATCTCAGTGACCTGAAGTCGCTGCCTGCCCCAAAACTTGTGCCAACCCCTGATGGAATGGTCAATGAACTGTTTGGTGAAGTTGCCATGGTTACGGAATTCATCAGCAGTTATAGTCAGCTATTAATGCCTGATGATAGTTATGCCATCATGTCAGGTAAATTAAATGAGATTTTGAGAATAATAGTTATATATTTCATTACAGTCATAGTTCTGATTGGATATTTAATGGGGCTTGTGTACATTTAAAGACACTAGAGATTCAAGGTTGCAGTGACCATAATAGTGTTAAATTAATTGACAGATTATTGTAATGATGTTCATTATGATAATTTACTGTAGTAATCACATTTCTAGAATGATTACAGATTGTAAAACTGGCTGAAAGTTAATTATAATTTTAAATGATTTCGGTTTCTTTGCCAGTTAGTCATCTATTTTGAGTAGGTGAAAAAATTGCTAAAATAATCCCACAAGTGATTTACATGTAGTGCACTACATATAACCAATCCTGGTTGGTTATGAAAATCAATAACTTGGTTTATGCTATTATCAGTATTGAATAGGATCAGCTGTTCTTATGTAGTTTTTCTGCTTTCAGATGCCCTGATGAAGGCGTTGGTGAGTGGCAAAGAGGGCTATGCCTACCTGGGCAGAGTATTGGTGGTTTTGCTGCAGACACTACTGCAAGATGGGATTGCTGAGGTGAGTAGATTGACAGCTTTATTAGTCTATATGTAAAATAGTCCTAACTAATAGAAACTTTATTGGTTGCTTTAAGTAATTGATAATAGTATTATGTGAAAAGAAAAATATTTTCCAGTGTAAATAGCTATGCAGTTATATCAATTGTGAACATGTTTTCAGAGATCAGATGATTAAAAATCTGTTTAGTTAATCTTATTTCTTGACATAGGACTACAAGGAGCTAAAGGTCCCCCTGTCAGATGTTCCAGTGAACCTGTTCACCTGCTCGGAACTGTTACGCCTGTGCCTCAGGAAGCACGATGTTGACGATGGTGCTAGCAAACATAGTGAAGACACTAGGGACAGTGAGGAGATGGAGGAAGAGACAGAAGTGGTAAGCTCCCTCTGTCAAATTTGTGCAGCTATTTTAAAAACAACTTATTATGTATGTCTTAGTCATTCATGTGGGCTTGATTTTCTTGCTTTACAACATATAAGTGGAAATGAATAAAGAATTACTCTTGGATTTCATCAACTGGTAACTGTGTCTATCCTTAGCAGATTATGCTGAATGGAGACAATTCAAAGCAGTTTCTTTAATAAATATAATGTCTACCTCAGCCTGACAACTTGATCCAGCAGCTGGAGACAATGGAGTTCTTTGAGCTGTCTCCTGAAGACAAGCTGCAGGTCTTGAGAGGTCTCTGTCACCGTATCATGGGCTCATACTCTGTGCAGGACCATATGGAGGAGCAGCAGACAGAGGCTTCACAGCTTTGGTAAGTACAGGCCTTGGATTTGTTCCAATCCCAAGTGAGCACTTTTGTCATAGAATATTTTAGATGAGTTGGGGTTTGCCTAGTTGTTTGACTTGATAATATATGGCTTTATAAACTAATAGGACAATTGAAAATATCTATACCTACGTACATTTACACCCCTCCCCACATGAGTCCTGTATTGACTCACATGTAACTTGATTTACATCATTTGTAGTTTTGAACCAGCAGACAAGAGAATTGACTTTTTTTTTTTTTTTTGTAATTGACTTTAACTGTTCAAATGTAATATAGGAAACAAAGGATTGCGGAACTCAAAGAAAAGAATGAAAAACTGAGAGAAGAAAAACAGAAGAATAAAGAAGCCAAGAAGGAAGGAGGGGAACAAAAAGAGGGTATGGCATGTACAAGAGTTGCTGTTATTTTCTGTTTGCATCTACTCTAAAAGATTATTTGTTGCCATGGAATTTTGTGTTTTTAGATACAAGGTCATAAATTCTTAACAAATGAGACAAATACAACATCAGTTCTATTATATGGGTTTCTAGGTGTTGAGCCAGCCAGCTTTTATGGCAAGAAAGGGAAGAAAGCTCCTGACAGCGAACCAACCAGTGCTGCTCCCTCTGAGAATGAAGACCTTGACCTAGAAGGGAATGATCTAGCATCAGTTGTGAAACGCAGAAGACTTATGGCATCCAAGTCTGCTGCCATCAAAGAACAAAAAGAGCAAGAGAAGAAACTCCTGTAAGCAATATTGAAATTATAAACAAGTCATCCCCCCCTTCTTTGTATTAGTGTGTAACTAAGTGCAAATGGTTTTCAGGAACAGATAATGAGCATATTTTTTATACTTTGCAGGTTGGAGAAGCAAAATGAAGAACAAAGAAAAGCCAAATTTGAAAAAGAATTTTTGGTAAGTTTATTTAGAATGCATAAGTGATTTGTAGCTATTTTAGGTTAAATTTTGTAATTCCTTTTTAATACCCTTTTACCTGCCTAGAATACCCCTGTATATAAAATTAACTAAATTTAGTTAAGAAAAGAACTTCATTTTCCCTGTAGGATGGCATAGCCAGAGCCAAGCTGGTGCTGCGTCAGGCGCCTATTGGCACTGACCGATTCCACAACAGATACTGGGTGTTTTCACACACTACACCAGGGCTGTATATAGAGAAAGGTATGTCTGTTCTTGCTGAACCTTCCATTGGAGAGTCTGATTACATCCTGGAAAATGCCACACTCTTAACAAATTTTTTCCAATTCTTCCATGGCAGAAAGGAAGAAAATCTCAGAAGCATTAAAAGTTTTCAATTTTTACCTTATGAACATATATCCAAATGCAGTGTTTGGTTTGGATTGCAAATAGTTTTGTCATTGGCACAGAAATTGATCTTTTTTTAGGCTGGGCTCCAAAAGAAATAGATTATCAAGTGGAGCTGGAGACTGAAACCCCCATTAAAAAGGAAGTAAAAGTAGAAGAAAAACCTGAATCCACTGCCACAGAGGAACCAGCACCTGATGATGAAGAGAAGAAAGAGAAAAGAGGAAGAAAGAAAAAGACAATTCAGGAAGAAACTAGGTGAATGCATATTACAGTTTTAAAGTCATACACCTTTTATTGTGTACTATGAATTGAACTGGTAGGGTTATAAATCAGAACAATAAAGTACAAAATATTAATCATCAAGATATTAAATCTTTTAAGAGAAAATAATAAAATATTGTGCACCCAGATTTAGTGATCTGCTAAACATTGAATTTGGTGAGCTTGCGGGTCTCCAACTAAAAAAAATTGGCACTTTTGTTTCTAATTCTGGCATTTGTTTGTATAATTGTCAGCTTTCCACACAGCGGACAGAACCTTTGGTTCACATATGACAGTGTCAAGGAAGTTGATGCACTCATAGAGAGCCTTCACCCCCAGGGGATACGGGAGAGCAATCTCAAAGCAGAACTGAAGAAGAAATATCAGGATGTCTGTAGAGCAATAATTGTAGCACAGAGGTTTGTTATCGATTTGCCCTCATCTTGTCTGTCTGCATCCTTTAATATTTGTGCTTTTATTTTAAAGTCAGGAATGTGATAATCAATTGACTCTTTGAATTCAGGGGTTTTCATTCTCATCTTATCACCTTCCCTTATTTGTAGAAGATTTAAATTTTTTTCATAAAAATCTGTTTAATTAAAAAAAAATTAATTTCAATCTCTTGCTTCCAGAACTAATAATGAGCTTAGAACTTATGATGGAGAAACAGAGCTATGGGAAGGGTTTAAACAGGCAAGTACCATCAGATTTGTGACAAAGCCTCTCCTTTATTATGTTGAAAATGGGATGAAATGATTATCTGGTAGCTTGGAAATTATGACACTAGATGGAAGCAATTTTGATTCAAAAGTCCCAACTGGAAGGATCTGAAGTTGAAAATTAATAATTGCAGGTAATAATTGGATGACTCTGTTACAAGATGTGCAAGATCTGTATAGCTACATAGAACATCATGCCACACCAGCAGATAATTAAATTGTTTTTAAATGTGTTTTGCTTCAGGAATTACTTGAGACAGAATCCAGACTGCGTAATGGTGGACTGGGTGGAGTTGAAAACTTTGACAAATGGCAGGCACAGTTGTTGAAAGCAAAGGACGTTAAAGATTTGGTAAGCAGACCTTCACTGATTCCACATGAAACTCTGTGGCATAGTTGTCAAATTCAACAACAAGAGAAAAATGACAGAAAGGAGACTGTAATTCTAACGTTTTACTAAGTCTAAAATAAATACTGCCAAATAAGTTTTAAGAAATGGCCATACGGTGTGTGTATATGAATTTTGTAGTTGGGAATAGTTGTCTTATGTTGACCTGTTACAGGTAAAGTGGTCACTTTACATCAAGACATCATCTTCTGAACCTTTTCCCACATATGGCTCTCCTCCAGTCTTGTCTGTTTCTGGGATCTTTATCTTCAGCTTGGAGCTGTCTCCTGTCTGCAGTCACTGCGTCCCTCCAAGTCAACCTTGGTCTACTTGGAGGCCTCCTTCCCCACCTTGAACCCTGTTGCTCTTTTCACCCTGTGATATTTTCTATCTCCATTTCTTAACGCAGCTCTGCATTTGCCTTCCTGTCCTTGTATGAAACTCCAGCCATTCATCTAACCATCCTCACTTCTGCCTTGTCCAGCTTGTCATCATGATGTACCCTTACTGCCCCGGCACCTGTGCACAGTGTCTGGAACTGGGTCAAAACTAATGAGCTAAAATCTCTGATGCATATGGTTTCATTATCCTGTAAGACTGATGGTTTTGTATTGCAGGGTGCCTGTTTGATTCAGACTCAGGCCAATGTTCTGGAGAAATTCATTCAAGGAGCTATGGCCAAGAAAGTGCCAAAAGTGGAAGATGACACAGTAACAGGTACAGAAGGTTTGAAACTACCACTGATTGGTAATATGTGACATTTTGCTGCTTTGCTTCTTTCATTCAGAAAGCTCAGTAGTGAAGATGATGGATATACATTATTGCAGTTAACAAAGAAGGTCAAGAAGCACTAGTCATATGTTTAAAGGTTGGTATCTAGCTGTTGAAAACTGTTCAAGTTGTGTTTCTTGGTTGAAATTATGTAAAGAATGTATGTCCTTTATTCCCCCAGAAGCAGAGATACCCACATCTCCTGTAGTACTTGCTTGGATGGATGCTGTGGAGAATTGCGTTACAGTATCAAGGCTGCATGTTCTTCTGGGCATCCTAGATTCCTGTATTAAATGGGAAAAATCTGCCGAGAATGCGGTGAGCATCATAAAAAAGACCCGTGTTGTGAATTGTAATGTATATGTAGACATATACCAGTATTTGCTTGCCAGATATATAATAACACATATCATCTCAGCCACTTTGAGAAGTTAGTAAACTGTATGAACGGATTAGAAGTGTGTTTGTCTGTATGAAAAGGTGAGAGAAAGTGTGTGCTTTTCTGAGAATAATGTAGTGTTGGTAGGCATAAAATATGTCTTGCAGTACGTTTGTTTTAGAGGGTCAGTTCTCGAGGATGAGGTACCTACTGTGCTACAAGTTATTAAAGCTTTTATGGTATACAAGGTTTTGTGTTTCTCCCCAAATACACTCACTCCCATAATACCTTCCATTTCAGAAATGCAAGATCTGCCGTAAGAAAGGTGAAGATGCTAAGTTATTGCTGTGTGATGACTGCAACCAGCCATTCCATCTGTACTGCCTGAGACCAGTGCTGCTGTCTATTCCAGAGGGAGAGTGGTTCTGTCCTGCCTGCATTGTAAGCTTTCATACTATAGCATATTGCCACATTATGAAGGGATTTTGTTTTACCTTTTTTGTATAATTATAAAAAAACATTTTACATGTAAAGAGAGAGACAAGTAGGGAAGTGGCAAGGGTTTCTTTGTTATTTGTTCCTATCTTTTCATTTACACTTATATGTTTTTAACTGTCTTTTATCCTTCATTATTATTATTTTATCATTTTGTTTTGTAATGTTATAAAATTCATTATATATTGAAAGTTAATCTTCAAAATGTTGGTCGTTGAAACAGACTGAATTAAACAAAATTTTACAAAGATTATAGTAATGCTTATTTGAGTAAATTGGAATCATGGAAAAATTATATTTCATACTATTGGGGTAATGCCTACAACTACAATTTATCAGGCTGTTTAAAAAACCATTTGATGCAAGTTTCTTTTCTTTTATAACATGATTGTTATGCAATGTAAAATATATTAATTGAGTGTGAATAAATGTTCATGCTGTATATTTAGCCAAGCTCACAAAGACGGAGAGAGAGATCCCGTCCAAACTACAAGGACATGTCGGGTGAAACTTCATCTGAGGTATATACTTATATTGTACATTATGATAGAAAGCTGATATTAATGAATGAGATATCACTAGGTCTAAATAATAGTCTTCTTACTCTTCTCTCATTATTGGAAAACACAAAAGGCTTATGGGAAGTTTATCTTTTGTTTTATAGTACACAGATTGTAATGTAAATTTTAGGTTGGTCTGCCTTCAGTCTCATTTATTTATATTTAGCATTGATCTGAGAACACTTAACATTAAGGCACTTCAATTATTATTTCAGGGTGAAGATGATGGTGATGATGAAGAGATAGTCCATGAAGAAGTGTGCACAGTGTGTGAGGCAGCAGATAACTTGATCCTATGTTCCACATGCCCAAAAGTTTATCATCAAGACTGCCATGAACCTGCTCTCAGGAGACCTCCAAGGTAAGCAGATTGAATAGGGCACTTATTCTTTAGTGTGTGTTTTTGTTTCTATCTGTATATGCGTGTTTGTATACATGTATCCATACCTAGTCAAAGCTTAATATTGGGGCTTTGTACAAAACTGCACTGGCATCTTAATCATTATTGCCCTGTGAGGATTTAAGTACCATACATTTGGTCCTTGCTGACTATTTATACTTTATTTCTGTGGATCAGATTTTGCCAAGGGCATGTTTTGGAATTAGTCTATAAAAATCAATTCAAAAATCTCTGCTTTTAGCTTTGTAGTTGTATTGATTATGCAAATAGTTTCTTTTTTTTTTTTTTTTTTTAGTGATGAAAATTAATTTGTCGTTACAGGGGTCCCTGGTCCTGCACTGATTGTAAGATGGGTACAAACAGAACCCGTGGTAGAAATACCAGGAACTCCAGGAGAGGGACAACTGCCAAGGTAAACTGAAATTTACTTTTCTTGACTTGCTCTAGCACAGCTTTGCTTAAAAAAAGAAAAAAAATACAAATCAATTTTTTTCACATTGCCACTTTGTTGAGTAATTCTAGGTTTTAAAAATTTGATATTTTAGAGGAGTGAATTTATACATTGTGAATTTATGACAAAGTTTCATGAGCCATGGGCACACTTTGTTTATTTCTGATTTTGTCAGGCATGTGATCATATAATTTTGTCACATCCTTGATTAAAATGGTTGAAATGTCTGGGTTCCAAGAAACCTGATCAGCAAAGGTAAAATATTTGAAAAGTTTTGTGCTATTTCATCCTTCACTTTTTAGCCGTCTGCAAGGAGAGGCCAGAGGCGTCCAAATTACAAAGTAGAATCTGAAGAGTCTGAGGAATCTTCATCATCAGAGGTACATAGATATAGTGGACTTACTGTGATTTCCACTTTATATAAGAGGGTGTTTTTCACATCTTCTTTTGGTTTGGTTTAGTTTTCTGTGAATGTTGTTTAAGTGATTATAGACTTACAGTATGTCAAAGAGTGCTGCAATCACCAAAATATTTTGTACTCTGTCATTTTGCTTTCTCTAGTATAGTGCCTTGTGAAAATAATTTTTAAAAGATTTATTTGATCTTCTTTTCAGTTTTTGGTGATGATCAGTAGGTAATTGATGTAATGTCAGAATGTTCACAATCTATTTATATCATTTTAGGAGGAAGAAGAAGAGGATGAGGAGGAGGAAGAAATAGTCCATGATGAGGCGTGCACAGTGTGTGAAGCCACAGATAACTTGATCTACTGTTCTACCTGTCCCAAGGCTTATCATCAAGACTGCCATGAACCTGCTTTACGAAGACCTCCAAGGTGAACTTTTATATCAGAAGTAGAGATGAAGACCATGTTGAGTTTGGATGCCCATTCTATGCTTGTCAAATTTTTTTGGTTATATCTTTCTTTTCACACTCATCAAAATGTGCATCATTTATGATAAAGATGTAAAATTTTTTTTGCCTGTTTTAAAATTGCACATAATTTTTTTCAAACATTTTTTCAGTCATGTTGTTGTTTGTTGTGAAACTAAAACAGAAATTACAGATATATTTGTTGATTTCTCAGGGGCACATGGTCCTGTTCAGCATGCAAGGAGGACAGTAGCAAAGCAAAAGCTAAATGCTATTCCAAGACCTCAAGAAAAAGAAAGCACGAAGAAACGAGTGAGGAGGAACCCACCTCCTCTGGAGAAGAAAACCCCAGACATAACATGCAGAAGTACAGTGCTAAGCAAAAGAAGAGTGCAAATGCAGCAGAAGAGATGAAGGTGGGTAAAAGATAGAAAGGAGCCACATTTATGAATGAATGTTGCTCGTTAACCAATAAAATAAGAATGATGAATATGAATAACTCTGATACTGTAACTTACATTTAGCAACTGACTGACTGAGAACTTTGGTTAAGACTGCAACGTCAGTCAGTTGCTAAATGTAAGTTCCCGTATCAGAGTTATTCATGTGAGTCACATTTATTTTTCAAATATTGCTCAGGATTTAATTGTAATTGCACGAAGTTAGGAGATGGATTTTCATTCATTTCTTACATTAGGTATAATTGAATGTTCCTTCATCTGCTGTTGTGCAATATGTGGTACTTTAGCCTTGTTCAGGGTGGGATAATTTCAAAAGGAATTAAATTGGCCTTGAAGGTCATCAGACAGGTATACTGTTTGGCCAGGGTATAATAACTTTAAGTGTGAGTGCTCTGCAGAAATATCTCATAGTATTGTAGCTTAATGTTAGATTTACGTCATACAGCAGGTGTAAGATTATCCTGATTAGAATTTGGCATATGTTATGCATGCATTAAGAAAACAAATATTAATGCAAAAACTGCTCAATAAAAAATAAAGTTTGTGTTTCAGATTTGTGAAGATATTCTTGGAAGAGTTTGGAGACATCGCACTAGCTGGCCATTTAGAGAGCCAGTCAAGAAGAATGAGGTAAAAAATTTGCTTTATATCAAGCTCCTAGTTGCTACTGTGTGATATCATTATTGATAACTTTGCAAAATGCTTTTTAAAATCGGGATATCATCTTCAAATGCAGCCATTTAAAATGTTTTATGATATAAATGGTTAACTCTCAACTGCGTCTTTCTTAATTTAGGTACCAGATTATTTTGAGGTCATCAGCCGTCCTATTGACCTGACGACCATAAAGAACAAATTAATCTGCAAGGACTACCCTATACCAGAAGATTTTATTCATGATGTGGAACTTCTTTTTGGGAACTCTGCAACTTATAATTCTGTGAGTACCAAAAAAGTTGTGAAGTTCAGCACAATTTTCATAATTTTCGTAATATATATACAAATAGTTTGCAAATATTGCTACTTAACATAAAACAGTGTAAAACAGTAAAACAGTACCAGGAAATGTTAATTGATGTAAATAATGATAAACACACTTTTTCAGTCAAAAATATGAAAGACATCACGATTTGTAAGATAGAAGCAACATGAATAAGATTTTTTTCAAAAATAACTGGTATTACAGTTGATTTACAAGAAAAATTCCATAACCATTTCAGTTTTTCTTTTTTGTTTTCTGGTTTGATGTTGTGGATAATCATTATTTTTAAATCCTTTCAGACTGACTCCGATGTGGGCAAGTGTGGTGCCAAGCTGGAGCAGTACTTTATAGAACTGCTGGAACTGAAGCTGCCTGGCTATACCTACAACCGTGCAGAGCAGATGGAGTCAGGACCTTCTGATCATGCTTACAGTTCTCCTAAGGGTAAAAGAAGGAAGTGAAGCAAGGAGCGAATACTTGAAGTGAAAGTGTAGAAAATAGTTTGCATGTAATCTTCAGCTCCCAAATGTACAACATGGAGAAAAAATTAGTAGAATTGATATAGCGCAGGGAGATCTTGCCAACAGGGAACAAATAAAGTAAGAAAGATGAAATGGAGAGAGAGAGTAGGGTTCAGATTCCATGTACAACTCCATGCAAATGACCATGACTGGCAAATGACCAAATTTCACATTTTACATTCTACATTTTTGAAAGCCTGTGCAGCAAGGCTTGTTTACTAGGTACGTAATTCATCTAGTTACTTTCATAACAAATCCCAAACAGCAAACACTGGGTTGTCTTTGTATTCTTTGGATGAACTTGTTGTTTTGAGGTGACTGGATTTGGGGTGAAAAAATTAACAAGACTAGGAAAGATTTGAGATGAAATTTAACAAAACAAGGGTATTTTGTATAAATTATATAAGTTTTTTTTTTGCAGACTAGTAATTTTGTGGTGTAAATGAATATGGTAGTTATTGTAAAAATACTTATATCAGTGCATGTTATATGGGAGCAAAAGAAAACTGACTCATTCAGTTTTCTGAAATTCTTCTTGTTATCATTATATGCTTTTAGCAGTATCTGTCTCTTTAATGAGTGGTTTCAAATTCAAGGGATTGTCAAAATTTTATTTCCTTACTGCCCATCATAATGTTATAACATTGTTTCTTTTACAGTATGCAGCATTGTGAATTGTAAAGATACTTCCCAGAGAAGTTTTATTTTGTAGACTGAAAACTTGTTCGGCTACAATACTTATTTATATAAAGATGAGGAGTAAGGACTAATTTGTGACCATTATGGGAGCACTGGTTTGCATTATTTACACGTGGTTATTTTTGCTTACAAATTGTTAAAAAAATTGTCATGATGGCAACTATGACCAGACAAAATTTTACTTGTCTGTAATACGTTTTTTTCAATTAATATACAGCTAAGTGCAGTTGCATAAATTATGATTAAACGAGAACATCATTGTGTGTTATAGAATACCAGCAGTTTATTGCCAAGGTATGTGTGTCTGTATATATATATTGTACACTCAAAATTTAACACCATTGAAAGTTTTAATGCATTGTAAATATATATATTTTAGTGAGGGCTGTCGTGATAGTTTCAAAAGCGTCATACTTCAGGCAGTTCTCTTCAAGAGTGTAGTGTACAACGATAATGTGGTCAATTGTTTAAGATTAAGACACACAACACGAGGTTGGTTGGTTCATATTATAACAGTGGTTTTATTGTATCCCCAGTGTGATTGCTGGCGATACTCACAATTTTACCTGGAACTAGTAAGTTCTACAGATTTCTGTTTTATGGTAACGTTTTGAATTCCGGTACTTTTGTTGTTCTAACTTAATCGGGTACTTTTTTGAAAATTTTTTTGTTATCATGTGAAACTTCTTTTTTAATGTGAAATGAGACGACTGACTTATACATCATACGCCGGGTTGCGTTGTCACAGCAAGTTATATGTACATAGATCGAAATAATGTAAAATTCGTATCTTTAATAATTATTGCAGTCGAATGCTTCACCTCGATTTATTTATACAGTGTAGGTGTCTGACGTTAGTGCTGTAAATCTCTTGCTCTGTGGCAAATAAAAAGTGTACTCTTGATATTTGGTTATAACGTTATTTATTTACTTTTTAGCTAAAATCAGTCTTGTTATTCTAGCTGTATTATATTGCCATTAAGTAGATTTCTGAGTGGCAACACCGCCCGCAGCCGTGCTCAAAATGTGGTTACTACCCGTCACTTTAATGTGCACGCGGGTGTGACGACGAATATTTCTTTAGAAGTCTATGCTTCTAGTCTCAGTTTTTGGTCCATGTCACGTGAATGCTACTAAAAAGCTTCCCAAAAGCTAGGTAGCACGGAGCGACGAAAGTGTTCATGCAAGGCTCAAATATTTTGCGTGCGCAGTCCATCTGTATGAACCACGCCTTAAGAGCTGGCACGTACACCCAGATATTACAGAATGAGATGCACGCGAAACTGATGCCCCAGCAGACGGCACAGGGCAGCCCACAGATGACGCTCAAGATGCGGTATGTCCACAGTTTGGTGGCGGCGAAAACGCGGTAACTGAGGATCCAGATTTGATCAAAGCTGAAGATATTTGGGTGCGGCTCTGCGAAGATCTCGTCGAATGCCACCTGTGATATATAAAAAAGAAACATTTCTGAGAAATTTAATTTGGAAGTTTTGAAGTAATGAATTTTTTGTTAATGCCTTCCTTTAACGTTCTCATATGGCGTGCTAGCAACTAAAGTCTTTTAACTATTAAGGCTTGTGTGGCCTTGACATTGAAATGGACGTTTGTTGTATACATTTTCATTTCAAAATTCACTTAATATTCTGATCGGCCTATGATGGTATCATACATTTTGGTTTGCAATTTTACAAATACGCCTAAATATTTCACATATTTGCCTATTTTTTCAGCAATGATGGGCGTTAGCTAAAAATATCTCACCTTCAAGTGATCATTTATGTGTTCTGGGTCACGATCAACTATGTCAATACTTATGGAGTCTGACGTTTCTTTTTTAACTTCTTCTCCGGCAACAGTTACGTTTGTGGATTCGTCGAGCTTGTTTGTGTCGTCTGCCATGGTGATCCTTGAATTATATTATTAACATGAATAAACGCGGTCTATTTAACCACTAAGTAAAATAAGACAAGATGCAAAAAGCGTATATATCTCTTAAATCGGACTGAACCATGATACCGAGAAGAAAGAATTGGGAAGAAAAGTCGATCCACCATCTATTGCACCTCATAGCCAATGATAAATCGTGTTATATGGTTTTGGAAAGACGGCTGGAGGGGAATTATATTTTAGTGACAAAACTTCAAATACAGAATAACAATTTCTCTGAGGGGTGGTGGTGTCTAAAGGAATAAATAAGCGACTTAAATGCTTACTAACATATTGTTCAGCTCAACTTATTTCTTTTAGCTATTTTCATACCCCAGTACTTACTTTTTACCTCTGTTTCTACTCTGCCTCCTTGCTTACTTCGACCTGTGCAATAAATGTTGACGCCCTAGTGTGGAGAGCGTTGCAGCCTGTCCCCAGCAACTTTGAAATCAAATGCCCTGGGGTTTTGCATACTGTCATTTACAAATGACACGAAACTCTTAATCAACTGTCCGTTGCATAAGGGAGTTTACTTCAAGAAACAAGGACAATTGGGAGAGGTATGCGAGTCGCTTTTGGACATCGTATTGTATTACTGGGGCATGAAGCAACAGGGGAGTGACTGTTATATCATCAAGAATCCATATCTTCCCGTTCATTGAAACACGTCCATAAAATCCTCCTATTCTGCTATTTGTCAAAATAAAAAGGTGTACGGTGATGGTTGCATGCAGCTTTACCTGAATTAAATATAGCTATAAAATAAATTGAGTTCGAGTCATTGACCCGATATTAGCTCGGAATGGCGCTAAACCCCGCTCAGTCTTCGTCATAGTGGGATAACTCAAAGGTATGATGGACGACCTCTATAATCATGCGGATTAGACGCTTCTCCACCGTAGAGCTGATTAAATCTCTTTCAATAAAGGTAGATAGAAGAGAGACGGTTGGGTCTTATTACACCCAGGGTAAATATGCAGTGAATTGTACTGTCGTTGTGGCCAACATTATCATTTTCTTCCATTCTGAAGAGAATCGGTTTCAGTTCAAAATACCGTTTAGCAATTAGATAGCAGTGACAAGAATAGACCCCCCACCGCAGCTACAACGTTGTAAAGACAATCCTGATGGAAGTAGTCTCTAAATGATTTGGTGTATATTCGGTTTCTGTATTTTAGTTCTAGGTGTGCCAATTTTCATTTGATGATGACAATTGTGAGAAAGTCCGTAATATCCCATAAGGAGATTTTGAATATAAGATAAATCGTTCTATCTATCAAACGCATCATTGGGAATTGTATCCAAAAAGCTCTGATTATGATAACCGAAAAAACACCTAATCAACTTAAAGCAAACCACTGATATATGTAAGAAATTCTTTCAGTTAATATACATACACACTAGGCTTGTGTAAAAGTTTCGTACAATTACGGATAAAATGCTGAAAGATCACATATATTTTTGAAATGTGTATGCAACCTTCTTCATATTAAATAAAATTCTTTCTTCAAATTGTATGGGTTCAATTTTATTTTCAATTATAAATACTCTTATTCAAATGTCCACGCTATTCATTTGAATTTTATACAAAAATGAAGAAAAAAATGACGGCTGCCTCTCTTTAACTCTGCTTATTATATGACTAGGCACATCCTGTTCTTCTTTTCACTGAAATTTGCATCTACTTTGCTGACAGTATTGTCAAGTTCTACAGTCACTGTAAAGCACGTGCAAAAAACTCGCCACAGAACTAGGATTCATCTCAAAACAACTGCATAGATGTAAACTTTAGTTAAATTGTGGCTTTTTAATGTCAGCCTTGTAATGATCTTCAAAGCACACCTTGGTAAACAATTAAATCCATAAGATCGTAAGAAGTCTTCAGTAAGTTATTTTATCATTCCCTCACAACTAAAACCTTGATACTGGAGAATATTTTACCCATTGCAAGATAGCAAGGTGCGACGAAAGTGTCCATGAAGGGCTCAAAGATCTTGCGGATGCAATGAAGACTGATGTAAAAGGCCTTGACGTACGGCACGCACACCCATATGTTACAGAATGAGATGCAAGCAAACTCGATCCCCCAGCACACGGCACACGGAAGCCCGCAGATTAGACTGAGGATACGATAACACCACAGCTGTGTCGCTGTGAAGGCCTGGTAACTGAGAACCCACACCTTGTCGAAGCTGAAGATGGTCGGGTGTGGTTCAGCAAATATATCGGAGAAGGTCACCTGCAAAATAAGAACAGTTTAAGGACCCGTTTGATCTTGTAAAATGAAGGAAGACAAGAGTTATTTGAACGAAGAAGTTTAGTCATTTATGTATAGTATTTTCTGTTGCATGCACTTATTAACAAATAAACACAAAATGAGTTTGTTAAATAGATGTCGACTTGACACAATCAAGTTAAAAATTAATTATAGAAATGTTCTATAAGATAACGATATATTAAAAGAACACGTCATAAACGACACGAAAGTAAATATGTGAATTTTTTTAATACGCAGGAAATCTGTTATTTGATAGAAATGAGCAAATTGTGTTAGATGTTTTTCGGTCCATCAATTGTGATAGCTGTTAGGAATGTGTTTTTCATATATGACGGTCTACCACTAGAATCGTGCTCTTGAAAGTTAATGGTGGTTAATAGTGAAGCTGAATAAAGATGATTTAATTTTTTTAAAAGCATGTAGTTAGTGTTACATTAAGTGGGGATGGAATCAAAAATTATTTTATTATCAGTAACATCACAAACGCCTTTAATAAAAAATGTATTGTGTTCATCTTTAATATTATTTAGTTAACTGTTTTACGAATTTAAGTTATTATATTTCATTAGTAGTTATGCTATAGCACATTTATTCTAAGCCCGTTAAAAGACATTAAAGTATAGTATTGAATATTAGTACTGATCCGACCCTGCATTCCGACCTTCGTTCTATAGATTTAGATAAACGTTGGCTTAAAATGCCCCGTCTCTTGAAAGTTACGTAAGATTGTAAATTGTATGTAGCTCATTGTTTAAAGCTATCTTGCTTGAGATTGTCTAAAGCATTAACCTGTGTTTGATCTGTGACTTAACGCCTCTTACCCTCCATATTACAAAGCGTGCTTTCACATAAGCAGAAACACACAGAAACTTGGGAAAGGACGCAGCTTCGAACTGTTTTGAGCAGTATTATTTTAAGCTAAATGGAATGATGAAAACATGTTTAAGATTATATTAAGGGTACAGGCTTGCAGCCAGCAATTTCAAAGAGACGTTCTTTTTCCGAAAATGTGGGCCTTTTTACCCTCTTAGTTGACATTATTTGAGAGATAGAATATCAAATTTTGATTCATAGTAGACCAAAGGGCTGTTCTAATTAATCCCCTCCCTCTGCCTACGGACAAAATAAGAGCTTTAACGTCACGACCATACCGATATGAGGCGACATTCTCTTCCGCTGAATTATTATTATTATTTTTTATTATTATTTTTTTTTTTTGGAAAAAATCCAACCACTGAAATGATACTCTGATGCTGATTTTGTACTTCCTCCTCCTCTTCTTCTTCTCTCTCCCCTCCCCCCCTCTCTCAATATTATAATTTTAATCTAATTCTTAATATTAATAAGGGTCTAATATTCACGTCCCACGTTTTATACCATAGTTGGCACATAGTACTAAATCACTACCCTCTGAAATATCTTATTAATAACGCTCTACTCAATAACAATGGTTATCGATCAACATAACGGGAATTTCAAGAAAAAGGTTTCTTTGTCCTCAGATTTCACAATGTTGTTCTGACTAAATGTACATGTATGGTCTCATTTACGTACCCACCTTTAGATGCTGGTTGATTTCGTCTGGATCTCTGTTCATAATATCAATATCATCAGGTCCTAGCGTCACCTTCACCTCCTCCCCTGCAACTGTTGCTGGCTCGGTGCTCGACATGTTTGCTAGTTCTTTGAGATTATTTCTGTTTCTTAACCAGTCGTTATAGCGGTTATATTAAATATATCAAATTCAAGCTTGGCAGTGAGTTCAGAGTTCAATATACGACTGAATGGCTGTGTTTCTCGGTGCCTGATTTTACCGCCGAATCTGGAGACCAAGTGTCTCCACCTAACGGGTCAAAAGACTTATTTATTGATTTAGCCAGCTAATTCTCCAACGGCTTATTTCAGAAACTGTCTTTAGAGTGATAATATTTTAATTGCAATAATTAAATTTGTCGAGACTAAAACATGGTCGATAATTATTCTAGATAGATTGGTGAATGATTATAGGCTATCAATGTATCCAGTTTTGTAAAGCATTGTTACTACTCGTTCGGGGATATGTTTAAGAGGGTAGGTCTTTTATCGCGAAAGTAAGCAGAAATGTTGTGTGGGTATACAGCGACAACAATGAGGACGTACCGACCAAGTACGTCAAAGCCCACGGCGGTGTAGCGGTGTGTGGCTGCGTGGGAATGTGCGCTTAAGCTGCGTGGTCCAAGATCCAGAAAAGTGAAGAGACACAAAAATCGTGTTTAAAGGTAATTGTTGTCGAAATCAAATTGATTTATTTTGCAACATGTTGTACAAGTGACGGGACTTTTGACGGCAACTTTGTAATGCGTAAACTAACTGACTAGTGCTCTATTTGTGGACATAAAAGGTGGGGATTTTCCAACCTAAGCTAAAAAAGCGAACGTACACTTCATGTTAAGTGCATCTTCACTTTTCCGAACCTTTGATTAATAGACCGAGTGTAATTTTGTAATTTTACGACGAACTTTATTTATTTATTTATTTATTTATTTTAGGTTTATCCATACTTGTCTCTTAAATTGAATGGTATTTGGTCGAAAATTTTAGCTCTGAGAGCCACATTTGTACTCTATCCTAATTTTTTATAAAATGGTCCTAATTCAATGGAGACAGAGGCCGTAAGTCTACGAGATATAAGTGCCCTTTCATTAGAATAGGGTAAATAATAACCATAGATTGTTATATTAATTTTCTTATGTTTAAAGAGTTGTAAAATCCATGTTTTTCGTATGTTTAAAGAGTTGTAAAATTAATGTTTTCTTATGTTTAAAAAGTTGTAAAATCCGTGTTTTTCTTATGTTTAAAGGGCTGTAAAATCCATGTTTTTCTTATGTTGGCAATGCCATTGTTTCATTTCAAATGGAGTTTGGTTATCTTGAGTGCTGATAGTTCACTGCCGAGCTTGACGGAAGGGACAGATTCTAAGTCAGTCAAAACAAGGAGTGTTTATATCTCTTATAGGTTCTACTGAATGTGCATTATAAGGAAGAACAAACAATCAAACAATCAAAAGATGAACATCTTTTGTCTGTTTAAAAAGAATATCTTTTACCTATTTAAAAAGGATGTACGGGTATGACATATTTTTGTACTACAAGTATGAAGTTGGGGAAACAATCACTATCATGAACTGAGACCTGCAAATTAGTTGCCGAGGAAATATCCCATGTATGGATCTCCCAACTATCCTCTCTTTTAGAAGAACATTCCCAACAGAATAATGTTGGATAATGATACATTCATGGATCTAATAAACGCCTATATACCACTTCTAGAAGTTTCTTATAAGACTCAAATAAAGCCGACATGCCAAGGGATAAATCAAATTAATCATTCGATCAGCCATACAAGAGCTTTAGAGTGCACCTTCAAATTTTCTTATCACTCCTCATTTTGGCTGACCAAGATGCTTTAGGTGGTTCGTTGTCTCTGTTATTGAAGATTCTGGCCTTATCAGTCTTGCTTGACAGTAAACTGGTAACGGTACTCACTCTAATATGTACCAATCGCAATAGTAACATCAGATATGGAACCTATAACCCCGAATACATAAGAAAAAGCATCCGACTCACTGTAGCACCTATTATTCAAATGTTCTATTACTCAAGTCATTTCATCATTTTAACATAAGATTAATAAGATGGTAAATTTTGATTACTTACCATTATTGTATTATTTTGAATAATCTATTTCAGTGAAGAACCACAGGAAGATACAAGAAAAGCTTAAGAAGTGTTCCCTACCAAGATCTCAGAGTAAAAATTAATTAAAAAGGACGACAACTGAATAAAACAAATGTTTTGCAAGTGTACACATACAATGTTGACATTGACATTTCCTACATTTACCCACACAACTACATTTCTTACTTCTTAACCTTTTATCACCCCGTGCTTATTTACATTTTATGTTTCATTTTTTTAAAACTACAACCCGCCCCTCCCTTTAGATGTCTGCATCACATCTAAATTGACTTCAAAGAGTGGATTCCAACGCCTTTATGAAATTAATGTTTAATATTCAGCCACTCTGATGTTTTGAATGTTACTTTTTCGCATTTTGAACGGGGACAATGGAGCTGACGGACATTGCTACCCAGCAAATACATTTTGATGGCTGCTTATTCCTATCTTATCAGAATAACTTACACCCCAGAGACAGATAAATACAGAGATAAAATGAATAAGTAAAATATTCCTTTGTGAAGGATTTTGTACTGGTGAATTAGGTCATATTAAGAATGAAAAGAAGCAACAAACAGTAATTTCAGCCAACATTGAACAAGGTAATACATGTAATTGATCAGATATCTAAAGAAGCTGTAGCATTTCTCTTGAAGACACCGCAGCTCCTTGTCTTTGGACTACACTGTAATGTTATAATAAGAAATATAGTCTTGAAACTTATCCAATATTTCTTTCTCCGTCAACCCATAATCCGCACAGCAGTGTTGGTGTCGGTGTAATTTCCTCGACCTTTTGCGCTCAGCGACATACTTTGTCATCTTATCGGCCACTTCAGCGCTCAGCTCCATTCCAAGGTACGAACATATCTCTTTCACTTTCGTTATTGGATCCTTGACAAGATCTACCTGATGCACGTCTATGACGCGCACCTGTCTGCCGGATTGGTCGCAGCTTTTCCTATATTTGAGAAAAAGGTTGAGGTGAAATACGCTATATCCTCCAGCACTCGTCAAATTTTGTTATTACCCCAGGGTTGACGTACATCGGCAGAAGGGAATCAACAACTGAGCACCACGAGCTTACCTAAAATAAAATTCAATTATAGCGTTAGTGCAGTGTTCGTAGCTTTTTCACTTTTGTTTGCCATTTTTAAATTTAAATTAAAATACACAAGTTGCATATAATTTCTGAGGAGATCCTAATCGCACCAAGTATTTTACTATATTTACCCACTTTTTACATTGGTGAGTTTTGTGTATTAAAATTCACAGAGCAACGTCTAGCATTTGTCTAGCGTTTTATGTAACCGAATATTTAATTTTCTCCATTGTATATTTTGAATTGTACCATTTTTAGGGGACAATGTTAGCTTAAGTTTCCATGTGTGATGTCGAATGCATATAGGGGGTATTTCAGAACTATTTTACTCTTTTAGCAGTTGTAACCGCCACTTCAGTAGTAGTATAGAGATGCACGATGTAAAAAATTATCCTTTTTATCCTTTCTGTTGAAGCGTTCACCTGATAACATACAATGTCCACTGGGTTCCGCACGGGGTTGATAAAAGTGGCGTCAGGAAACACTTCCAACAAAGACTCCGAGAACAGGCTGTGGAGATGATCTTTCATAAGCAGTATCCGGTGGCCAACATCTACAAACAGTACCAAGATTGGCAATTATCTTATCCAATGTACTTCTTTCTATAACACTTAAATACTGTTATATAAAAATCTAGCTATGTTCAATGAGAAGAGAAATATTTCGAAACAGGAGTTAGCACAATGAGCAGTCAGCATCTTAACCCTATGGAATATCTCCATATAAGGCGTTTTCTAAGCAATTTTAAACATGTCATCTTTATACCTTCATCCCGGGACGTGATCATTTGCAGTGCTTTCTTGTAATCCTGGTAAAACCCAATCATATATAGTCACGTGTCAGTGCCGTTTTCCACCATTTTTCATACAGCGCAATATTAAAGCAGAACAGTATTGCAACTTTATCGATAAAACCAACAGGAGCAAAAAGATGGTAACACTCGTGCAGAAGTGTTGCTCCAATTTCATGTTTTGATGGGAAATCTGGATCTATCACCTGAAAGAAACCTGAAAAGGGCAAACGGTAATATACTGTGGGTTCACACTGGACAAAATATTCTAAAACCTTCAATTTGACGTCATTAACTACAATGTATCCACTGTGGCCCAAACTGCTAACTAGATGATTATTACATTCTCTAATGGTGTCAAAAATATTGTCATAGACCTCGATTCATATATATATATATATATATATATATATATATATATATATATATATATATCACGTGAGCATCTGCGTAAAACAACAGAGATAATAAATAAAAGTTGCAGCTGATAAAATTCTTTTTACTAGTACCATACACATGGATGTATATTTATTGTTACCATGGTACACAAAGCACTTCATTAATGCTGGAAAAAAGTTCACGAAGTACATGTATATGTAGTAGAATACAGCAACCGTTACTTTTTATGTATTGTTTTGAGGGGGGGGGGGCGACTCTTCCGACACTAAACTCGGAATATTTTGCGATTATTGCAGTGTCCACACTGTCTGAGAGCTACTGGATCTCCAAAACAAAATTTTAATTTAGTGCATATTTACCTGCCACTTCATCAGCATCAGCAATACGAGGGTCGTCCTTAGTTCCCGTCCCCGTTTCTGGATACACAGGGTTCAGAAGCTCATACAGCAGAGGCGGACGGAACGCTGGGTCTTGAGCAAGAAGTCCGTGTAAAAAGGTTGTCCCAGATCGCATTACCCCAAGCACAAAGACTGGCTTAGATAACGGCACCTGTTGGTGAATCAGTGACAAGGGCATCCATTTACCACCACCTAAACAATTTGCCAATTGGCAATATACATGCAATGTCTACTGTACACCAACACACCACATTTATTCAGCGTTTTTAATGCCTGGAAATGAATGAATGATTTCGGGTCTTGTGATTATTGCATCTCTACTGAATGAAGGAGTCCCAAGCATGTGCGCGACTTTTAATGATTTTTAGTTTTCATTTTTTGAAAATGATTAAATTTTGGCACGTGACATTGTGCAAACCGTGTATAAAAAACAGTTTTGGGGTGATTTTCGAAAGTTCAACAGCTTGTTAAATATCTCACGACAATATCATATACATATCCTGCACATGATTATTTAAAGAGTGAGATAGGCGCTTGTGCTCCTAAAACGTTTTTTGGGTATATTTAGTTAAATTGATTGATATTGTGTCATTTATGAGAGTAGACATGGGATGACATTTATCCTCATCAGTACATGATATAAATTGAGAAAAGTTACTTTCGATACAAAAGAACAGTTCAGCTCTTTCTTGGTTCCACATTAAATGATGCCCATCATTCTGATACAGAACGGACAGATGCGGTTTTTCGGGTCGGGTGTACCGTATCCTTTCAATGTTCAAATTGTGGAAAGTGATACATATTCTAATGCAGTCAACCGCTATTTAGTACGACAATAGCTTCAAGGTAATGTTTTTTTATTACTATACTGTATATGCTTAACACAATTTCTAAACCTATAAGCAAAAAGTAACCCACCTTGGTAATGCTGCCATCGTTCAAGAGACATTCCCGAATCTTGGCTCTTATTTGGAGTTTACATTTCAGTGCATCCACATCGTCTTCCAAACGTATTCAATGTTTTGTCAGTCCTGTAGCACCTGACTAGCAACGTGAACGGTTCGATCCATTTGTTATCTTGCCCATCTAATAAATCCCCAGCATCAAGAATGCGATCCTGGTTAATTTGGCAAAGTTTGATATCAAATATTTTAAAGCATTAATCACCCAAAATTAAATACACCAAATAAGCAGGCGGGTCACGCCTTCTTGGAACGACATCTTGCTCGCCGGCAGGCCTACCTGGTGTCTTCCTTCGGGGCCGAAGTGCACTGATACACATTGGTCCAAGCTAGGCCTCTGAGGTCTATTGCGTAACAGGTGTGGTTATGGGTCACGTAGGCAGGTGCATAAGGGTAGTTTAAAGGTTATCAATCAAACGCTGGTCTTTTCATTCGTCTTCCTGACAACGTTGCGACTCCCTCCATGTTTTATGTCATGTGTGAAAATTTCACCTTTCCTAAATGTGAAAAATTCATGAATCAAAGATGTATAGGCTACACGGGAGCTGTAAAGAAAATTGTTACAGAAACATCAAACCTGTACAGTGTCTAGCATTTTTACTTGTACCTGTAACTTTTTAAAAAGGTAGCCTATATGGCTTAAATATGTCCTTTCCAGACACCCTTTGCATGGTTTTCTGGGTTCAAGTCAGATCCATACTTGCATGAGTAGTAAGTGATAAACAATGAACTGGTATTTTCTCAACTAATAAGCATACAAAATAAGCTGTCGCGCCTATAAAACTCACTGAATAAGATAATTTCAGCCACAATACAGGCGACAGTCCATATTTATGGCACGTTTTAATGAGAATCCCGCGATCTATGTCATGAGCTTACTTTTTTTTTCTATAATACTTTTCCTAGTATGCATCTTCATAATAAGTTTAAGACCAGGGCTGCTTGAGAGAGAGAGAATAGTGGAATATGGTCAATAAGCCAAGCCATAAACAATTTAAATAGTATTTAGTGCTCTTATTATCAAATCTATTGAATTATTAAGATAGATTAATTTCAGTATTATATTTCAAACGGTTTTAAATACAAACATTCAACACCGTCTAAGGAAAAGTACATTAATTGGCTTCTTAATGGACTAAATGAAATCCAACTAATTTAAAACTTGGCCACTTGGAGGACGAATAACCATAAGTCGACGCGCTGGTGGCAGCAATTGAAGCCCCAGGTCGCAAAAGGCAAGTAACGCAACGAGAAAGGCAGAAAGGGGAAAAAAAACTGCTTTTAAGTTTAGAGCACGAGTTGTAGAAGGAGCGTGGGGAGCTTTAAAACATCACAGCTACTAACTTTATTTAAAAATGTAGCAATTATTTCAAGTTAAAAATTTTTCTACCTCCAACTGCTCTTCCAACGTCCTTGTCAAAACGTTTTTTCCTTGATTTATCTGGAGAATTTCTGGAAAACGCTTTTCAGGGAGAGAGAGGGAAAGAGAGAGAAGGGGGAGGGCTTAAGCTTGTTCAGTATGCAATAATATGCAATAAAATGTCATAAGATACACTTAAAATATAACACGTTTATCTATGTAGCCTACACCTATGTGGCAGTGAACAACATAAAAAATGAATGCACAAAGGCGGAGTCATCAGATGCGAAACTAAACCTCAGAGCAGAAACAACTTCGTGAAGATGGCAGCCCCCTACACCGGACAGGTGAGTTATATAAATGCACTTATTTTATCTCTATTTTGTAATGTCATTCATAATTAATGGAAGCGACGTAAACGTGAAATTATTTACTTTCTTTAAAATTGTAGTGAACCATCCCTGGACTGGTGCTAAAACTGTGCGATGTCACCGTTTCACAGCAACGTGACACCGGCACCTGTTTGTCGTGTCTGTCTATTCGTAAGCACTGCAACGCTCATCTGCTATCATAATTACCTCATAAGCGACCTTCAAAGCATTACCTTAGTATACCATGATATTAAAAGAAACAGATAAAAATAACTTGTCTAACGAATCTGTTCATATAAAATCATGTGATAGCGTAGATATCTCTTGGCCCCACACATTAAAAATTAAAAACAAAATGGAAATAACGTTAGACGACTTTATTATCAAGTCTACCCACCCTCCACACATCTCAGATTGTAAAGTTAAATTATATATATAATATAAGGAATGTTTGCATGCACAACCAAAACGCAATCAACATTTAAAATTTATTTTTTATTAATCAAGGCTCCATATCCCTATCAGCCAACAGCAAATCTAGAAATGTGTGTTTTACTAAAAGAAGCCTTGCCAACTGAAGTGTTTAATTGATATCAAACACTGGATATTTTTTATGAATTAATAAAATATTCAATCAACAGACCCATAGCCAGAAATTTCAAGGAGGGAGGGGTCTTTTTTTGAAAAAGTGGACCTTTTACCATGAAACCTTTATGTACCTTTATGTATCCAGCAAATAGGTTGGCTCTGGGTAAAATTGATCCAAATCAATTTTTTCCAGAGTGGACTTTTTCCTAGCAAAAAGGGCAGCTTGTTTGAGCCCCTGGAACACACCCCCTGATAAAAGACTATCACGCTTTAATCAGATTTTTTTTCTCAATTCATACACCTTGTCATACCAGAAGTTTCTCTTCAAGTATAAGTACTAAGAATCCATCCCAGTTGCAGCTATTCAAAACCCTCATGCAGTAACTGGCCAGATAATACATGTGCTGTTAAAGGATAGTAATCTATTGATAGGTTTGTTTTTTAATTCTCCATTTATTTAACTGAAAAAAGAGACATAATGCCTTCTCCCTCATAAAAAAAATTATAAACTAGAAAAGCACTCTGGGAGCACAGACCTCTGCCATGGCAGCAATCTTTGATTATTATTGATTAATTATTGATCCAGATCACCACCAAAAACTAATCATCTCTTCCTTGGCCCACTTCTGACAGTTCCTGAAAATTTCATCAAAATCGGTCCATAACTTTTTGAGTTATGTTGATGACAAACAAACAAACAAACAAACAGTAAAAACATAACCTCCTTGGTGGAGGTAATTAAATAAATAAATAAAATTAAGTAAATAAAATAAAAATAAATAAATAAAATAAAATGATTAATCGGTAAGTAATTTAATAAAAAGACTGGATCCAACCACCACAAATTTCCTATGCTGAAGGCTTGAATGTGTTCCATGCAGATAACATAACACAGTGCAGATCTATTTAATACCACCTTAAACTGATCATTTCCTTTTTAAGTAAATAAAAAATCTTTTACTTGAGATTTTAACATTTTACACATTTAGGTATACTGGATAATTATCTGATAACACCCCAAGGGTCTTATTTGAATAACAATGTACGAGTGAGTACATAATAAAGCTGACTGCCTAACAATGATATGTATCATGTAACACTATTTTCATCAGTCAGTTTCACACAGTTATTTCTGAGCCCGGTGTCATCTTGAGAATAGCCCTCCATTGGGTCACCTATGCACTACATGACTGTTAATATTTTGCTATATATTTCATAAAAATGTCTTTGCAGGCATTCCCCCCACTAAAAAATGATCTCTTATTACGAGCTGCTGCAGGAGAGAAAACAGAACGGGTACCAGTCTGGGCAATGAGGCAAGCTGGGAGATATTTACCAGGTAAAACAGTAGTTATGACACCAATTAGTTTGGGATTCAGTTCTACTGGTATGTTGTAAAGAACAAACTGCAGCATTATCTTCATTATCCAAGTTTGAAGTACTGAATGTTTCATACATGTATAATTTTCATTTTTACATTAAATTGAAAAAAAAAAAAAAAAAAAAACGCCCTAGCTAATGAAGTTTAGTTTGTTGTGGATGAAACTGTTTTATAGAGAGCCTATGGCATGGTGATAAGACCAATATTGTTAAATTTAATCTTCTTGTTTCAGAATTCCATGAAGTCAGAAGCAAACATGATTTTTTTGAGGTCTGCCAAACACCAGAGTTGGCTTGTGAAATAACTTTACAGGTATGTGAGCTTGAAGTAGAATAGATGGCATAGTGTTAGGATGATTATGAAATTAATATTTTCAATAAAATGATGCGTTTAGAGTTTTTTCTAGACTAAAATTTCCATTAACTGCACGATGATCCTGTGTCTTATTTAACTTCATGAAACAATTCATAATGATATTTTTTATTGATTCTCATTCATACTACATATTATATACACTGTAATTGAAAATTTGATTTCAGTTGTTTATTATTCTACATATTCTACATGTTTAATTTCAGCCAATTAGAAGACTAGATTTAGATGCAGCTATCATCTTTTCTGATATCCTAGTTATTCCACAAGCAGTAGGGATGAAGGTTGAGATGGTACCAGGCAAGGTAGGAAGTTTGTGCATAGTGTAGTTTTATGCATACATATATGTTTTGTGTTGGGTGATGCCATTTATGGAAACAAAAGCACATCTTGTACACTTTGTCGTCTGTAGCAGGGGCGGATTTAGGCCATCTTCTGGGTCTTCCGGAAAACGGTCAGATTTTCAAGTTTACATTGACGGGTATCTAATGTTTTCTGTCGGAAGACGGTCAAAATGGAGGATGGATCAACAAACATAATTTGGAAGACTGTCAGAAAATATCTCTGGATCTGCCCCTGTGTTGCATAGATCACATCACTTGTCTCTTTATAATTTTCTTCAACAGGGAGGCATGGATAGGTTATTATTTCATATTTAACAACCTTTTTAATTCACATGCACCCTGAGTTATACATAAGTAGCAGTGGCTTTTTTATTGAGAATACATTGCTGGATAGTCGCCAACAATACTCAGAAGCACAGGGTGCTTACATGCTATTGTGATCATGCATGGCTTGAGCAATTTTGAAAAGAAAGCTTGTCTCCATGTTGTAATGCTTTACTGCCCCTGCCTAGATGGCACCTTACCTATATATTATTTCCCATATGATTGTCATTTATAACTACACTGTTAAAGCAGGTGACCCTAAATATGTGCCAGTAGATCAACATTTATTAGTCCCACATTGAAGGTATTTTTACAAGAGAAAGTCATTATAAATTTGGATTCTTGGTTACTGTTACTGTTCTGAATTTATGTGCCAGCTTATTATACATTAATGATACATAATAGGGGGGATACACTGGCAATTATTTTTGTCCTTAACCTTCAACTTCATGATGTAGACATGGGGAAACTACCTATCCAACAGGTCATGACTTCTGAAATGCCAGTGGAATTGTTTTTGTGAAAATACCATACATAATTTTAAATCAAAATATTTACTTTGGACCAGCGCAGAACTGGGATGACCCACAGATTTCTTGTACTGCATTGCAGGTCCTTCCGGACCTTCAGTATCTTCAAAGTTTTCCCCATTCTGTGATGTAACAGTATGCTGGTTTATCTTATTTTCATTTCATAATTTTTTGTTTTCCTTATACTTCTGTTCAGCTTAAAATTTTGATGGTTTCCTTGTTTATATTTCTGCAGGGACCAACATTTGATGACCCTCTGAAGACTCCTGACGATATGAAAAATCTAAAAAAAGATGTAAATGTGTATGAAACACTTAACTATGTCTTTGAAGCTATCACACTGACCAGACACAAGTTGGAAGGAAAAGTTCCTCTTATAGGATTTAGTGGTGCTCCTGTAAGTTTTTCTGTATCTGAAATGTTATTTAAAATGACGTGAACATGAAATCAGATTAGCTACAGGTATATACATGTAGTTCTATAATGCTTGATGGAAATTTAATAGAACTTAAATTTTGATGGGTGAAGTGGGGTGGGGCCGAGAGAGGATAGTGTAGGGTCAATATTTGTATAGTTTGATTTATTAAAATACTGGTTTTATGTAAACTATTATTATTTTCTTCACAGTGGACACTTATGGCATATATGATAGAAGGAGGAGGCTCCAACACATTCTCTAAAGCCAAAAAATGGCTTTATGTGCATCCTGAGGAAAGTCATCAGCTGCTACAACTTCTCACTGATATCATAGTGCAATATTTAGTGGGGCAAGTGCAAGCTGGAGCACAGGTAATCAATGCATATTGGTCTTCGTGTGAAGCACAGAGGCCATATTGTTCTAACTTCTATTGCTTTTGTGAATTTTGGTAATACTATCCATTATGAATGATTATTTGCCTTATGTCTAATGTAGTTCCTTTATTTTTGAACATTGAACATTTTTTGTTATTAATTTAAACCCCCTCATATATTGAGTCCTACTGCATGCCACAGTCCCTGACTCTACCTACATTGTAAATCAGCTACAGTTCTAAATAATGGCATTTTTACAAAGAGAGCATGTTACCTGTAAGTATAGATAAATTACTGTTAATTTTGTCAATCCAAAATAATGTGTGCCAAAAACACTATGACCATTAGAAAATCCCACTCCTGTCCCTCTTTTTCAGATCCTACAGCTGTTTGAGTCACATGCAGGGTGTCTTGGACCAGGAAACTTCTCCAAGTTTGCTCTACCTTGCATCAAGCAGATCTCAAAGAGAATCAAGGAAGAATTGTCAGTCCGAGGAATCAAACCTGTTCCTATGGTGAATATCACATGATTGGTTATTCCACAGTTTTCAAAATATCTACTAGCTTGATATTATATAAGAATTTTACATTTTACATTACCATTTTTGTATTTGAAATCCAGTGTTTGATTAAATCATTGGTGAATTTTGTATTCTTTTATTTCAAATTAAAGCGTCCCCTTTTGTCTTAAAAAATTCTATTTTGCAGATAATATTTGCCAAAGACGCCCATTTTGCATTGGAAGAATTGGGTGAGAGTGGTTATGAGGTGGTTGCCTTGGACTGGACAGTAAAACCAAAACATGCTAGGTATGTGAATTTCAAAGCATTATGATTGTGTAACATGAAGATAAGTATTGGGCATATAATATGACTGGCAGTATTTCAATTATGACTACTGACACATTGCTGTATTTGATTTTTTTCTTTTTTAGGAGACTTGCCCCAAACGTCACTTTGCAAGGAAATCTAGACCCTTGTGCTCTGTATGCCTCTGAGGTAAGACAGAAATGAGACCAGCTTATAGTAAAAGTTCAGTCAGCAGACTGGGCTTTTACTTAATAACACGTGTATTTGTTTTAAATATGTATATTGACATTTGATATTTTTTAGCATGCTTATTAACCTGAAAAACTGGCATGATTATCTTAATCTTTAAGAAAACATTTTTATTCACTTGTATGCGTATATAAAATAGGTAGTGCTACAAAGATACCCTTTGTCCTTTTTTAAAAGACCTTATTTTCATTTGTGCAGGAGGAAATATCCAAGATGACCAAAGAAATGCTCAAGAATTTTGGCACCCAGAAATACATAGCAAACCTAGGGCATGGAATGTATCCAGATCACAACCCAGACCATCTAGCAGCTTTCATCAACTCTGTGCACAGACATTCAGAGCAAATGAATCAGGGATTATGATAGACGAACCTTCGATTGAATTAAAGAAATACATGAAGTCCAGGCATTTATTTGATTTTTCTCTTTTCCTTTTTTTATTTGGACATTTTTAGAGGGTATTTTTTTAAACCAAATCTGTTCAGTGACTTATTTGAAAAAAGAATAATTTTAAATATTAGAATAATGTCATGTTAATTAAGAAAACATTATAAAAATGCTACTTCTAGTCTAGAGCTTATATCATGAGGATCTTTATATCTAGTATATTATTGGCAAACAACTGCTGATAGTCAACACAGTTGCTACAGTTATAAACTTTTTAAAATATCTCCATTGTATGGGGTTGACATTTATGTGCATCTAATACACAAGTGCACATCATGACAGCTGATGAATTGTTAGGAAGTTTGGTTTAGCTTTCATCCTTCTCTTAAGAAGCTGAAGCATGTGTAGCTGAAATAAATTCTAGGTTACGGTAAATTGTTAACATATTTAAACAACGGGTAAGGGTTCTTTTGTTATCTTGTTTTTGGTTATGGCATTTTGATCTTTAACTATTTAGTCACCCAAACAGTGTTTTAATGGAACGCAAACCAAGTTGTGCAGCCAAGTTAAGTCAAGTTAAAATATAACATTTTATATGATTGGATTTAGGTAAAAGTAAGTTTATCAGTTTTTTTTCAGTAAATATACATTTATTTAGTCAAAAATTTATGCTATGCTATAAAAATGGCATTGCCCTGCTAGAACAGGTAAATCTTAACATTATTTTGCACTCATCCACAAACAAGCATTTATACTGCATAATGAAAATAAAAAGGTGTAACAAGTACCTTTTGTTTGATTAATTTTTTGCAACAATCACTACAATATCCCAATTTAATTATAGCTCTGCCAACAGGCAGTGAAAAATGTCCTCTTTATAAGGACTAAAACTGATCCCTAATGGTTTACCCGAATGTAGATGTGAATAGTGTTGTCACAGTAAGCACTGTAAGATGAGAAATGGATAAAAGGAATTGCATTCATGTAATCTCATTTGGATTCCTTATAATGTTCATGAACTAGTACAACAAAGAATTGCTTTTTTGAGGTCTTTATGCATGTCATTATTTATAAAGGATGTAATGGACATAAAGGAGAAATGTTAAATACCAATCACGATTACTACACCTACTTAAATTATGTTACTTGGAGAATTTTTCAGCATGTGCTCCCTTCAATACAATTCTTCCGTGATGAAATTTAATTGAACATATCGGAGGTTAAAGAGACAAAGTGTAAGATTTTACACAATGTTTATGTGTTTTTGATTTAAGTCCATAAACTGTTTCTTGTTGAACATATCCAGATACAGGAAGGACCTGCGCGTACTACAAGAAATCTGCAGGTCTTCTTAATTTTGTGCTGGTTGGAAATAAGTATTTTATTTCTGTTAATCCACATTCACACATGATTTGTCATTATTATGTATTGTATTTTTACATAAACCTTGCCAGTCCAATGATTTAATGTAAATATGGAATAGACATTCTTTTTATTTTAAAATAGGAATAATAATAGTAACAATAATAATAATAATAATCATTCTTTCACCGACTCTTGTGATGAGAATCGTTTTTTGTATTTCAACTCATACTAATTTCAGTGTTGAAAAGGATTTTATAAACGTCTGCACTTCAACTTAGATTCAACATTTACGTAACCACCAGTGCATGCTGTTGAGATAATACTTAGACATATTGCAAAATTATGTCATCATGAAGAAGTGCATCTGTCTCAGTCTGTTACATATAAATTATTCCAGTTAAAAAAATAATAATGTGTGTTATTACAAAGCACAAATACCTGCTGTGTTTTAATGGTACTTTGATTCTTTAGCAATTTTCCTACAAAACTATTTCTTGAGCATGATATGTTTGTCCTGCAAATCTGGCAAGTATTGGACATGAAATCAAAGACAAATTTTTTAGATTTTTATTATGCATTCTGTCAAGAATCTGCCTCTTTTATGTTTCCAACAGTTTCCACTGGAGAACTAGATTCACTTTCTAGATTCTCTTCCTGACTGACAATACTACCTTTGGTCGTATTTTTGGTTGTATTTTGATCATAAGCAGCAATAGCCATTTTCTCTTTGGTTTCTTTGTTCACTGTTATGGCTCTAATATTGGCTGGTTGTAGTTTTTGCAAGGCAGATTGTAAATCTTCTATCTGCAATGAAACAATAGCAAATTTTATAAAAGTAAAATAAAACAAACAAACAAACAAACAAACAAACAAATAAATAAATAAATAAAAGAAAATTACAGTTCACATGGTCCTAAATCATGTCTTTAAATCATGGTTTAAATGTAAAAAACTTTTAATCGATTTTTTTAATTTTTCATTCAAGGATTGAATTTATACATGTAAATTATATAACATGTATTTCAATTCCAAGAAAGCTCTGAAGGTATCACAGTGTTTAGGGTAGCTTAGTTCATAAGTTTAGCTAAGAACAACACAGAGACAACACCCAGATGTGTCTTAGTTAGTGGCTTATACCAAAAATACAACACAACACAACCAAAAGACTACATGGTGTCAATGGGTAGCCATCACATAGCCTGGCACTTCCCTACATTGTCAAGAGCAAGAGCAGGTCACCCCTAGGGACACATCCCATATATGAACATAATGAATGTCATAAATAATAATATATTCAGTATTATGTCTTCATCCCAAATCTAATGATCTAGGAGGATTTTACAGAAAATACATACTGAAAAGAACTGTTGCACTAAAATTCCAGAATGCCCATCACTGGCAACAGGTCTTCCAATCCCCAGTTTCAATTTCCTAACTCTAATGGAATAGGAGGAGATAGCAGACATTACTAACGCACTGAAACAAGGACCTACGGATGCACAGACCTGAGCAGGATAACATGATCCCCAACTTTTGTCCCAAAAGTGCAGGGATAAAATTCTCACCATTTGCTTCTGCTCCCTCCATAATGCCTGTGCAGCAGCACTATCAGGTATCCCAGTAGGTTCCAGTCTCAAGAGTCCAAATGGAAATCCTAGCCTGTACCCGTTCTTCATGATCAAAGTCAGCACCATAAACACCAAGAGAAACAGTACCACTATTCCCAGCACCACTGGCCACAGTTGAGCAGGCAAATCATGTAGGAGTCCACGGAAAAATTTGCTTATAGCCTGTGCTATATACTCTACTGGTTCTAGGAAGAACTTGGTTAGTGTCACAGCCACAGCCTTAGTGGGGGTTACCTCCCACAGTGGGTCAACTAAGAGATTTTCATGGTAAAGAGCACATTCATCATCTTGAAAGGTAAAAGAAGATTTAAGCCATTCAAATAAGTTGTGCTGCCAGGTGAGGTCTCTTGGGCGACATGCTTCCGGAATGTCTTTCATTGCTTCGCTCATTCTTTTGGCCACAGCAACCTTCAAAGCAGAACAACACAAATAATACTGAATTATAACATTTAGCATCAAATTTGACTGTCAAAACATAATGTAGATAGTGCATAAAGCATATCAAGTTGCAAATTTGATAAAATTAGTAATCGATACAAAACTGGATGACAGTTTTGAGGTGCTCCAATTAATGTGTACGTATAGAAGGTTAAAATAAATACATGTGGTATCAAAACCAATTCTACATGTACTGACAAGGAAAATATGTTGAAGCACACTTACCTTGTATAAATGTACCCAGTTCCAGGGAACACTAATGAATATGCTGAGAAGAATCATAAGCCTCATCCCTGACACACTGAGAGTATAGAAAACCTTCAGACTACCAACAGCAAGAAATACAATAGACACCACCTGAATTTAAAAAAAAAAAGATTTGATAAGAACATATTTTCTTAATAAAAAGAGCAGCATGCAATGTCCTGATTTGGAAATATGACCATAGAGAAACAGTTATTTGCCACAACAAATATCTGGAGTTCACCATCCATTTTGATCATGTATTTCACATTTAGGTACATTGTGGCTTATGAAAGTCAATAATATATGTTGTATTTTGGATAGCAAGAGAATTGATGCATTGGCTGCCAAGGTTACTTATTATGATGTCATTTTTGTACAGTGTGAAAATATTGTCAATACTAGCTTACAACTATGCAGTAAAATTCGAATGCAGAACCTAAATCAAGTGGGACACATTTAATAATGTGACAATAAAAGATAAGCAACAATATCTAAAAACAAATATTACTCACCTGTAATGCCATCACTAAATATGCAGACACCTCCTCCCTAGTGACCCATGGTTCTTCAGTGTGTGACACTATTTTCACATCTTGAATCATCTCCCCTAGTACAGAACTGGCATCTTGAACAGTTCCAGACTTTAAGACGTAGGCCTTGAGAAGTTTCAACTGGGCTGCTGTCAGCTTTACATGCATCTGGTAGTGGAGCGTCTCATCATCTGGCAGAAATTTCTGAAACCGAAAACAGAAAATTGTTTTACTATTTTAAAAATGTTAAGCTATAGATTATCTTCCACATGGGCCTCTGTTACCAGTTGTACAGCAGAACTGGCTTTGTTCCCTACTTCAACCTCTATATGCAGAGTGCTTAGAGAGGAGACAGCAGTTACCATTTTCATGTTGGTCTTTGGTACGACCCAGCCTGTGATTGAACTTACAAGCTCATAGTACTGATCATGACCAAAGGTAAGCATTCTACCATATGAGCTGTCTGGTCCAGTTCCCATTTCAAAATCTGCAGGGGCGGATCCAGAGATATTTTCTGACAGTCTTCTAAATTATCTTTGTTAATCCATCCTCCATTTTTGACCGTCTTCCGACAGAAAACATAAGATACCCGTCAATGTAAACTTTAAAATCTGACCGTCTTCCGGAAGACCCAGAAGACGGCCTAAATCCGCCCCTGATCTGTGTTTGGTTATTTCTTGCAATAAAAGTATTATTACCAAATACTTATTACATTATATCATTATAAAGTACCTGTCTTAAATTCTGGGAGTAGTATAGGTGTGATAAACCCCTAACCAGTCTTTTATAATAAGGATCCCTGTACAGAGTACAATGGGGTCATAGATGACCCCACTTGGTCATTTCAGTCAGTAAAATAGCTTAGTCGCTTGAGGGTTAATGAGATAAAAGCAAACATACTGGGTAAAATGTGTTAAGTAAGGATTCCAATGCTTTTCTGTAAACTACAGGTAAACATAATCCAAATATTTTGCAAAGATTGCAGATTCAAAACTTTTCTGAAAACTAAGCATACATTACACATCATAAAAATAAATATATATATATAAATGTACTTATCCAAGTTATTAAAAAATTAAAAATCTTCACCTTTAAAATTAAGAAAACAATACATAGTAATATTATCAAAAAAATCAAAATGTTTTTAATTACTTTGAGATCCATATAGTTGATCAAGACTTGCACAAACTGTCTGAAATAAGGCATCTCCACTGGTTGGATAACACAAGACTGGCTTTCCAGTTGTAATTTGTCATTTTCTTCTTTGCAGATCACCAATTTATTTTCACACTCATTGATGATCTTAGGGCAGGGCACCTGTTGTGCTTTCACTTCACCTCTTTCCTCCTTTAAATAATGAGCATGATATACCTGTATCAGTCTTAGAAAAAGATAACAACAGATATGAGCTTTCTCTGTGGAAAAGTGGAATTCCGTGTTTTTAATTCATTTGATTCATTAAGGTTAGGTGTTAGGTCCCATGATAAATGTTCAGAGTTCTTTTTTTAACCTAGGTTCATGTCTGATAACTGTGAACTTGATTGTAGATTACATGCACCACACAATCATATTACAAATATTTTCAGCACAAATGTCTCTTTTTTTACTGGAAAATATATAAGTAAGTGCATTTGTCCTACTAGTTTCCAATAAACAACTCAATTTACAATACATCATTTCTGAAATAAAAATTTTAAAGAACATTTGAAAATACTTTAACTCTACAGTATAACATACATACATGTACCTTGCTAAACTGCCGTTCAACCTTCCTGCTGTCAAATTTCTCCATGTCATGAGGGTCAATCCAGTCTTTCTGAACTTGTGACAGCACACTGCTTACTAGCAGCATGGCAATAACACACTGCAGGACTGCAGTCTGATACGTGAAGCAGCTCTGTTCTAACATTTGTTAAGCTACTGTACATGTACCCAGTGGCAGAATGGTCAATATGTTATCTGTCACATCACAACCTGCCCTACGTGTTCAGAGCTGTGGAAAAAAATATTAAGAGTTATCAGTTATGATTTACCATTCATGGAATGAAAATCCATGTGGAAGTAACAATGGAAGTTTACATTCTTCCATGATCTACAAGGCTAGTAGGAGGAAAAGGTCTGTTGGTAAACACAACCCAGCCTGCATATTTTCTCTTATGTTGACTGTTCACCTCAGTTTGTGGTGTTTGAACTGTGGTTTTGTGTCAGCTTTGTAACATTAGTACTATTAATAATACACACGCTATCACAGTCTCCATGTATTTTTATCTAAAACAAAACTAGTATAGTAGTAAAAAATCTTGTGAAACTTTTACTTTCACTTTTGGAAGTGATATTGGTTTTTGACACATTGCTATCGTGCTCTAATATGCATAGAATTCAATATATAAACTGCCTTAAGATATGCCTTAAGATATAGGTCTGTAAATTGTCTATTGCTGATAACAAGACATGCGTATTTCTACCTTAAGCCATAACACCGGAAGTTGCCTCTCGGCGCATGTGCGGAACGTGCGTCACATTGAAGTGAAATATGGCGTCGGACAACGTGAAAGATTTAACTGGAAGAGATCAGGGTCCTGAGGAGGTAGATTATGCTATAGTTTGTTTTGTTTTATAGCTGCGTCACATATGGGATATCATTAGTTACCCTGACAGATTGCTTTTCACTGTTAATTTGATTGTTTAATTTAGGATATTTACAATTTAGAACCATTGACCTTACCTGGCACGAAGTTGAAGTGAAGAACGGTACTTGTGTATGCCCCCAAAACGACAGGCCTTTGACTTTCGTTGTTTTTTCTAATTTCGGTTATGATGACACTTAAATAAATGTATTTGCTATTTCAAGGAAAATATTTGAAAATTTGTTAAGTATGCCAAAACAATTTGTCATATGTAAGCATCTGTCAGTAAACTCAACAAGTTGCATAGGTTTTTGAGACAAAAACTCAAAATAAAACAAACAGCCATCATATTGCCACGAAACCAAGTCTACCTATAACAGCCCAAGGTAAATTGCCCTGTTTTTCATATGGATATTCAACTCTCATTGTGTAAAAACACGTCAGGTTTGTTCATATTCAATGAATGCTCCAAAATTGACATCCCAGGCTACATGGTGCAGCATTCTTTTGATAATTTGAAAACCTATCAAATTAAAAAAAAAAAAAAATTAACATAATGCCACTCAATCAAGGAAGCCCCACTCTCTCTTTTAATTGAATGTGAGGTGCAATTTAAACAGCACATTATGATGCTTTGGATAAATTTGTTCTAAAGATATCTGGGTCAGGCAACTGGTGACAGTACAATGATATGATGGACAGAAGTAGATTATGGTAGAAATTCTAATTCTTTTGGATTATTGTAGAATGTCACTTGATATGAAGATAAGAATTGGTTGAAGTATTTGTATTAGTGCTGTCAGTGCTGCCCCCTGCTCCTTTGGTCTTGAATTTTTTTGCAAAATATATAAAATTTGTTTCTCGATTTCAGATTGAAGGTCTCCAAATCATGGTATGTGAATATTAGTGATAAAAATTATGTTATTGGGATGTTTTATGATAGTACACAATTCATATCAGATTTCAATTTAATGTGAAGTAATCTCATTAGCAGTGTTTCCCCTGGCTTTCAAGCTCTGCGAGGTGGTAGGCAGTCCGCNACTTAAAAGGCAACATAAATAATGTTATTCAATTCATGTTTTATACAGAACATTTATTTTTCAAATTCAAATTTTAACTGTTGCTTCGTCTTTTTTTTTAGGTATCAAGAGTCTTACTAAAGAAACTGAAATGATGAGTGGAGCACTTAGGAAGAACAATTATTGTTATAAATTTGTGTCAAGGATAATATGCACGTTTACCAAAGTAGGAAGAATTTTCTTTGTGGTGTCACAGTGTGGTCAGTAAATTGGAGAAGAACTGTTGACACTCCTTCTGGAAAGTTTGGAATGGTAGATTCTGTCTAGCTACCTCATATGCTAATAGACAAAAGATGGAGATGTTACTGGAATGCTGTCTTTCACTGGAGAATCACAATTAATAGATATTGATAAAAACTAAAGACTTTGATAGTTAATGGCATCAATAACTCTGTTGGTTATTGCAAAAGAACGCCCAAGGACTGACAACAGTTTTTCTAAAGACCTTTGTATGGAAGGTTATGTGACAAGTTGATTTGATTATTAATTTAATGAGTTTACACAGTAACACTTCCTCTGGTTCCTTTTTAAGAGTTTGGTGGTCCATAATAATAAAACTGTTTAAATTTACTCTATATGTATTTGTTGTATTTCTGCTTTTGATGTGCCTCTGTAGCAAATTTAGTTATGTTATTATTCAATCTTGAATAATGTACAAAATTTGTGAAAATTGATAAATAGAAACACTTGTATATTACATATGTAGATAAGACGTTGTTACATTTGAAAAAATTCTGCCTTAAATCTGTTTGAATAATTTTCAATCATTAAGAATTAACAGTCGATGGTTGCAAACTATGACTAATTACATCTAAAAAGTTATTTGACTACCTGTCATGACTGCAACTATCAAAATGCATTAAACAGAGATAATGCTCAAAATAGTTATTGGACAGACACCATATAGAAAATGGCACCTAAACTGCACTGAATGGCTCCTTTGTCTCCATTTGTGAAAGGCCACTTGTGCCTTCCCAATATGTTCTGTAGCACCCACACCCCATCTTTTTTTTTTTTTTCAGATAAACCTTAAAAGCTTTTTGCCAGAAAAATGGCAGGGAAATTGCTGTTAGGCCCCCTTTGCAAATAATGATTTTCCACTAGTGCAAAAAATAAAAAAATTAAAAAATGGCATTAACCATTTTTTAACCAGTGATGGATTATACACTATTTGAACCATTGAGAAAGTCAACAGGCCATAAATAAAATGTAGTCCAGGACTGAAAATCAAAAGCGTGTTACATGCTTAAAAAATCAAATGTGTTACATAAGACAACACAAAGCACGTATGCTGTGCCCCTTTTTACTTCCAATAACAGTTGGCTGTGTTCTGGAATAAATAGGATATTCTGGAGGGGACCTGTAAAAGTTTTATCCATTCGTTCTGTCACGACCCGAAACTGGCCTTTCTTGATTTTTAAATGTATAATCGCATTCAATTTGCTTGCCTTTTAAATTCTCCACATCCGAAACGAGAGTTTGCGATATTAGCAAATTCCAGGGTTGTGTTGATGTATGTTTCAAGTTTTCAGCGTACTACCTAGGATTTAGGATTAATTGAAATACTGATAAACGTTTAACTTTTATATCCAACATGTGGCTACCGTAGTAATAACCATAAAAAGGTATGTATCGTTAGCTAAGTCTGAATAAGCCTGACGTTTACATGTTGCTAACCAGAGGGGGTCAAATGGCTGGCTTATCTTGTCTGTTCATAAAATTATATGTTCGTCGCTTCTTATTGGCGTTACTCGTAGTATCTTAGCCCCTTGGACTAGCGCGAAAACTCATGCGTTAGCACTCCCTTATTACTGTTTTTTGATATGTACCCCTACGTTTGCTAGGACACGAAAGATGTAAGACAAGATAACTGTAAAATGACGTCCAACCACTTGTAAATGTAGCAGTTGCTCTAATAACTTTTGCTTACATCTCACCTTATCAATTGAACACTGCTGAAAAGCCACTCTTTCCCATGTAGGTTAGCATGGAGAGGGGTAGAGAAGATGTGAGTGATAAATGTACAGTATGTACATGTGAGAAATTTGGCAAAATACCCAGAGCGTGAACGGTTTAATGCTAACCCAAACTTGTAAAAAATCCAAGAACAATCTTGTCCATAGTATTTTCTGTTTTTTCCATTTTAGGTTTAATAACCATGGCTGATGATATTGAATATTTTATACAGCAACAGAAACAAAAGCTAGCAGCAGAGAGGAGGTCTCTGGGACAGGTAAGGTTTTCATTACTGTTTACTATTTAAAATGTGTGTGGGATGACAAAATCTACCTTTAATAATGGGAGCACCTAAAATGAGGCTGCTAGCAGTGCACAACTTAATTCCAGATATGAGAAAGCGATTCAGGTGTAACTGTATGTTTACAAATTTTGTTTAAGTAATAAAAAGTGGCATGAAAACATTGGCATTGTCGTGGAGAAGAAAGTAATTGGGCATAACTCCAGAGGAACAAAGACACAGAGAACATTTTCCATTGTTGTTTTTTCTCAAATTTTATTCAACACTTCACTCTTGAGTCCCAGCACCCAAGCTTCAATGCCTGTTTGCCAAGCAGTTCAGCATTCATAGAAGCTAAAAAAAAACAAAAAAAAAAAACATCACTGTTATTAGATAACTGTGGTAAATACTATGATGACGATCATGCCCAATGTTGAAAATGTATCAATCATTTATCCTATCAGTCCAAGATATGCAGTTGCTGATCAGTTGTTAAATGAAAATGCTATCTTCTATCTCCTTTCTTTCCTCAACAATGCTTGCATCAAACAGCAGTTTTCATTAATATTAGGGCTCCTTCCCAATGAAACTCATTCTGCATAGATCGATCTATCTCTGTGGGTAATCTCACTGTCAATCTCAATCAGATAAACAGATTAATAAGCCTCCTATTGAAGTAGAATACAAAAAAGCAGGTAATTATAGGAGTACATTGGAAGCAAGAGGAGGCGTGTTGCATTCAGATAGAGTCCCTACCAAGCTGGATCGATCTACGTAGAATGGTAGGCTCATTATACTCTTAACTGGTGTGATTTTCATTTGCTAGTAGTAGTCAGCTACCTGATAACCTTTAAATAACCCCATATCCATATCATTACATCAAAATAGAGATGTTTTATAATCAAAAGAACAGAAAACAAATGTTTCAAGGCTTAAAGGTACTAAATATATATGGGGTGTGACCACCAAAATTAATTTTGGCTATTTTTTCCTACTAAAATCATTGCTTGAACCATCCAAGCACTTGAATTTGGTGTTTTATTCCATTTTTAATTCAAAAATAGTTTTTAATGACTGGCCTGTCATTTAGAACACCAAATTTTCCTGTACATTTCAGAAAGAAGTATGGATGTGAGGAGTCTTATAGTTTTTAAGGTCTGAACTGGGAAAGATCACTAGCATTGCAGATTATGTAGACATGGTAAATATGATTTTTGGTAATTTTCAAATGCATACAGTATACCTCTAATGTCTGTTATTTTTTGCATCTAGGAGCCTGACCGTGATGACCCAAATACCTCTCGAAGAACTTGGGACAGGACACCAAAGAGTAATTTAGATGAACAAATATTGCAGGTAACCAATAAATGGCAGAGGAATCCTTGTGAAATGCACTAGACACTTAGACTGGTTTCCCATACCTATATCCATCTAACACGATCAATCCATCTCTGAGGGGTTTCTTGCTACATTGCTTTCACCTTAAGCGGCTTATATATCTTGCATGCCTACTGTACCTGCTAAACGATTATTGATTATCCACTAGCAGCTTCAGTGGGCATGACAGACATCTAAGCCACTTAAGTTGATAGCAATTTGGCTAATCCCCTCGGAGATAGAGCAATCCACAGTTAGTATGATAGGGTCTGGGAATGGTCCCTTATATGGCTGCTTTATGGATTTATGCCCTTTTGAAGTTCCTTTTCTGACATAAGCACAGTTCAGAAGCAAAAGTTGAGAGGTTGTTGAGGGAAAGGGATAAATATTATAATATTATTTTGAATTTTTTTTAATAGTAGTCAATGTGTAATTTCTGTATTTGAGCATTCCAGTGTTGCTAAAACTTATTTCATCTGTAGCATGGCAGGAGAGGTCCACAGGACAGGCAAACAGAGGATGTTGAAGGGGGTACACTGCCTCTTGGACAATATGAAGAAAAGAAAAGAAGATTACAGGAAGAAAGGAAGAGAGAAACCCAAGAAATAATGGACAAGGTATACCCATTCATAAAGTACTACCTATTTTCTTCATGCTAGTGCCACATCACATAGGGCTTTTCCAACCAACTCTGTCTGCAGCTGTGACTCTGGCCTCTGATCAAGTTATTTGCCCTGCTTGTACCCTTTACTCTTTCAGTTTTGCTCCATGTTGCTCTTGATCTTCCCTTTTTCTTTTGGAATTAGATATATAATGTATTTATATTAATCCCCCCCTTGAGCTTGGCAGCATTAGGTTTGACCTATCCCCATGATGGGGGTATTTCAGCTTGTGAAAAGGAAAAGAAGATTGAACTGTTGATCTTCAAGATAATATCTGAAGAATTGGATATTTATGTTTTTTTGAGGATATAATGACACAAAAAGCTGGATTAAGTATTCCAACTGAATGATATTTAGAGTAAAATTAATTACTGTATTTTAATTATATTTGAGCATGAAATGAATTAATGTATTTTTAGGGCAAAGTGAATGGTTTCCATGTGGATCAAAACCGCAAGGAAAATATCCCCCCTCCAAGGCCACAGAGTCCAGAAGAGACAGGGCTTATTGGTCAGCTGGGCAGTTATGATCAAAAGAGAAAGAAACTGGAGGAAGAGAGGAAGAAGGAGTATAACAAAATGCTCTCTGAGGTAAATCATTAATACATAGCTGGTATCTGTTGGATGCTGTGTTATATTTTTCATTATGAACTCATCAACATTTTTGAAAGCCAGAATACCACTGATTTGTCGTCCGTTGCTGTCATATAGGCATGGATATAATATGTCAACTTATTCTTTAGAATAGCATTTGGTTGATATGCATTTATTATTAAACATTGTTTTCTTTTGAGAAAATTGTTTCTTTGTATCAGTTAATACTAAAGAAAAATTATTGATGTTTAGAAATTCTGTGTGACTTAGGCGTTGGTGATAGTTGACGGTATCTTTTCGATTCATCTAAATCTGCTTCCAATTGAAAGTTGTCAGTGAATTTTACTCAGTTTTTGGGGTGTTACGAAAGTGAGGGAGTACCTGTCCTGGTGTTATCCAAAATGTTTTCTCTCCCTTCTTGTTGTTGTTACTGTTGGGGTGGAATGATAACCATGTTATCAACGAAGGGAATCCCAAACGTTCACACACATATGATGACATCATTATCCCACCCAACAATAACAACAAGTGGAGGGGGCAGTTTGGATAACACAAGGAATTGTACTCACTCACTTATGTTACACCACAAAAGGAATAAAAATCACTGACAGGAAAAATATCAGGTTTCAGTTACTAATAAATATAGATGAAACCATTCACCAGCAACGCAAATATGTTTTCTGTCTTGTTTACAGTTCTTAATTATACTTGATAAATGTTGCTCACTGGAAATTGTCTCAACATTGTGTCATTTGTCTTAGGAAATGCTTGAGTATTTGGTTGCCCATGTAAATGAAAATAACTTTATTGAATTTTGGTGATCCAGTTGGGTCTATGAAAACAAACTTTGCATTGTGTATAATTAGAGATTGCCTTGAATTATAGAAAAATATTCAACCAGGCGCACCAAAGTGGCTTCAGAATGGCCCGGAAAGGCCAGATTCTCCAAGAGTAGGTGCCTCAGCGACAGGGAATTTGTTATTTGCTGTTGTTTTCCAAAATCTTCAGTCATTTTCCTTAAATTTCATGTTTAAGTTGCTGAGAGATATATTGATTTTTCTTATTGACTAAATTCAATTTTGATTTAAATTTTACAAGGTCACCAGTTGGTATTCCTTGCCTTTTTCAACTTCATCCCCTATTGCAGTTATGCTTGATGTGTTTTATCTTGGCCTATTCATTTTTGCCAGGGGTGATTTTTCTTTCAGTCTGTATATTTTGCATAGGCTGGTTGTACATTTTGCACAGGATGGTTTACTTTCAAAACCATTGACTATTTAATCCTTTTTTTCTTGATACTGAAATATAATTTATTTTAGGGTCAATCCTTGTATTTTAGAATAGTATTTTATAGTCATTATTGCTTTAAAAATACTAGTCTGTGTTGTTTGCACTAAAAATTTATACTTGATACTTTATACTTGATTGATTTGCAATCATGGGAACTTTATTCTGCAAATGTGACTTTTTCATTTGATGTATGTTATAAAATTTGGAAAATAACTGAAGGGTCTTTACTTTACAAAGGAAGGGTATGGATGGCAGTCATTTTCATTGTCTACTCCTATTCACTTTGTCCGCATCCATTGCTATATATCATATTTATATGTCCTATGAATAATAGAAGCCTTGGTAACATACCAAACAAAACTTGTTTATTGGTATTGTAAGGGTGTACTGATGCTATTGATTTCTGACTTATTAATATTTAAGTGTTATAACTGTTACAGCAAGAGTTGCGGCGGACTGGTCGTCATCCTCAACCACAAGACAATGAAGAAGTTGGGTTGCCTGCAATGAATAGAAAGATGTCAGCTGAGGCTAGAGCTGATGTTAGTAGAATGCCTAAATCTTTGAATTAAATTTTAAGTTTTACTATCTGATTTCAAAAAATGTTATTCTTATAACATGTATCTGCATAATTATGTATTGAGAACTTAAAAAAAACTTTTTGTCCAATTTTATAAGCAGCTTTTAATGATGTACAATCTATCATGTTTTTAAAATGCTGTTAAAACTGAATACATTTATCAGTTTGCAAAGAGAAGAGCAAGGAATGAGGAGTACAGGCAGTTCTTAGAACAAGAAGAGCAAAAACGAAGACACAGATATGACAGCCACAAGCCTGCGGTAAATATTTTTTCTATGCATTCAGTCCTTTGTCGAGTTCAAAATATAGGATAGAAATTTGATTGATAAATGATAATCAAGACATTGATTTTCTATGATGATGATATGGCATTGATACAAATTATTCTGTAGGATGCAATCAACCGGAGTCCACCACCCAAAGAGAGAACAGTTACTTTTGAGGACACATATGACAGAGATCTGAGGAGGGATGATGATTATGACAGACGGAGAGACAGATATGATGACAGAAATGAGGTACACGTGTACTGTGTATAGCATCAATTAATATTTACATCAAAGAGGGTAATATTTCATGTTTCTTATCCACAGTGTGTTGTGAGTTGCAAAATACTTATTCATATTCATTGTAGATTAGGATCCTTGAATGTTGAAGAGACCCGTTGTGATAGTAACGCTTTCTTAAGTGGGAAATCTAAGACTTATATCTAAACATAACACTCAGTCAATGTCATATTAGGGACATAAATTTTATACATTTATGAAATGTTGTTTCTGGGATTGCAGAGAGTTCATTTTGTAATCAAGTAGCTTATTTCTGAAAGTGAGGACTAAAACAATTTTTAGATCTGAAAATGTAGCTCAGCATTCCTCATTGATAGCAGGTGTAGTACTACAGTTTGGCCTTTTTCATCACCCACTTGTATTAAACCCTATTTTCTCCTATTTTTCAATTAATAAGATTTTATGTCTCACATGTTCTTTCACCTCACCCTTTCTTTTCACCACTAGAGCACTGGTGTGTGTTTTGCAGTGTCTTTTCACCCTCCCTTCCAGGTCAATCATAGACGTGCACCTAAAGAAACTGACTATGGCATGACTTTGCCTGGAATCAGAGATAAGCACTCTGCAGAGGTACTATGTACTTCTGCTGTATTACTACTAATAAACTAACAAAATAAATTATGAGGACTATCATGAAAACGTACTTAAATATGCCAGAAAATTGAAACAAAGTTACAAGTAGGGGTTATCATTAAATGGAAGGGAATATATGTGCCATGTTATAATATTTCTTTTATTGCTTTGTGGCAATTTTAAGAAACAAATTCAAAATCCAAATGTGGAGTGCACTGTAGTGTTCAAATGAAAGCCTTGAAAGAGTTGACTTATTTGTTGTCATTCTGGTTTTGTTTTCAGCAAAGAAAAATGGCAGAAAGGAATAGAGAATATAATGATTTTCTACAACAGAAATCAGAAAGAGACAACAGGAGGAGAGAGGTATCTGTTGCATAATATTTTCTCATACATTGAAATGAATCATTTTAAAGAAGAAAGAAAGAAAATGTAATTGATAGTACCATATTATAACTGTTCATTTATGTTTTTGGCAGGATATAACACATCCATGTACATTGAAAGAAGACAGTAAAAAGGATAAAAAAGTAGATGGGGGCTGCATATTGTCATAACAGTTACTGTTTTCTGTGTCTGTAGCAGGTATCCTTCTGAAGACGTGATAGTTATTCAGTTATTCAGGAATGAGTTTTGATACATATAGATAAGTTATGATACATGTAGGTGTTTTCCCAGTGATAATATTTAATATCAACCAATAAGTGCAACTTTTTAAAATCTATGATTCCATGATTTGAATTAAAGGATCAAAGAATACGCACAAGAAGCAGGAGTGACTTTTTGTCAGATGATGAGGATGCATTTGAAAGAGGTCGTAATAAACCACCTCGTAGAGGTTGGGGCACACCTACGTATGAGGAAATACTAGAACAGAAAAGGAGAGAAGAGAGTCGCTACAGGTAAAAAAAGTTTAAAAAAAAAGCATCAGTGATTATCTGATTTGTCCATAATGATTTTGTAGCATGGAATTCCTATGGGCATGATGAAAATATGTAAAGACATTTCTGGTTAAGATGTCATAGCATCTGCTGCATCTTTGATTAATGAGTTCTGGACAAGAGTAATAAATAATTTACATTTATGTGCATTTCTGTTACCTGAAACCATATAGCAACAAAGCTGTGAATGGAAATACTGATTAATCATTCAAAGAGACTTTATTCTGTTGAGTTTGTTTTCATCTTGTTTGTGGCTTATAGATCTGTGCAGAAGTGTTGATGATTCAAATGTATCATGCAGATATGATTCAAATATATCATCCAGTAGCTTCCACAAGCATGTCTAATGTGGAATTTTTTTTTTTTTTCATTTCTCACCAGGCGCTATGATGATCCAGAGTATTCCAGAACCCCAACAGGCATGAGGCTTGGAGATGATAACTACAGGAGGTCTGCCATATCAGATGGTTATCTAAATGTGAGTAACCTTAAGTTGTGTGAAATTCACTTGGATATAACAAGCAGGGGGTAGCAGTAATTTGAGTGATCACAACTGATATTCATTTTCCACTAATATTCATTGTTGTATAAATGTGTGTGTGAAATACATATTTTGATTTTTGGGATAATTTTTTGCACATAACATAATTTTTTATGCCTAACTTTTCTTTTATCCCATGACAAAGCAAAATGATATGAAGAAAGATTTTTAGTGAACACTAAAAATAATACAAAAGGTTCCCAGAACTATTTCTGTGTAGAACATGAGATGTTATATTAATGTCAGATTTTTTCAAGTTTTTATTCAAAAATTGAAAACTTTTACTGTCTAGGATGACAGACGACTGAATGCCATAGACAGGCAATATGATGCCAAGTAAGTTTGCTATGCATCTAGGGTAAATTTTGTCTGTTCAGACAGTGCAGCAAATTTTTTAACATAAAAGATAGTTGTAACATTTGAAAATTATAAACTTAACTGTAGATTGAGAAAAAATAGTGATTAAAAAAAAATTCAATTTTTCATGTGATTCATTTTCTGTATTGACTGTGATATGACTAAGGCTGTTTTCAAACTTGAACATGCTAAGATAAATATTGTTTTTTAAAATGATGATATTGATAAAAAAACCTTCAGGAGAATAAAAACAAGTAACAATGAGCGCAGCAAAAGCTGGGTTGATGAAAGTGATCCTGTGACAGAATTTTACCAATTGGTAACTCGTGCTGATAGTTTTGTGCTTTAAATATTGTAGTGCGCCCTTCCCTTTTATCTAGCACATTTATGTCCTATGTACTAGCTGCTGCTGATGTAGATGTCAGTTTGAGGGAGGGCCAGGCATTTCTTGTGTACAGGTTGTAAATGTGACTCATTTCCACCATTATTGTCTTGTTCATCCCATAACTTCCCCAACTTTTTTTCCTGTCTTTGTATAGAAAGCTTACATACCACCCAGCTTTGTGTAATGTGCTTCATAGAACTGTGACAATCAGTTAAACCTCTATACAAGTAGTTCTTTTTTTTCTTACTCCCATTCTTTACCTTCTTTACCCACCCTGTGTTTAGGAGAGTTCAGTTCAAAGAAGAGTCCAAGTGGCCCAGTCTTCTGGATGAAGTCTACTGGACCTCACCTTTGAGGAACCCAGCTAGGGATCCCCTACAAGAATGGGTAACTGTGGCCAGTAGTGTCATGCTCGACTTGCTTGTCTTTGTCTGTTATGTTAAACAAGAGATGTGATATATTTTAGAGAATGATGCATGAAAGGCAGCTCTTTAAATTCATTATTGATGGGGAAAATTATAATTAAAGTTTATAGAAAGAAATATACATACATTGAATTGCGTAGGATAAAGCATGATTTAGTCAATTCAAATTGGTTAAATATCATATTGACCTTAATTAAATTTTAAAGGGTCTGCATTTTAACAATCTAATCTTCTTAAAACAATGTTTGTCAAGATATTTGTTTTTTTTCAAAGATACTCAATGAAAATTATTGCCTTCCAAGACCCACCCCAAAAGTCTGATACACTATGATAAATTAAATGTTGATCATATTAAGGATATGTCTCAGGACTGTAGCAAGCAGTTTCAAAGGGGGTTCTCTTTCTTAGAAAAAATTGACCTTTTTTCCTTTGAGATCTCATATTATACTTTTTAAATAAAAATTTTGATTCAAAGCAGACCTTTTCCCAGTCATAATGGCAGTTGTATGCCCCCCCCCCCCAACCCCCCTGCCTACAGACCTGTGTTTTGACTAGTTGTGCTGGATGGGGATTTTTGCTTTGTTAAAAGAAGCTTTTGCTTTCATTAGCTTTCAAGGATAAGACAAAGGAGTCCATCTCCAATTCATGAGGTAATTGAATGGACTGCAGTTATAACATGTTTATTTCTTTATGTTTGTCTGGTTATTTGGTTGTAATATTGTGTGTATTGGATGACTGTTTTCTATGAAACCATAACACCTTTAATCAAATACTTTGATTTATCATTCAATACTTGGTCATTGCTTTAGGAAATTGGTATTTTATGATAAACATATGCATGCTGCATCATACTGTGAAGCAAGAAACTAAAACTTGTGCATGTTGTGTCTCTCTTTTTCACTGTATAAAAAAACTTGTAGCATTATTTTTTAACTCTGTCTGGTAATGAAAGCAAATTAGTTTTTTTCCTAAGTTAGAGCATAGATACTTCTTATAATTATTGTTTTTGACTTGCCTGTGGTACTTTATATTCATTTTTTGCAGCTCTTTTGTTAAAATTTATTTATTTTACCTGTAGGTGGTAGTTAGCTTTTGCCATTTGATTTTCATGCAGTAGGTTGAAATGGTGATGAAAGAGCGATGTATTAGTGAGAGTGGTGTTTTATATCTTTAAACATGATTCATATATTTGGTTTTAATATGTTTTCAGACAGTCAATTTATTTTGTTGTTACAGTTTTTGTGCATTTTAATTATTTACTATTTTTATGAACATATTTGATTTTTTTTTTTTTTTGCTGAAAATCATCTTCCAGAATGTAGTGAAGTTGTCTTAAGCAAGTAGCAGTGAATACACAGTAGCAAATATTTTTCAGATTTCATTTAAATCAAAATTAATAAATTCACTTTGAGTGTATTGGACTGTTTTCAGAGGATGTACTTTGTACTTTGTACTCTTCGGACTCTTATGATATAATAATTTTTCATTGTTTTCTGTAGGATGACAGAGGGCGAGGCCCCAGGGAGCCAGACCCCAGTCCCAGGAGAACACATCCTGACCCAGAGCCTCCTGCAAGGCAAGGCAGGAGAGGCTACCAGCCCCCACAGGAAGATGATAGCAGGCAGGTTGGGGCTACTCTCTTAGTGGGTGAGTAAACTTAATTACAGAAATAGATTTGTCTTTGTTGGAACACTATCAGATATTCTTTTGGATGATTCAGAAATAGAAATAAAATGACCATATAACTTTGGGGAAGGGTGTATATCTGTTTTAGGTCAATATATATTATGATGGAGAAAGAGGCTGAGAGTAGTGTCCAGAGAAGACTGTTTATGTTTTTCTAAAAGATTACAGATGAAATTCTTAAACACTGAACTCCTGCACTGAATTAATGGACCAGTATAAGCTATAATGTGTACAAAGTCAATTTTTATGAGCTAGATTCAATTAAACTGAATCATTGTGGATAATTTCTTAGTTAAGGCCTGGTTTAATATTTGACCAACACACACACACACACACACACACACACACACACACACACACACACACACACACACACACACACACACACACACACACACACACACACACACACACACACACACATCTTGGCAGTCAGGTTTATTTGCTTTAAAATATTTCTGCAGGCCATGAAAATTCTGAAAGTGCAAAGAGAAGGAAACAAGAGGAATACCGCAAAGAATTGGAATTACAAATGAAGGGAGACAAGGAAGCTAAGCAGAGGTAACTATTATGTGTCCTGTCATGTAGATTTATGTTGTAAGGAGTTTGGAAGCTGATTTCCAACACTGATATAATACAGCAACTGAGCAAACTTAAGAGCTGCATGATTTAGACTGGGTTCCCACATATTTAGATCGATCCATCTGGATTGACCTAACTCCCTGGGGTTTCACACTAAATTGCTGTCAGCTTCCAGGAGCCTAGTGTGCACAAAAGTTAATTACCCCCTTACAGCTTTTAGTAGGCGGGACAGACATTTAAGCCAGTTAAGCTGACAGCAATCTAGTGAGACTCCCCAGGGGGATAGATCGATCTAAATATCTGTGGGAATGGTCTCTTAGTATACAAAATTCAATATGACCACATAATGTAAATTATTAACAATCAGAATTACAGCATTTTAGTAATGCATGTCGAAAATGCATGCTTTGTTGATGATGTCTTTTAAAGTGCATGACTATGTTTTTATGGACTGGAACATTTTGAATCACATTGGAGCAACACATTTTTATTATCACTCATCATATACATTTACCAAAAGATTCTCTGATAAATTTATTGCTTTCAAATCCATATACTAGTAAAGCAATTTTTTTTGTGTTTAGGGAAAAGGAAAGGTAAGAAACATCTGTAAAATTCTCGTGTTAATATTTGTGGCTCATGATTTTTTTTTTTTTTTTTTTGCTTTTTATCTTTTTTTCTATTGTGTGGTGTCAATTGCTTTAACATGGTTGGATATGTGCGTTTGATTCCATTACTAATATCTGGAGATGATAATGCATTCACTTGTAGAGTATGGCAGCTGGTTGCCAAAAAACATCTTGCTTAACAAAATCTTTTTGTCTGTGGTAGTGTTTCATCTTGATTTTCTGCTCAAACTAAACCAGGAATTTATTAACTGCAGTTGTCATTCCTTCTGGTTGTTATTATTATTATTATTGTTAAGTCAGCATGATAATAAGATTATTCTTTATCATTATATTTGCATCTTTTGCTTATATTGAAAAACTGCTTGTACACAAGGTTGACATTTTTTTCCTGCATGCAACTTTTACCATCATCTTTTGAAGTATAAATCTTTAATTCTGATTTGTCCACCCTTGTGACAATATATTTCATATTCTGACTTTACACAATTTTTAGCAATCAACCAAATTGTTGGCATATATCAAGTTTGAAATATTGCCTTTGTAATTTTTAATTTGTACATAAATAAATGACAAAACAGGTAGGCTAGCTAAGACAAATGCATGTAAAACGTAGTCTATCATTTCCATAATATAAGTGTACTTATATTACATACCATACACTAATATGATTGCCTATCAATGTACCCTTAGGGAAAAGGCCAATGACATGAGAATCAATGTCTCAGGGGCACAAGATCCAGAGAAGAGACCTGATAGACTGAGAGAATTACCTCCAGCAGAGCAGAGGGGTCCCCCAAGACAGTATCAGAGTGTGCCAGTACAGCCATATCACCCTGTGACTGAAGACTTAAGGTACTCTTATGTGGGATATAGAAATAGGAATTCATTTGGATGTTGGGTTAATCATTTACCGGGAGAACCAATGGTAATGATAAACAGTTTGTTAATGTAAAATCTTTAAGAAAAGACTTGGCATTACATGCTCATGAGAACATGTCTGGAAGTTTGGTTAATTTGTGGCAAAATAGTATAAAATATACAACATTTTTCTTTTCCAGTTTAGAAAATATCCATTTTTGTGATTCAATAATATTGCTCAGTAATATGTTTTTTTTCATATCAGTCCCAGATCCCAAGCATTCCAGAAGTACCAGGCCCAGCTGTTCAGTGAGCCTCCCTCCAGACCAGCTCCCAGTATATTAGACAGAGGCTGGGGAGGGGACCTGTATGGTAGACCACTGGAACCTGGCCTTGGGCTGCTCAGCCGACAGCCAGGGTAAGAACCATACGGTTATATAGGAACTTAATAAAGAAATGATTGATAGGGAAAATGAAGTCTTGATAGAAAAATGTTTGATAGTCTGTGGCATGGGCTTGAATACATGAACAATTAGACTAAAATCAAGGGTTGGTTTTATGATAGAACCTAAGTCCCAAAATTTTTCCAGACCTGAAGACCAAGTTATTTAAATTTGATCTTAGATGATCAGAATTATTAACTAGTAGTCTTCTTAAATGAGAATATTCTGATAAATAGTTTCTGATAAGCAAATGTATAATTGACATGTTAATGAGCCATGTTGAAGTCACTTATAAGTGATATTTGCTGCTTTTTCCAGAGACTATCTAGGAGCTGCTGGTCAGCCCCAGCTTAGCCCATACAACAGCCCACTGGATGAGGCTTATTATTATTATGCCAATAAAAACCCACTAGATGTTGACTCTGGAAGTAGGTATCATGTAGTCTTTGATATTGCAAAAAATAATATTTGATATTACAAATAAATAATTAAATAAATATATAAAATTAATAACTGCTTATGTTTGAAACCTTTTTGCATCATACACACTTATCACTGATCAGGCACAAACAGTCTTAAGTGCACATGCACGTGTATATTAATACAAAACTAACTTGTTTTTGCATTGTTAATGTTTTTTGCTTAGAAAGTAATCAAACAGATGGACCTCTCTTAAGTTATGATACATAGACTAAGATAAAACTGTGCATATTTTATACATGATAAAAGCTGCGGTTGTGTTTATAGCAGTCTAAACTATTCCTTTTAGTTGGTGGTATAGCTGGTCCCTCAGGTGTGGGCCGTCCGTCTAACTTTCCACAATACCCACAGCAAACACAGCAGCAGCCACCACAGCAGCCTCAGCAGGGTTATGCCAACAGAGACAGGTACATATGTGATGTATGAGTGGTCTAAGGGGATGCTTATAATGTGTGTTCCTCATTGAGTTCAGATCAGGAACTCAATGAGGAACAGACATTATAAGTATCTCATTGAGTTCAGATCAAGAAAGGTCATTCTGACATAATCCACACAGGATATACCTGTTTTACTTGGTTTTATTCTTATTAAGTTTTTGATAATAGGGTTTGGAACTTAAATTCACAATAGACAATACTTCTGAATCATTCATTTTACAATGACCATTTGTCATCCCATTCAATATATGTGTATATGTTAACTTCTTTTGATTTTATTACTTAGGAATCCTCCCCCACAAGAAGGGGGCTTCATTATAGGAAATGATCGCAGTAAATCCAGAGCTGATAAACAGTCCTATAATGAAGAACTTAGGTTGCAGGTGGGGTATTATACTTAAGAGCTTGATAATCAGAGGTCTTATTATTACTCTCTTGTTTTGCATCAGTTACTTACTATGGGTGAAATATCACTATACTGCTCATATAAACATTACATATCGCCCATGGTTTATGTCTGTCTTTGAAGTTTCTGGAGTAAACATTCCATGGTATTTTGATAAGTAGAGGAAGAACCTGTTGATTATCTTCCAGATATATTTTACAAAGTATAGATACATTTTGTGTCATCTAATCACAAGCAGTAAAAATCATATGTAACATTAACATGTCTGTAAAGAATTTCTTACTGTTTAAGACACAAACCAGGCTGATGATTGTTTTCATTTCAAATAATTGGGATGGTTCTCCTTTTAGATGGAAGAGAAGCAGAGACAAAAACAGTTAGCTAAAGAGGAGCAGGAGAAGTATGACCTTAAGAAACAGGCAGAAATAGAGAACTATGATCCATTTGGTAAAGGAGGCGGTGGTGCACCACTGAGAGACAGGCAGGGAAATCTTGTTGGTGAGTACAGACGTGTTTCCATGCAGTGTGGTATGTTCAGATAGATACAGAAGAAGTGGCAAAATTGTCTCCTGCTTCTTCAGATAAACACCAGCACACACATGCACTCACACACACTGGTTTGTGCAAAATTAAAATCATTATTTTGATTTGTTTCATCTATAACAAACATCAATGTGACATTACAGCTGACTTGAAGAGAATGCACATAACAAACAAAGAAGGAGAAGAGGATCCCACGCGCCGCCTGGTACCTGACCGCACTCCTGCACCACCTCCAGTAGTGAACTTTGCTGCAGACTCACCATATGGCTTCCATGACCAGGGACCACCTGGTGGGGGGGTCCAGGGGAACTATCCTGGATTGTCTCCCAGAGAGGGACATGGCAGGGGGCAAAGTGACATCTTTGGACCAACTGTAAGTTTTTTTTTGATGATAAGTAAACCTGAAAGCTTTTAGTGTGTGGAGAACCTCATTTGGTCAAATAACAGCAAAGGGGGAAAAGAAAATTCAGTATCTGTGTGCATTTTTGGTTATCAATATTTGAGCACTAGCATTTTAACTTTTTTATTTAAAACAATGGTTATATATATATATATATATATATATATATATATATATATATATATATATATATATATATATATATATATATATATATATAGTGCTTAGGATAATGCTTACTTACACAAAGAGGTCATAAAAAATTTAAATTTTCCTTTTTAAAATGTAGTTAATAGTTTATTCCAGAATATTACTAAATGGCGAAAGTATTACATTTATAACACTGATAATTTTGCAAAATCAAAATGGGTAGTTTAATAAGATGGTTGTTGTTACAGGATAATACGCCCAAATCTCAGAAAGATTTGTATCAAGAAGAACTTAAAAAGCAGGTATGTTTAATTTAATATTTATAGGAACAAAGAAAAATGTATATATTTAATTTATCCCCCCTTACATTTGAGTGATTGTTTTCAATGCATGATTTAAAATGCATAGCAGTATGCTTTTTAGAATTAAATTTTGTACTTTCTTCTAATGCCAGATTGAAGAAAAGAGGAAGCGTGAGGAAGAAGAGAAAGCTAAAATCAAAGCAGAAGAGGAGAAGCAAATGAGGAAGATAGAAGAGGATAGGTTGAAGATACAGGCAGAGTTTGAAGCTGAACAAAAGAAGCAAAGAGAAAAGGAGGAAGAGGTAGGTCATTTTTTTTTGTTTTTTGTTTTTTGAGGGAGTAATGTTACAGTAACTGTGAAAGACATGATGAAAAAAGCAAACACAGTTAGAGATAGAGGAAAGGTTCAAATTAGAAAAAATTCACCCCTTCACATCTCAAATTGACCATATTGCAGACGCAAAGGAAAAATGAAATGTTGAAGAAGCAGGCAGAGGAGAAGAGGCTGGAAGCTGAGGCAAGGAGGAAAGAATTAGAAGAAAAAAGGCAACAAGAAATCAGAGAAAGGCAAGAGCAAGAGCGCTTAGAGAGGCAAAGGCAAGCTATGGTAAGTTATATGAATACTTTGTTTATATTATTTAACAGTAGTTTTCAAAAAGTTAATTAATTCATTAGCATTATTTGCTACATTGAAAATGATGAAACTGTATTGGTTCCTTGAAATTAAAAAAGAGGCAGTGAGGCTTATAATGTAGGCTGTTGAAAAATTTGTACTTAACAAAAAAAATTAAAAATTAGTTAAAGAAGTGTATTTGGATGTTTGAAGATATGGAAAAGGTGAGGTAAACACTATGTATCAAGAGTGGATAACAAAAAAAATGCAAACTTGTGATTTCTAGTAAATACTTTGCAACAATAACTTATCATTTTTATAAATTGAAACTCTACATATGTCACAGTTGCACTCAGTAATTTGTTTTTTTTTTTTTTTAAGATGGATTGAAGAATGAAATCTAAAAGACTTATGAAACATAATACTGTATTTTTTTTCTGCTAGGAACAAAGAGGGAGTTCTCCACCAGTGCCAGCAATTGTAGCGGCAAGATCTGGCAGCACTGCTCAGACGGTGAGTCCACATGTAATACAGCCTCTACAGAGGCACTGGGTGTACTCACTTTGAGTAGGGCAGAATCTCAACATCATGAAGATGGAAATTGAGATGATAACATGAACTGGTTTTAAAGCAAATGATCAAAATTGTGTTGATATAGGTTTTTCATTTGCTGTGGTGCAATGTTGCTAAGGCGTAAATAATTTCTTAAGAGACTTAATGTGTTTTTTCTTCTTTGTGGCATAAAATCTCCTCTCTTCCTCAAAGGGCCATGATCACATGGTCTCTTTAGAAATGAAAATTGTTTTCTGAGTTATCTAAATTGTAGTCAAAATCACTTTACTATATCTGTCAGTAACCATAAATGTTTTAAGGCATACCTGCTGGACTCCATTATAAGCCAAAAATTCCTTAAGGAATGGCAGAGTTACTTAAATATGCATGTTAAGTTCACTGTTTTAACAAGGAATTTTTCTTTAAATCTGCAGCCTGCAAGAGACGTGCGCTCTCCACCCATTCCTGCACTGCGTAGTAACACAGAGGATGTGACACCTAGTGGGCGGACATCTCCCCCAGTGCCAGCACGTGATACAGAGATCAGATCTCAGAGTGAGTATCTCCTTACAGGATACAGGTTTCATGTTTCATCTGAGAATATATAAATATTATACTTATTAGAAATTGTACTGAGTACAGATAAAGCCAACCATCAAGTGTTCATAGGGTTTTTAGGAAATATTTTCTAAAATTAGCTTTAGATTAGGACTACCTGTCTGCCTCTTACGTTGGTATGGATTTGATTGATTTGATGAATTCATATGCACCTTTCTTTTACCAAATACGTCCATCAAACTGGCTCATAGACATCTGGTAGTGGATCCACAAGTGTATCCAGTTTTTTTTATTGTTTTGTATTAATTTTGTATCAGGTTTACTTTGATTAAATTTATTCAAAAATCCTCAGTAACATACTTGTGCTTGAACCTATATATGCACAAACTGCTTTTGTTGATATATAAGGAGTCAATAACCACATGCACACGGCAGGAATGTATCTACCTTATAGCTTGTTTATATTTTCATCTGTGCACATTTCAGGTGCTGATGTTTTGCGACAACTAGCAGCAATGAGACAGCAGTTGCACAGTGAGAGAAAGAAAGTTGAAAATGCTTTAGAACAACAAAAGGTTTGTTCTAGGCTTTATCTACCTTTCTTGTGTATAAGATTAAGTCACTTACAGTACCTTATCTAAGTGTGTGTGTGTGTGTGTGTGTGTTACTTAACATATTTCAGATGCCATTTTCACTTTCTCCTCAATTATCTGTAAATTATTTATCAATTCAGTATGAAGTTGATGTCTCTGACCCAAGAGTGGCACAGCGCCAAAGACCACCACAGTAAGTAACTGGAACTTTTGTAATCAATTTCAGGTTATGTTTGAGCCTATACTAGAAAAATGGAAAATGTCAGTATATTAAAAGCTATGGAGAAAATTATGATTTAGACTTATTGCTGAATTCTTTAGTATATTTGCTTTTTTAATGGAGACTGAGGTATTTCACGTACAACAGTTCAAGTTGAAATTTATATTTTGAAAATGGTTTCATATTTAATATATACATTTTTTTTTCAATTTCATTTTGTAGAGGATATACCTTGGTGATTAAAGAAAAAATTGTTGAATTTTCCAGAAAATTTGGGTTATTTTACACCTTCAAGGACAGTCTGGTGAATTTCTGTTGAATGTTTCAGGAGAGATCCTGTGGATGTATTTGATCCAAGAAGACCAGTGTCTGTGAAAAGAAATAGAACAGCAGATAGTGTTGCACAAGGGAAAGAACTGAACGAATTCAATGATCTCAAGTACAAAAGTAAGTTTTTGCTATATATTTAAGCATTAGATGGATTAACCTACTTGTGTTGTGCAGCTATTTTCTATTCATAAATCAAACTGTGCACAGTTCAAATGTGAATATTTTTTTTCACCATTAGCTACAAATTCTCCCCAGGCTCAGAACAAGAATTACATTTTTTTTGTAGATATTTTAATATTCTTGACATTGGTTGAAAGCACTTCTAAGAAGCTGATATTAGATTTATTCTGACCCCAAATATATATATATATATATATATATATATATATATGACCAAAATAAGACATTTTTCATAAAATGGGAAACTTCACCACAAACACAGCAGGATTTGTGATAACACCAAAATACTTGGCTGGTTAGACAGCATCCTTAGATTAAGTCTGATAGATGGTTATTGTTTTTTGACCCACTATAATGTAAAAAAAAAAATGATCTGATGGTTCACTCACTGCAAAACCTTTTCTTTGAGCTTCTCTTTTAGAGTGCAATTTTAGTTTGGTTCCACTATCATCATAATGAAACTATGCTCTCTATTTATTCCATTACAAAAAGTATTTCTGAAAAGTTTCTTGTGATATATGATTTTTATATTCACTCTTATATAGTCTTGTAATTTTTGTTCTTTATCCCTTATTTGATTTTATCATTATTATTTTGTATTTTTTCTGCATTTTTCTCTTTTTCCACTCTTATTTGTGTCACTTCCCAGAGGATACAGAATCTCGTCAGAAGTTTCGCAGTGAGTACCCGGGGGTTCCTGTCTCTGATACGGCACTAGAGGTTCAGCAACAAGCTCTGCTGGATGAACAAGAAAATAGACTAGCAGAGCTAAGAGCAAGTAAGAGACTGAAGAAAGAATAACAGTGTATCAGTTAAATTGCCATGTTTTCAGCTCTGTTCATTTTGGCCAAAATGGCAGCAGTGCATGAAATATGTTTTGCTTTATATCAGGAGTATGAGAAGTAAGTGCTTTTAGAAATGCTGAATGTAGTTTGCCAGTGGGTATTTAATATACTTGGCTTGCAAGTTTAATTACATATCCTTACCATAAACAGGAGATCATAATCCCCTAGATACATGGCTAGACTAGTTTTGAATAAGGAATGAAAGGTTGCCTTATTTATTTATAGAAAGGAAAAGAAAGGAAAATGACTACAGAGTCAATTCAGTATGGGGATTTTATAATTTTATGTTGAAACATACGACAAAAGGTTGAATTTGTCAAATTCGTAAAATGATGTAGGAGATGAAGAGCATACTTCAGTACACTGGATACAAACAAATGCACATACAAACACACAGAAAAAAAAAAGATGATTAATAAGGTTGACCTTTCAAAATTATAAACCTAATTTTTTTTGAAAAAATTATGACCACTTAATATATTATAAAGCAAAAAACAAAAGGCTGTGTTTTCACATGTACAGACAGTCTATAAGTCTCTCTCTCTCTCTCTCTTTCTCTCTCTCTTTGTATATGTGTTTCTGTGCGACACATCTGTTGTTCATCTTCTAACTGCTAAACCCAGGGGCGGATCCAGAGATATTTTCTGACAGTCTTCCAAATTATCTTTGTTAATCCATCCTCCATTTTTGATCATCTTCTGACAGAAAAAAATTAGATACCCATTGATGTAAACTTGAAAATCTTACTGTCTTCCGGAAGACCCAGAAGGCAGCCTCAATCCGCTCCTGAAACCATTTGCTTGGTGGCTTTATAGGGTAAAAGTGCAGGCTCCTTTTGAAAACAGGCATTATTGCAGCATTTCTAGAAAAGTTATTGATTTTGATTTTCATGTATCTTGGCAAAATTTCCCCATAAGTACCTAATCATATTTTGCTTTACTTGTTTTACCTTTCATGTTCTTACAGTGAAAGATATAAGAGTTTTAAAAAGTTTGTTCCATGTCAGAAAATTGAAATGAGCAATCTTGAAAAAAAAACTGACATATTGACTTTTTGGTACAAGCGTGGTATTTGAAAAGTAAGAAAATATGCCATGTTAAGGAAAGTATAGGCACTTCTTTGGCATTATGTTTTATTTTTCCTATTATCCTGTAGGAGAAAATAGTCAGACATCAGTGAATGTGGTGCCTGGAATAATTAGATCTGGCACTGTAGTGCTTGAGAAAGACTCTGCCCTAGGTTGGTAATGACTGGGCTTATGCAGCCATGATGTTATTTCATCAGTTTCATAGAACTTTGTTTGTTTGGAATGTTGATTTTTGTGTGTGAAGCAGCTGTATGCTGGAAATTTTTTATTCCAATTAGTTCTTTGACAAATTTCAGAGGTGCCTTTTGTTAAGTTATCTGTAGTGTCTTTTTTCGTTATAAATTGAAAGTGTTCGATGATGTTGATACTTATTGGCCCTGTCTGCTTTAGGATTTCATAGATAATTTCATTCTATGACACAATAAATGCATTATGTTAGAATGAGTGGCTTTAGTTTTTGGGGCTCTATTCCCCTGCCCCCCCCCCCCCCCTCCCCACCCAATTTTACTTTTAGTTGCCTGCTTTGATATTACCAAGACATCACCCTTGCTTTACTACAGGGGCTGTTAGTCAGGCTTCATTGGGTAGTGTTCCAGACATTGTCAGATCTGAAACCACAGAACTTGAAAGAGATACGCCTTTAGGTTGGTTTTTGCATGGGTATATTTGATATATAGCCAGCAGCATCTGTTTGTGAATGTGATGGGACAGTCTGCCTGACTGTGTATTTTGAATGCTCTCTCTCTTGATTTTCTCCATCCATTGAGAGAGTTGTTTGTTTGACCATATTGCAATTTCAGTTGAGCTGATGTGCAGTTAATTTGTTGAAGGTGTAGTTAGTACATTTATACAACTATATAATACATATTTTCCTTTTTTGTTGGGTGTTGGACAAGTTATGAATTCTTAGACCACATTTGGAAATGTTTTATAATTTGCATGACATGTTTCTTTTATGTTTTATTTATATTTTTATTTGCATGGGTTCTTCATTTTATTTATTTGCATTTGTTTGACCTGCAGCTTATAATTTTTCCTTAGATAATTATTCTGCTAAGCCTGGCCCCTCCAAGCAGCGTGATCTCAGCATGATCAGAGAGGACTCGATGCTGGACTCCAACACTGCTTTCATAGGTTTGTTGCCCTCTGAATTTCTTGGAAATGCCATCTTTGTGTGAAAGTGTGCTTTCTTAGTATTTAGAATATAATTTCATTAACACTGATTTTCCACATATTAAACTGTTGACACAGTCAATCTGATTAGAGCAACAGATACAGTGCCACCTGCTTAGTTAAGCCCATACAGAGGTCTAAGTCATCACCCACACAGTTCCACCTGCATGATTTAGTTCCACAGTTTTGGAAGATCAAATTTAGCTTTTTCATTGCAACATTAGAATATGGGACTTATATTTTATTGGTCTATTTATCATGTAATTCTGTGCTTCTACTTATTCTGATAAACTTATAAGGATAATTGTTATATTGATTAAAGTTAAAGTATGTTTGGTTTTAATGTGGTCAGAAACCAATAAACTTTTCTAAGCTGGCACTGTGTGTTCTTGTTCAATAATAGGGATATTAGAATTGGCTTGATGTTAAGCTATTTTCACTAACATTTCTTTTAATAGACACTTAAAAATGACTAATAATCTGCACATCTTGATGAAAGGTCACATTTTATCATGCAGGTACCATTTTACACACTAGAAGATTATGATTTCTCATTTGCAATAAAAAAAAAAAGATTTTGAAATTGTATGAAATGTGTGCAGTTTAATTCTTCAAATTAATGTATTTCTCATAGAGATGTAATTTTTAAAGCAATTTCTATTATTAGATATAGTCAGTGTATAATTTTATTGCATTGCACTTTTAAGTCACATTTTTGATTATACTCTGTTGCTGATTAACAATGATTTGCTCATGAGGATTCCAATCAATTGCACTTTTTCTATTTAATGACAATAATACTGCCATAGTATGATAACCCTCCTCTCCTCCTCCTCCTCCTCCTCTGCTCCCTGCTACCCTCAGGTGATGGGAATGCCAAGGATGCTTCACGCTCTTCAAGTCGCACAAGTGCAGCATTACTGGACTCTGAGAGTGCTTTTATAGGTTTGTCTCTATCCTTTTCCACTGCGTGTTTGTTGATGTGTGGGCAGATGATTAGGCAGCAGTGATGGCAGGGAAAAATATATGATTAATTCAGAGAAGTGGGCATTGGTGAGGAATAAGACAGAGCACTTCTATGTTCTAAGTGACCCCAGTACAGTAACAAATATGGATTTGGTGTCTTTAGAACATAGAAAAGGAAAATTGATTTCATATGTGTGTTACTCAAGTAGCATATGATCATGTATGGCAATTTTTCATGTTTCTGTAGTGCTCTCAATAAGAAGAAATGAAATGTAATGCCTGAATTCTCTGCCCTCCTGTAGTTGTGTTAATCAATTTTTTGCACATTTAATAATAGTCATCCTTCAATATACAATTATTATAGACGACTGTTTGTGTGAAGGTGTGTATAGAATTATACTGCACGACTCTTTTTTTGTAATGTTGTATTTTTCTTTTATTTGAAAGGTTGAAAGACTTTTTGGTGTTTTATGATTAACATTTTTTCAATCAACATATGTAAATTTGTAAAGTTGTTTGGGATTTTGAATACTTTTTCTCACATTTAACATTTTGTTGACATCTCTGTTGTGCATGTTTTGTTTGCTGACCACAATATATGTGACAATGATAATGTTAAATGTATATTATGGTGGTCAGTAATGTCAATTATTTTGTTTTGTATCGCTTATGTTGTCATGTATCTCTGATGTAATGTATAGGTCCTGTTGACGTATGTTTAGTTATTTTCTATAATCTCCTATAAGTGAATATTGGATGTTAGATGTCACCTTGTTTTCATTTATTTACAGAATCTGGGCAGAGACCTTTCTTAAATGTGACATCATTGACTTTGGTTTCACTTGTGAAAAATATTGATGTGTATGAAAAACATTCCTAGTACAATTTTAGAAATTAGATTGGATAATAATCATAAGTTGTATAAGACTTAGTGGGTTTCTACAAATGTTAAAGAAAGTGTTTTTGTAGTTGTTAAAGATCTTTTTACGTCTTCCCAAATTTCCAATCTTTTACTCCCTTGTCTGTATATGAATTTCCAAACATCTTCTTGTGTAACATTCAATCTCTCATTCCACTGTACAGGTGTGGATGACAATGGAGTCTTCCCTGATGACTTAGATGACCTTGAGCCAGCGCGAAGAAATGAATCTGCAAGATCAAGGCGTAGGCAGCGCCAGCAATCACCCAGGGTATGCTGTGATTTCATATGTCAAACTCAACAACATCCTCTGGTTTTCTTCATTGTGGTCAACATGTTACTTCCAGGAAAATGTTTTGATCAGATTTAGAATTCATGGAATTGAGGATGTGCTTATTAACCCTTTCCCTGTGTGCTGTATAGAAGTATTTTAAGACTACTTTTTTTTTACTAAGTTTTAGAAAGTACTACCAGTAAAATATAATTTGTATTTTTTCATAGATTACTTAACATGCATCAGGTTAAATTATTTGAAGAAAAAGAATAGAAAGGCAGAGTATAGACAAAAATAGTCATAAGTAAATGAATGAATAAAATCCAAAAACTACATAACTTGTCTGATATATATGAGGCAGATACATTGATGATGATTACTGGATCATGATATTTTGAAAAATTTTATATTTTTTTATGATGCTTCATGTTTTGATCACATTCTAGTAGAGATTTGGGAGATTTAGGAGAATTGGTTGTATAGGAAATCATCCAGCACTTCATTGAGTCTTTCATCGTACTTTTTCCCTATTTTTTTCAGCGCCAACCTGATAACTTATCCATTGGATCACAACTTAGTCTCGATGCAGATAAGATTACCAAGAAAAATCAGGAACGTCTTAGAAAACTTAGGAGTATACAAGGTCAGTAAGCTTTGTGGTGACAAGATGCAAAATACTTTATATATGACATAGTGATTTCTTAGGAGCCCTTATGGTGTGAAAATATAATCTGTAATAACATGTTTAAGAACAACAGTTTTAAGGCTGCATATGCGTCATATCCAGGTAATTACTGTATTGTTTGACATTTCTTTGCCTTAAATTTTATTCTGATTAAGATTATCTTACTACAGAAAAAAAGTATAGGATAACATCTGTCTAAGTATTTTCAATAACAACTCTGTAAAGCTCTCTAATAATACATGTATGACACTCACATTCTTCCTTTGATGCATGCATGCACAGTATTTTTAAAGCAACGTAAAGTGCCAGTCTCCCGGTCACACGATAAACTAAGGAGATCCGCCAGTGCTAGCACAATAGGTGTTTATAATCAGTATGCTACATGTGCACATTTTATGTACTAATAACAATGATTTTTTACACTTGTGACTAATAAGCTTACAGTAAAATGATTTTGGGTATTATTGTGGCACATTATATTGTAAATGTGAAATTTAGCCATATTTGTGTGTGTTTTGGGATGCAATTTTCATTAAAGAAATCTCAAGAAATCTATCAGCTTTTTTTTTTTAAATAAAAATAAAAGTACAGAAACTGTATAAAAATTATAGAATTCTTTTTTTCTTAACAGTGTCAATTTATTCTTGTGACTATGTTGTGCAACTATGGCTGTATTTCCAGAGCTTTTAGATCGATCTATCCCTGCGGGGAGTCTCACTAGATTACTGTCAGATAATCCGGCTTAAATGTCCGTCCCGCCTACTACAAGCTGTAAGGGGGTAATTAACTTTTGTGTCCGCCCGGCTGACAGCTATTTAGCGTGAACCCCCAGGGAGTTAGGTCGATCTAAAGTAGATCGATCTAATCTCTGGAAATGAGGTATATGTTGTGCAAATATTGATAATCAGTCTTGTAAATGAATGTTTAATTCTGTATAATAGTGGTGTAGGTAGTCCTGTTTACTTCATGAATAGTATCTTATACATTTTTCTAACATGTTGTTTTATACACTGTGATGTCTATCAAATAGCAAAGAAAGTGTTGTCTGTGATTTCTTATTTGTATTGTTATTATATAACACATATTCAAAATTGATATTTTATTTATTTTTGATTTATTACATGGTTCGCATGTATTTTTGCATGTAATTTTTCTATCACAAATAGGAATTAGTGGGATCTTGTGAAAGACTGTGGTATGCTATTGACACCTAATTCCCTATCTTTTTCTTTCTTGTTTTTAAATCAAATTGAAATTTAAGATCAAATCTACGGTGTATCACCAAGTACTTATAGATTTACATGTACTTTAGATTTTAACAAGGAGCAAATAGTTCTTGTACTTAGTTATGCCAAACAACTTAATATTTTGGCAAACTTCAAAACCTTTTCTCTTACTCTTTTTTCAAATAAATTCCAGGTGATGATATCTCTATGATGGATCCGGATGATGTGCTGAATAACTTCATGGCCAGACAAGACCATCAGAGGCCTGCTTCAGGGAATACGCTCCAGGACGACTCCTGGCTCAGACCAGGCACCAGGGACTCTGCTGGAACCCACTACTAAACAGCAGCATCACCCCACAATACCAGACTCTAGGCCACAATGTCAAGATACCAGTCTATAGGCCACAGTGTCATGATACCAGTCTCTAGGCCACAGTGTCATGATACCAGTCTCTAGGCCACAGTGTCATGATACCAGACTCTAGGCCACAATGTCGATACCAGACTCTAGGCCACAATGTCATGATACCAGACTCTAGACCACAATGTCAAGATACCAGTCTATAGGCCACAGTGTCATGATACCGGACTCTAGGCCACAATGTCATGATACCATACTCTAGGCCACAGTGTCATGATACCAGTCTCTGGGTCACTATTGAATATCAGACTGTACAGTGTAGATTGCAATGTTATCATACACCAGATTCTAGAGCAAACTTTGAAAATAGACTGTACAATGTGGATCAAAATGTTATGTTAGCTTTTAGTTCAAAATATTTCATATAAGTCTGACCATTAAATTAATACTGCAGGTCATAACACGATACCATACCTTTGGTCAAAAATAATGCCAGGTTCTAGACCACAGTTAATGCCAGATTCAACATTGTAATACCTGGCTCTAGGTCACAGTTTGATGCCAGACTCATGATCTAATACCAGACTCCCGATAACAATCCAATATCTGGCTCTAGGTAACACTTCTATATACAATTTTATCTTGATCATCATAAGACTAGGTGACATTACACCCAGACTGTAAAAAACAATATGCACAAACTCTGGATAGTATAACACCAGATTGCAGGTCAATGGACTGCAGCTATTTTTTCCATTGAGAGCAGTCAACAACCTCTTCATTCAGGTCAGAATGTTCTTTTTACAGATTGCTTAGAAGATAAATGATAGCTTGTGTCATTGAACTCTCTGCGGCAATAACAATTTGCGTGATGTGCATGACTGAGATCACATATCTCCAGGTGCTGCCATTTATAATACATAGAAAAAATGCTAGACAAAGCATCAGACAAAGGTAAATGAGATTTAGATGTGCCTCGAGAGCAGATAGGTCAATGACCTGAGAGGGTAATAACTGCCTCTGACCTCCCCATGCCAAGGCTGTCATGTACTAGTTATGTACAGTGCCTAGCTGGGTGTATACAGGTATTACTGAACGTAGATTAAATCAAATAGCAGTGCACCCCTGAGTTATCCTGTGTTTCAAAGTAAAGTAAAATGCAATTGTCTGTGGATTTGTCTGTCATAGGTGCAAACTAAGAAATAACAGTCTTGAAAAATATCTCGGCATTCTTGGTACTTATTTCAAAAATTAAAATTTTTGAATCCCAGTGCAGGGTCTTATGTATTTGAGAAGCTGGCCTAGAGGAACTTGATGTTAAATTTATTTGATGAACTGAGAAATAGCCTGGTCTAACTGGTGCAACTCAGCATTTCAGAGTATCAGCAGAAATGTAAATATTTAGTTTATTGCTATTGCAAAAACAGCCCTAGTTTCATATTCCAAGGCAATGAGAAGCAGGCCAGGTTCTTCACATCTCTAATTTCCAAGTATGCCTGCTGATAGGGGATAAGTTTGGCTTTTATGTGAGGAGAGCTGGCAAACCAAACTGAAACTCAGGGTTGTAATTATAATTAGCAACTATACAGCAGACGTGGCAGATGAAAGCAGATTATTCAAGTAGAGGTGCTGGGAAATAACTAATTTATATATTTCTGTATTTACATAAAATGTGATATTTATTTTTCTTCCTTTTTTCACATCTGTATATGTCAGCCTATTTACATGCTTCAGTCATGCAGATCTTAAGGTAGTTTCATTAAAACTTTTTTGTAGAAGCATTTTTGTACTTATGGTTACCACTTACTTTTATCAGAAGATTCATGTGTTATGTAAAATTTTTGTTTGTATATTTATATTTTTCTTTGTTTGTGTTTGGTTATTTGTATATTTCTTCCCACTGATAAATGTTAATTAAAAAAAATGTACATTGACTGTATCACATTTCTTAAAGTCTCTCCTTTGAGAAATATCTAGTTATATTTTTGATGTTTGTTGTATGTGCATGTAAATATAGGTATAAACATTTTAATTTTGCCCATGAGTATGATTGATATTCAGAAAATACTTAGCAAATAATCAGCAAGGACACCACATAAATCCAGTCTTGATTAATGTTTTGGCTTTAGTTAGAAATGCACCAAACGAATCTGCAAGAAGCAGCATTAGAAAAAATACAGATAAACAAGGTCCTTCCAGGGAAAGTAAGATCTTTCAGTCCAAATGCTACAGTTACAGATAAGATAATGAATAATTATGAATATAAATGTTTGAAAGGTTAAATTAAAGAGAAATCATCAAACAGTTATGTTTTTGTCTTTTTCTAGCTGAAATGTTGAGAACCTAATCCTGCCAATTTATTTAAAATTTAAACTGTATAATAGTAAGCCCTACAGATAGACTAAGATGACATTTCTCAGTAAGTTTAAGGACCAAAGGGTGATAAAAAAAGTCCTGCAATGGCTGGCTGATAATGGTGAATGGCATATTCCAGCAGTTTTGAAAATTGTGACTCCTTCTTAATACCTTGGAAGAGGGTAAAAATCAATTTCCCTCTTGAACTCCCAAAAAAATATTCGTTTAAACTTTAGTTACCGACTTAGGAACAGAAACATGACCTTTTAAAAGCAAAATGGGTTAGTTCAAAAAGTGAAACTGGCAATTGATTTTGTTCCAAGTTGCATGCTTTGGGTCACAATTTTATTACGCGAAGTTCCATCTAGCATGTTCAACAGACTTGACACATTCCATCTTTGATAAAACATCAACATCTGCAAGTCAAACAAAACCAACAAAAGTTATACAATATTTATTTATAGTCAGATATATTTACAAGAGAGTACTTGACACTGGACAAACAATAAAAAATCACCTGGTATAGACGTACCTCTTCAATGACATTTTAACCCAAAAGTTTTTACAGTGGTGGCAAACTAACTTTCCTTCATCATAGCTCACTTCCACACATTAAATCCATCAAGTTGTTAATTGAGTCTATTTTTGACATTTCACTTATTTTGCCATTAGCACTTTATACTACTCAAACTGCAGTCTCACTAGTATTCCCAATACTTATATGTCCTAAATGACATACACAACATAAACTTTAAGGGGGGATTCAGATTTTCTGCCATTTTTTAACTGGATCATATTTTAATCTGCAGGCATAATTTCCATATCATCATATACAACAACCAAGGGTTTTCCCAGCGAACCATCCAGCTGTCATTTGGATGGCCGCCAGCATCACCAGACGGCCTATATTTTCAAAGACGACTGGACGGCTTATGGATTTTTTTGGCAATATGACAACTTGAGGCATACTTGGACTCCCTGAAATTTTGTATGAAATTTTAGGTGGTAATTTTGGACAGCCTGTACCCCTAATCCTGGAAAAAGCCCTGACAACAACATACAATACAATGGTGTTTCTGGATTAAGAGTCAGTATGTTGGCACACATTGGCATGACTATTATACGCATCTGTTTTAAGAGTAAGATAATAGTCCGGCAGTACAGCTGGCACCATCCTCCTACACCACACATGGAGCATACCCTTTACCAGAGTCACAGATTGATTTTTCACAAGATATTCACAGATATGTCTCTGGCCAATTCATGGCACAAATCTCTACTGTGAGAGAAAAGTGCACATAATTAAATTGCAGCCCTCTTTCCCCTGCACCTGAAGGGATTTCTAAATCTAACATTCCAGTCACAAAACCAAGGTCAGGAGATTTGAAATCTTGAGCGATAAATAATCTGGTGGGCTTTATGCTGAATAGGTCCAAATTTGTTAATATCTGGCTGCTGAAATGGATCCCACATGATGAAACCATAATCATGAAGGGTTAAACTAACTATTTGTAAGGGTACGTATGCAGTACGTCCACAGCAGATTTGATGCTGTAATGGAGGTGCAGGTCTACTAAACCCAGCATGTCATTTGTTCAGTCATTCAGTATAAATATCTACGGATTCCTGAGAAACTTGTGCCAGCACCTGTAAACTTCACAAATACCATGATTTTGGCCCACCTTCCAGAAATCATGACATCAATTATAATTACATATACTGTAGAGTGTTAAGGAGCTTTCAAAAGCAGCTGCCACATTGCTTTAAAAATACGTATCTTAACAAAAATTAAGAGTACTGCCAACCGGATGTGTGTTGATTGTTGTAAATATAATATTTGTTACCAATGTGTTTTCCTTCACCTACACGTTGTTTGCAAAATGACATTTGCAGTGATTATGAGTCTGAGGGAATCCAGAGGGAATAAAACTAGGCTTAAAACCAATGTATCTAAGTTTTTAAGATGAAGAACAGTCCAGAGTGATCTGGATTACTGGTTTATACTGGATAGACATTGTACATACTGATTGCTTACATATCTATTTATCCCTAATTATGCACAGGGTTACTTGTTGTATTAAAGTAAATACTCTTACACAATATCAAGAGAGAATATGTATACAAGTATACTTGTCCAAATAGTGTACGTAACTATCAACATTTTTTTACAATACTTTCATACTTGGGTGAGTCTATCATCAACTAGATCTAGAGATTAATACATGTACATCAAAATATATTTGTAAACAATAATAAAATAATAACTTTACATAAAATCTTTCTTTGTACAATTAACATTATTAGATTAATATACCCAGCACTAGCAATAGTCGTTTTAACCTGTGCTACTTCCCAGTAATCATTCCAAATGTATTTTGTATTTATATAGATGTTATAAAACTAGAGAAGAGAGCCTGTAAAATGTAACGTGTACACATTTTAGTGCTCAATAAAGATTACTTTTATTATTAGATTAATATGATTGCTTTCTCTGCAACAAAATCAATACAACTGCCATGGGAAAAAACATGAAACAGGCCCAACTAACATTGCTGTCTTGGAAACAAAATTATGTAATAATGTCAACAACATGTGATGATACCCTGTGAATGTGAGGTGCTTGAAATCTACTTTCTTATTATTTAGTCAAAATTATTCTGGATACTCCTTTCATATTTCAGTATTATATTTCCTTCTTCTTTAATACTCGACTATTAATATCACCTAAAATTTCATTTTTAATGTTTCCATATAAGCTTTGTTTAATCACCAAATTTAGAAATGAAGTATTTTATTGTATTTTCTATCAATTCAACTTAGTATATAACTTTATAAAACAAAGGAATAAAACACATTTCATTAGCAAATCTCAATTTTATAATTCAACCTTCTAAATTATCTTTAAGTCTGGCAATAATATCAAAAGAAAAAGGGAAAAAAGTAAACCTTCTTTTGCATCAAGTGATGTCACGCACATGGCATCACATATACATAATTTCATTTCATTCTTCAATTATCAGTAGTTTAAAAAAGCATTTCTCTTTCAAGTGTCTGCCAAGATAACAAATAACAACCCATAAAAACATCATTCTAACATACTCTATAGTCTAAAAACAACATTCACGTTCCCTTTTACCCATTCGTATTTCCTGGGATATTTAAGAGGAATCTGTTAGTTTTATGCATAAATTTAACATGTGAATGCAAAACAAAAGCATTCAGTTTAGACCTTCAATATTTTTGTTAGCATATAAAGTACAAATACAATACATTTTTCTGTTTGGCTTCTTTTTAAATAGCTCATTTTAAATGAAAAAAGTCAACAGAATCGAATTTCTCATGCAATCAAAATGACTGGAACAATGTTTAAAAAGTTACAAAAATAGGGTCACAAAATGGCTGACAACTTGGGCCTAATGGGGAAATATTGCACTTTACATAATGTCCAATGACTTATATTGGCAACAAAATTTTCTCATAACATACTGGCCACACAAAAACAACTGTTTTACAACTGTTTTACATTATATTTTAAAATATTGTACCTTGATACAGACAATACAGCATCACAATGTGTGAACACACAATACAAACTATATATTACTATCATTTGTGGTTGACCCAGAGCTGAAACTGGAATTACTGTATTCTTCATCTCCATCATCATCATCATCATCATCATCATCAGGACCCAACTCACCTTTCCTGGATGCAGCAGGGGAAAATTGAGAGATTGCCTTCAAAGAATTCCCCACGCAGACAAATTTACCTGGGACAAATGTGCACAACTTACGCCTGGCATTTGAATCCATTTCTGGCAGTTTTAAACTGGACATATTACTAAGTGCCAACCCTCCATATACTGCTGAATTTCCACTGTCAGCATCATTCTTTGCAATTTTGTCACAATCATTTTCTAAAGTCTCCATTAGGGAAGGGATGCCAAAATTTCCATCTTCACTTGAATCTGAGGAGCTGTCTAGTTTTTTTATGCGTGCCCTACGAAGAGGCCATGCTTTCTTTTCTTGGGCACCAGGTGCACCCAGGCTTTTTTCAATTATAAGCTCCACCAAGTCCGAATATTTGAATAATTTCTGCTTCCCAGTGTGTAGGACACGGCTGACTTTCATGTTCTTCGGGACATAGGGATTTGCTGAAATGTTCTGCAGTGACTTCATCATCTGGAAATCCAATACATCCATGCAAGGTGACTTTACTACAGCACTTGCTTCTGTGGAGTTTGCATCTGCACCACTGTTCAACCTTATGCTTGCTTCCTTGACTTCATTTCCATTTACTCCCCCTTCTTCACTTCTTGCTTTGTGAGGTAAATTTTCTTTTTTATCCTCTTCCATTTCAGACTTCCCTTTTTTATCATCTACATTTTTCAATTGTTCCAGCTGTTCTGCTCCTTTTTCAAATCCTACTTTTTCTTCATCTTGATTTTCTAATAAAAAAGATAAGAAAAAAATTACAAAACTAAAATACTACATAGCTACATATAAAAAATATCCAACACCAATTCAAATGGTTTTGCGCACAGTATAACAGCACCTTGGTTGCAATATTAATTCACAAGGACTGATAACTAAAAAAAAAAAAAAAAAGATTTTACTAATTTAACACACAACTTTGCTCCTCATAAAACAAGTTTACAACCAGAACAGGTATGTCTTATTAATGAAATAAATAAATAAATAAATCTGTTTATTCAGAGGCTGTTCATTCATGAATTTTCCACAACTTTTACCATTGAATCATATCTACTTGTCATAAAACTGCATATAATTGTAAGTATTTGCTGTTAAGCCCAAATCAATACATCTCTTTTCTATTGCTTGAAATGATGATGATAGAAACCCACAAGATATAATTATTTAACAAATTCTTCTACCAAAAACAAAGTAATATTCAAACTGTCTTACAAAAATTTGACTACAAAGCAGCTTTATGCAATCTTTTTATTACCTTCTTTTTCTTCTCTCTGTTCCTGCCATTTTTTATACCACCTGGCCTTCATACATTTGTGACTCTTTGTCACACCAACTGGGGACTCCCTATTGCCCCGCTGGGATTCCAAATGACTGTCAGCATTTGGTGTCAAAACTTGACTGCTGTTACATGCATGGCTTTTTCCCTGACTTAACACAGTCTGATTCCTTGGTACCCAAGATGAATCTGCAGGCTTTTCAGAAAGGTCAAGTGGGCAGGCAGGTAAAACATCCTCAGATGTGGAAACCTCAACTGACCCTTGTACTGAGGGTGGTGAGTTAGGCAGTTCATTTGGATATATGCAAACTGAAGTTCTTGCTGTTATTGGCTTGTGAGATCCCCCAGTTTTACAATGATCTGATATACCCAGGTCTGGCTTGGGCAACGGATCATTCTTATAATATTTGGAATTTGCTACTCGAAGGTCAACTGGTTCCGTCACTGTCTGCTCACTGGCATAACACTCATCCTTTCTCAACCTCTGACTTTTTCGCATTGGGTGGTTAACTGAAGGAGAAACACTCGGCGATGGTCTTTTCCTTGTCAATCTGGTCTCTTCTGCAGATGTCATCATTTTTGTGTCAGCTGATTGGAAATCTGGATACACTTTACGACTAGCTTTAGTGGGAACACGCAATACTCTCTCTCTTGGAACCTGGGTTAGTTCATTCTGCCCTGATGATAAACCTTGCTTATCTGTAGCTTGCCCCAAGTGACGCTGCTCCAGTTCACTGAGAGCAGTTGTCTCACTTTCAGAATTGCTACATATTTCCATTGAATCGAACTTATTCACACTTTTGTCACATCCGTTGCCAGTGTTAAATCTGCCACTTCGGTCATCAACCTGCAAACTATTGATTTTATATATCAAACCCTCAGGCGAGGCTTCTTTAATATTTCCCTCTGGCTCTAATCCCTTTGTTTGTGACAAACCATTGTTTTCCTTTAAATTTTTGTTTTGTGAATTGTCTGATTGTAAGGTAAATTTTTCCCCATTTGTTTTGCCCATGGAGTGTTCAATCCCCATTTCAATGAGTTTACCAATACTAAATTGAACCAGGAACCCATCCTGTTTCTCTGTGTCAAGCCCATGCATCTTGAAAAGTATCCCGGTTCTGTCTTCAGTTTTTAACACCATGGTACATCATCACTGAACCTAAATGGGAAAACATGGAAAATCATTCAATACAACAGGAACTCATACGTTAGCAGTCCTCGTCTATCCTGCCAACATGTAATCAGTTGTTATAATTTGGATATAGGAGCTGAATAGATCATTATTTTCATGTCTTATCAGGTGACGGGAAGCAATTAGTATTAATTCATTATTTTTAGAAAATCAAATGTCTACGTCAATACTTGTTTCGTAACAATTATTTCTTTTAATAAACAAGTATTACATATATCTAACAGACATATAATGAGGTTATACAAGCCTCCAACTCAGTAGCACCTTTGTGCAAATGTGTCAAAAAAAGTTTGTGAATACTGGATGATTCTTAATTTTGGCACAACAGACTCTTGTGCTCTATAGTATGTGTTAAAAAGATACTCATAAGTTACTTTTTGAAATAATTGCCTTCTAACATAAACAAAATTTCTTTTATCTGTGTGCTTTATTTGCTTTTTGAGCAGTAGATGAATCTAGTCACAAACTGAAAATATACTACTGAACAGTTTCTTTAAGAGTTCATCACATCTGCATTCCAGATACCCGATTACATAATGCTTACCTCAAACTTTCATCTAATAAAAGTGACTATATACTTTATATAATTCGCCTTTCATGTTGTTTCACAGGCCAATTTTTTTGTTTTATTGTTAATACCCAAGCATGTAGTAAGCAGATATCTTATGTTGTTATTATGATATTTATTATCAACAGTCAAGACCAAGGTAGTGGCACAGATATCCATGGGGATGGGGGGTCGGGTCTCTGGGGGTAGTTAGTGATTTCACTTTCTTCATTGCAGAAATTTTAAATTTTGTTAATCCAGGTATATTAATAATGAATCTTACGTGCAATAGTTAATGCACATGTAGATTTTATATTAAGAAAGAACATTGATAGGACCCTTGGATCCTTAAGAGCGAGGCTGCCTGTGGAGGTGGATGATACAGAAAAGATTTCTTTTTTAGATACTTTTAAATAGTCATGCAAGAATACAGACTTCTTATATGTTGTTATCCATAAAAAACAATGGATATTATCAATTATCAATATCCAGGTAATGGCATAACCATTCATGGGCCCCAGGGTGAGCTCCTCTTGAAAAAGTGGCTAGGATTTGTGAAGCTAGGCTACCCACTGACAATATTTAGTTATTATAATTATTATACCAGGAAGAAGACTCGAGCACTTTGGATTAGTGTATTTTTTTTGTTATCCCAAGGCTGACAATTCGCACAATAGGATAATTGCACTTGCATTTCACTTACATGCTCGCCTGTATTTTCATACTCTTCAGTGTGTCCATCTCAAGTGCCTGGCGTGGGATAAGTCGGTTACAACTACTCGTCACCCACTGTATGCAACATACAAGAGCAAATTATATCTCGGCTATGACTAGATTAAATTATGCTCTTGTACGCCTCATACAGTGGACGACTTTTGTTAGAACTTGTACAAACATGGCCACATGTATCTGCATAATTGATTCCAATACCAATGTGCATATAGATCATTAATGTTAATTTGATTACAGCGACTAAATAACTGTGGTTCAAGGGCGTAGCAGCCTGTACGTTCGTAGGCAGTGAACATACACATAAAAATTGGAAAAAAATTTTTATAGTAATAAAAACAACGCTATATTCAATTTTTATACACAGTTTGAATTCTTTTGCTCGAGGACAGCTAAGAGGGTATAATATAAAATCCTCCCAAAAAGCTAAACCATGCCTGCCGTCAGCTACGATCATCTTAAACATTAGAATTGCGCGGGTTCCAGCACCTACTGCTAGGGAACTGCCGAGGGAGAGAAACACGAATTAACACAGAAATATGTGTACACAGGAAGAGAGGCTTCTAATATATTTTGAGACTGAGCAGATGGAAATGTGCATGAAAGTTCGGTTTAGCGAAAGGAGCAATGCCTTTTCACAAATGCGAGATTTGGGAATTTACTTCTGTATTATTGGTGCCCATCTTGTTTGTTCATATAATTTTTCATTGTTTTTTTTTAATGTTTAAAAAGATATGTGTATACTTTATATAACTTGAAAGAGTTTTTGTCTCTTCTGAGAATAAGAAGACTAACAACCCATAGGCCTTGATGATGTTGGGATCAAACAGTGAAATAAGTAGAGCATATGTAAAAGCAAACTAAGCATAACAACAGTGTTATACAGATGCAAAAAGGTGATCGCAGGGTTGCATTTCAGTTCTTGTCTGTTCTCAAATTTACATTTTGAATATTTTATGTAGATTGTTCAAATACAATGTCATTTTTTTCCATTACAGACTTTTGCCTTTTAAATATAGTTAAAGTCATCTATACCGGGTACAACACACAAGCAAAATATATTTCTGAGCAAAATTGTTGAAATTACAGATCTTTGTGAACTAGCCCCTCCTGCCCAGCTGTGGTTTTAGAATTTTCTCAATTTTACGCATGCGGTGGACTGGTCGATCTTATATATTTTACAGGGTTTCCACTAGATTTTGCATGTAAGGGTCATTTTGACCCCCACTTTTTAAAAATAGAGCTCATTTTCAAAATTTAGGGGTCAAGAATTTATAAGTTTGAAATAACATTGAAATAAACATCAGAAGAAATACAAACAACAAGTCACAAGTGTCTGGCACTTTGAGTTAAAGAAAGAATTGACTGCCCCAGTAGAAAAGTCTCAAGAAAGAGCTCTTAAGATAATTTATCCTGATCTTGAATATGACGCAGCTTTTGAACATAGTAAACTTGAACTACTGAGTGAAAGATGGCTTAATGCATTGCAAAAAATTGTTTATTAGGATATCAATTGAACCGGATCATAGATAAATGTGCGTCAAATGAACGCAATACATTTTAAATTGGGGGTCAATTCTGATAAAACAGCGTCAGGGACACACAAAAATTGCAATAATGGGAACCCTGTTTTAGCTCCAACATTTCACTTAAATCTTAAACACACCATTTAAGGCTAGATTTTTCAAACCCCTACCCCTCAATGCCCCCCACCCCTCAATGCCCCCCACCCCCAGGACTTCAGCAGCCATTGTGTGCCCTACGGCCCCACAATCTACACGCATAAAAAAACTGCATTCACTTCATTTTACCCCTAGCTATGCCCCAGGATGATGGTTTTACGGTTTGATGGGATTTAATATATTGCTGGAAATGCTCCTGGTTTTGCAGTTTTGCAAAAAGCAATTTATCTGTCTTTAAACAGGAATAAATGGGAGATTAAAGAATTGAATATTTTTTTCATCATTGCCAGTCTCCTTATCACTTTCCACATAGTGCAGCTGACAAAGTAGTGTACATAACTTTCTTATCCACAACTACTTTCTTTCCCAACAAGTCATATATCTCTGTGCTAAAATGTAACCACAATTAATGTGAAAAGGACACTCTTAAAAATGTTTTTATGTACAAAACAAAATCAATATATTTAGTATATATAATTAACATCACTATAACAAAATGAGAAAGAAAAACATGAAAAAAGTCAATGCAACAGGAATATACCCCCAGTAAATAATTCTAGTCAGTGTTATAATTTGTTATAATTGTTATAATTAGGATATAATATTAATGAGCAGTTGTTTTGGTAAATTTTTGTAAAAAATTATTTATTTTGTTCAAATTTATCTGATATATTTATATCATAAAAACTTGATATATTTATCATATGAAATGAAACTGGTTACTTGATATGCAATACATACAAGACTACCCACCTAATTACTATGACAACAGTATAAAAATCAATAAAATATAATAGTGTCCAAATGCGTGTCCTATTGTATAAACGCTCTTTTCCGACGTGATTATTGATGTCTTGTATTGTTATTTAGCCATCCACAGTCATGAATTTGCATTTGACAAGTTTAGGATCAGTGAAAATCACAGATATATCTATCTCATTATCAGTTTATCTCCTTGTGTTAATTTTAACTAGTAACTAGAAAAGCACTCAGAGAGTGCAGACCTCTGACAAGGCACCTCATCTCTAATTATTATAAATAAATCATCAATCAAATCATTTATTTTTATCCACTGATGTATTAGTTAATCAATCAATGGATCACCACCAAAATGTTATTGTTTGTTACTTGGTCCTCTTGTGCCAGTTTTTCAAAACTTTGTGATAATTTGTTACCTTTCCAATGCTTACCATGCAGGGCTGGACAAACCTACTGGAATCATTCACACAATGCAAGAAAACAAAATTTAAAAATATTGAATAATCAGATAAAATAGACCCACATTTTATAATGTTTAATTTTTGAGTGGGGCAACTATCCCTGACAGGCCACATTCAGATAAAACTAGTCCTCGCTCCAGTCAAATATGACGACCCACTAAAAAGCTTGCTGTCTAATCCACTAATAGACACTGAAAAGATTCCCCATGGGGAATTATTCAAGTGGGTCTGCCATATTTGACCCTTGGACTAGTTAGTCCACTGTTCTGAATGTGGCCATAGGCAAATATATCTCTGATAAGTCAAGTGCCTGAAAAGATTTAATGCTTCTCATCTATTTCTGACACAGGCATTTTATGTTTCCATGTTCAATTTTTTGGAGTCATACCTATGTTGTCATTCAGCATCCTCTCCATACCTCTGAATGCATATATATGCTGATCCATTTAAATAAAATACAATACTTCATTTTCATAATGTAGAAATGTGTATAATTAAGAGTATCTGGTTAGAGTAATTTTATTAGTAAATTAATGATCTAGAATTAATTCCATGCAAATAAAATGATGTGATAAATTCAATTTTGTTCAAAAGCGAAGTATTATAACAAACTCAGAAATAAAGGATGCAAACCCTATATTGTTTCATGCTGATTTATGATTGAACCTTTTACATTTATGAATTACTTTTACATAAGCCTACGTATCACGTAACATAAAAAATTGATCAGTGACCATCTAAACTGTGTAGGATTAACAGTTACACTGACCCACCGTAACAAACATGTACACGTAGCCTGTTGTCAGAAAATCTAACATTTAGTGACCCAAGACCAATGTTTCAATTTATCTTTGTCTGCCATCCAAGTTAAGCAGTCTGAACTTAGCCTACAAATACAAGTGCCATTATATATATATATATATATATATATATATATATATATATATATATATATATATATATATATATATAGGTAATGCAAAAATCATGTAATTATGTGACAGGGTGAAACAAAATAAATCAAGACATGCAGATGGTCAAAGGTCATAAACTGCTTGTAACCTAGCAAATTGCCTCACATGGATTTTAATTCTGTGGTTATGACTGAAAAAAATATCTTGCACCAATAAAGTTAGTTCTTTTTTTAATGCGTAAATGTATCAAAATTTATTAGATATAATAAGAAAAACCATGACCAAAACTGTAAAAAGACTATTGGTCATTTTAGATCATTTTAGGCCCATAAAGAAACCGAGTTAAATTTCCATACATATGATAAACTAGTAGATCCACAAAACCAAAACTTATCTTAAAAAATTAAGGAATAACTGGACCATTGTTATTTCAGTACTTAATTAACCACATTTCAGTAGCAACAACTATAAACAAATTTCACCACATGACCGACAGTAGACAATAGTTGAAAACTGGGGTTTCTACCGGAGATTATAAATTTGTGACCAGTGGTTTGAGACCGAATTATCACTGCGAGTTGGAACCAAAATTGCTTCACAGTTATTGCGGTAACAAGAAATAGTGAATGACTCTGGCTCTGGCGACACAGACAGATGCAGGTGATGGAAACAAGAAATTTAGAGAACCTTCCTTGTGACTGTGACTGAGCAGACTGTGTGACTGTACGTAAACACTAGGTCTAATGAAGTAGAACTAGCAAGACTAGCAATGCTTGGAGTTGTAAGACTGCGTGTCTGCATATTAGAATTTCCAACAAGCGTACATCGAATTTAGCGACTACTGGGACTGATTGAACGATATAACCTACCTGGCATCCTCATGTATAAGCTTCAAAACAATGCCTTTGGTAAGAGTGTAAGGTTCAGACGAAAAAAGACAGGCCTTTGCAACCCAAGTTCACCGTACGGTTGTTCAAGGAGAATTATCTGGGAGAGGAAAGGAAAATAGTATTTTGTAGTTAAATTCCGCTATATTTCACAACTAGACCTTAGAATCTTTTGTTACATATCATAAGAAATTAACATTAGTGGATATTTTACTAATATTTAGGGTTAATTTCTAGCAGGGAGGATAAGAAAATACACATATCTTTTGTAGAACGGCTTCAACGCACCTTCCCCCCTAAAAGGCGTTCCACACAGGTCATTGACCGTTCAAACCCTGCTCTTTATCTGGGTCATTTTGTCAAGGTCGTCAGAAAAAAAGTTTTAATGCCAAAATATTTGGCATTAAGTCAAATAAATAGACATTACGCTATCATATTTTGTTATGATAATACTAGCTTCAAATGTCATGTGTAAAACAACTTCATATTTATGTATAAAATCTCACTTATTATGTAAAAGGATCATTTGAGACCGATCGGTTAAGCCGACCACATTGTGTTTATTCAAAATGAAGTGCAGAACATCCAATATAGAAATGTACCTGGAGGAACAGTTTATGGCACAGTGCCAAAGTAACCCATGGTCATGATTATAGGCTATGTATGACCGGTCGGTAATTACATAATAGGCACGGCGCAATGCTTATTGATCAATATAGGCGAGTTGCTTAAAATGAAAGCAAAACAATTTACTGGCCTTTCAAATCCTGATAAAATAATGAATTTACTTGGAAATCTTTCTTAAAGAATTACAGTGTGTACAGCACGCAGTAAAAACAAAATTACACTATAACCTATTACTATTACTGCAAAAATAAAATATAAATAAATGATTTGAAAATTATGTAAGGTGCACGACTACATTAGTTATCAATCAGAGAACTTTTATTCAATAATCATGGCAAATATACAGACAAAATGACTTGTGTACAAAAGGGCTTATAAAAAGGAATAAATGTTATACACTTTACGATAAGGTAAGATAAGAATTTATTCAGCCAGTTACAAAAATCCAAAATCATTTACCATTGGGGCAAAGTTTGATAAATATATAAAGTAAAAGTAATACAATAAATAAATTAAGAATTAGGTTTAAAAAACAAACTGAAATATGTTACTGCACTCGGTTAAAAAAACTACTTAAAAAGCATTTACTTCCTTCAAAACTTGAGAATCTACTGTTGCTAGGTAAAAAGCAGTGATGCTGGGTGAGAAGAGACTCCCATAATGCTTTCAGTTTTTTTTTCTCCATTCTGGCCTTAAAAATATCACTCCGCTTTGGGAGATCCTGGCCAATAATCTTACTTGCAGTTATATGGTATTTGCCTCACGCAGTGCTCTGCATCCTTGTCAGTGACCATTAGGTGGATTCCGATACACCTCTGTGTTTGTTGTGTATATGTAAAAGATATATTGAGTGCCATACCAAGCATTTCTGAGAATCATCCATTAGTTCATAGACCATGCATAACTCCATCAGCTGTTTATAAAAAGAACAGATGCTAAATATATCCTAAGTTTTTTTACTGAAGCTGAATGTCCGAATCTTTTTCACTCGAAAGTCAGTCTTATTGTTATGAGAACATGCTCTATAGGACTTTAAGATATGAGATCCCTTACAACACACACCCATCATTTGTTTGGATGTTTAGTGGACCATCAATATTTTAAATTCTGTCTTTGTAGAATTCATTTGTAGCCCCACTTTACTACCCTCTTTTTCCACTATGTTCAGTAATTCTTGGGTTATGTAGTTTTCTATGGCATATGCTGTCAATAGCTTTTAAGTCTTTAGGTATAAATGTCATCATGACTTTTTCTGTTGTTTTGCCTCACTCATTCTATTTCTCTTCTCAGTGACCCATCTTCAAGGTTCAGGTCCCTGAGCATTATAGAAGTTCTTCATTATTGTCATTGTCAACCAAGGTGACTTGCCCAGAAGTGCTCCTGAAATACCTGTAACACTTACTAAGTCTTACTCTTTGCTTTTGGCTTTAATTATGCCCCTTTAAGGTTAAATATACAATAAACAAATATATGTTCATGTTAAGTGCTTTTTTTTCTTTTTGGTCCCTTCAAAAGTGGCCTCATCCTGGTGGGACTGGATGAGACACCTAAGGTTGCAGTTGATGATATGACACTATTTAATTTAACCATATAGGAACTATGAAATAGTATGAATAGTTTGTCAAATAACACCATCTGGCATTTTTTAAATATACTGGTCCATTTTTCATTTTGGAACACTTAGTAAAACCTTCACATATATATCCATTACAGTAATGCTCAAGTTGTGTGAAATGTAGTGGATGCAAATTGCCAAATACCATAAAAAATGTACTCTGAAAACAGTCTTTCACACAAATGTGACTCAATCTCATACTGCGTATCTTTGTAGATTTATTTCTGCTGTATTAAAAATACTGTACACCACAGATGTATAAAATACAAAATATAAATATCTATACACATAATAAAATCCAGTACACGTATAACTATTCACCGAGAGCAGAAAATCATAATTATGAATGCCAAATCATTGGTTTACTTTCAAAATATGACAGTAAAATTCAGATTGCACACGGGTGAAATGACATTCCCACATTAAAAAAATGCAAAATTTGAGTAAACAGTGCATAAAAAGATATTTAAATCAAAAGAAATTATTTACTTTCACTACTAATTAACATCCAACAAAATTGGTTATAAAGGAATTTCTTACAAAATTTACTAAGAAAATGTTCAAACAAAATATACAGGTTTATTTTATTGATAAAAGTTCATGACATTATTACTACACAATTACCACAATTATTTGTCATATGGGTTATCATAAAACTTTATCTATGTTCATTAAGAGGCCAATTCACCCTAGTGCTGGCTTTTGTAGAGCAGGTTTTTTTCTTTTGTACAAGATACACTGAGGCCATAAATTGTGGACATATCTACCACAGTTCAGTCATACTTGTATATCTTTTCACTGTCTGACAATGCTTTAGTTACCCATGGCTTTATGTCAGATATGTCTTTCTAACAACTTGATAAGAGCCATACCTGATGAATCCGTGATCTATGGTGTTCACTGTGCTTAGCAGATATTCCTTGCAGCACTCTCTCCTTTCAGCACTTCACTGAACATTAACCTTAATTATTTTAAAATGTTAATATTTTGCACCACCCATTATGTATTCACTCTTCTTCAGACACAAGAGAAGCCAAACTGGCAGACTGTATTAATTACAAATTCAAGTCTACAGACAAAGGTGTGGTTTTATATGACCTTTGTATGACCCCACTCAGGCTTCAAGCATACACTACATATGCAGCATAAAACTAATTAGTATGTTCAACTGTTTATACATCCAGCATTTCATTTTCTTTGTCATTGTCCCTATCTCCATCATAGAATTCATTTGCAGGTTCTATCCTGGAATACAAAATAAAAACTCTTAAGCAAATACATGGATTTACATCATGCCATTCCTTAAACATTCACCATATAAAACAACATTGTTATGCCAAAATTTGTTCTTCCAAAACAACAATCTTAAATCTTAATGCACAGAAATCATAGAATATAAGGTACTAGATTGAAGCTCAAAATCTTTAATTTGAATCAATATCCAGCACACCAGTTTTTAATAATTACTTACCTCATGTCCTCATCATTCTGGTGGTTCTTCATGTCAGGATCTGGGTCCTCAATGTTTTCTAGACTAAGAAGATCTGGAGGGACATCATGCATTTGGACACTAGGAGCATGTTGGAGGTTTTTGAGATTCTCATGTGTTATCTGTCTTATGTAGTCCAGGTACTTTAATGAAAAAATATAAAATAGTTAAAATCTATGGGATACTATCTTAACTTTGGCCTCTTCTTACAGGTATATCTAAATCAATCTCTCATCATAGTGTGGAATGTCTTCCTTTAGCGTGGTACATATGGACACTTATACCGTAGTGCTTAGGTCATCATAGTCAAGGTCTAATATTCTTTGCACATGTAATGTTCTACTACTAACCTGTTTAGTATTGAGATTCTCATATTTGGCTGTTACTTCTGGATGTAAGCTGAAGTCTGGAGCAAAATATTCCAGGTATTCTGAAAGGAAAATAAAGCAGGACTTTAAGGCTTCGTTCACATGGAATGTCTATTTTCTAAAAATCTATTTTCTATTTGCGCTATCTTATGATCACAGTCTGTGCCCTGAATATCCCACCGCGTAATTACTGGCAGCGCGAGCCAGTTACTTATAGTAACTTATAGTAACTGGCTCGCGCTGCCAGTAATTACGCCGCGGGATATTCAGGGCACAGACCGTGATCATAAGACATACCGCGAATAGAAAATAGAATTTAGAAAATAGACATTGCATGTGAATGAAGCCTAAATATGTCATCAAGGAACTGAATTGTGTTTGAAATGCCATGTGTAAATTTTTCACCTAAGCTGATATCAGACTTGTAGGTGAATCAAACTTTGTTTCAAATATATTATATACATACATGGTTTGGGATTCCATTTATATTTTTCACTTTTATCAGATCAATCCATCAATTACACTAGTTTCTTGGCAATATCTAAAATTGTTCACCTACCATTATAGGGCAATTCATTACTAATACTATTCTGCTCATCTAGGAGAACTGATGTTTCGTATGTCCAGCACCTAGCTACATTCCTGACAGTGTAACCACCACCTCCCAACACCAGCAAAGGAATATTGAAGTCTTTCACCATTTGAACACATTCTCTGGAAAAAATAAAATCATCCAATTACATTTTGTTGAATGGACGAGTACATGAATTAATAAATAAGTTCAACTTGATAAAATTTGTTGAAAAGTATGTCTTGCTGTTTTTGCCCAAGATTAATGTTGTAAGAAAGGAGGGGTCTGTGACTGGCAGCCTGCAGTCAGTCTATGCCCGCAGCCTGTAAAATTTTGTCTGGACCAATAAATTTTTCAGAATGTTTGAATTTATTTTCTGACATAACTTTTAGATTTTTTTCTGTAAAGAGCTTTCGATTTGATTTAATTTTTTACTGAAGTGTAAATGTTACATGATGATTCTTAATTAAAAGAAAAAAAAAACATAATACAAAAATTGTTATTATAAATATTATTTCTATAGCAGAAAATGTCCAGTCTTATTGAAATTTATATTGGTACCAATGAATCTTGAATTGAGCCATTTGATTTCAAGAAAGTCTCGGTCAGAATGAAATAAGCTGAAAAGTTTATGGTACAGACTGATGGAGAAACTGATGAAGAACTCCCTTAGATAAGAACAGAAGAGATCCAAGTGGAAATCAATGAATCAAAGGCCGTCTTCTACTATTATAACAACCCCCCCCCCCCCCATTTTTACCTAAAAACTACTCCTACCAAGTTCATTAAAAGCCAAAAAGAAGAATTTCTGTAAAACTTCCGTACATTCTTTTCATTATTTTTCTTACAAAAATGACAATTATTTTACTTACCCATGCCCTTTTGTAGTCAAACTAAAACAGCCCAGCCTGTCATTGCCTAAAGAATCTGCTCCACACTGAAATTATACAGTAAGACGCATTTGATTTTTATTAGGTTCATGGTAAAAAGCATTGTGAGCTTACTTCTCACAACAATGTTTTATGTTGCCATACCTCATGGCAAAGAAGATACACTAAAGCATTGGTTTTGCTTAGTGTGATGTGCCACACACAATGATCAAAACAAAGATGCATATTTCATTTTAAACGATGCATTAAATTATAAATAAGTATGACAGCATACCAAAACACTTTCAATGCTTGGACATGGGTCATTGTTAAAAGTAATCAAATAATCTTTTTACCCACCTGTAATACTATACATGTTGGCTGGTAAAACTGCATGACATTCTGTACTACTGGCTTGAATATGTTCATATATGCTGAAAGAAATAAGTTCATTGCACTTGAGACTAAACAGTACAACAAACATACTCAACATATAAAACATTTTTGAGACAAACTCAAATTAACAGGCAAACTATCAAAAACTCACGGTTAGACTGGTGCTTATAGTTCCAGTAAATCCAGATAATATATCTTACTTTGGTCATCAATTCCTTCTTTAAGAGGGACATTGACAGAGTAGTACCTCCCACTCTCTGCTCCGATCTCAAACATATCCCCTGAAAGTTGATAACAAAAATTTCTTTAAAAGATTAATTTGATCTTTGCTTACAGAATGTTCATTATTCAAGTCAAATATCAAACAGATCAAACTTTAAACTTCTAACAAATGAATGGCAACCTATACGCTTCACAACACAGTATAGCAATCTTACCTGTTCCCGGGAAGAAAAAGTTGCCGTATTTGTGGAAAGACAGTGTCATAACACGATCTGTGAGGTAGAATGCTTCCTGGACTCCATCACCATGGTGAATGTCAATATCTATATACAACACTCTGGGGTGATACCTGCAAGTAGTAAAATTCATAAAATTTCTATTTCATTGCTATGACATAAATATAATTTATTTTCGCTTTTTTTTTTCGAATTTTAACTTAATCACGCATCTGTATATTCTATATTAAGTTGACAAATGTTTGCCAGATTATTATACTAACATAAATTCAAAACCCAGCATGCAAAACTTGGGGAAACCCACTATTATAAGACTTACTTTAAAAGCTCTAAAATTCCAATAACTATATCATTCACATAGCAGAAACCAGAGGCCTAAAAATTGAAAATGATTAAATAAAAGGTTACTTTGCAAATGACAAATTAAAAATAACAATTTGTGGTTTAAACTTAATTTAATATACATCTGTTTAAGAGACCAAAAAGTACTATGGTTTATGTATCAATTTTCAAACAGTTATCAAGAATTTAACAACTACCACTAAAGTAAGTTTTTGGGTGTTCTGTAGAAACACAACTGAAAATCATATTAACTTACTTCAAATTTTTTGGCATGATGTAATCCACCAGACCAATTTACTGCCACATCACAATGCTTTAATAAAAAATAACAGAATTATTAAATGTGTCTTCAATAATATCTCTACTAAATGATAGGCAAATAACATGCTCTAAACATTTAAAGTATTTCCATTACTTTTCATCCATTTTCATGACATTATCTAAATATATTAATCACAGTAACTTATATCAGTAAAGTATCCACAATCTTTTTCTGGGTCACTTACATTATTATTCAACTTGATTGCACCTTCTAGTGTTGCACCAGTGTATCGTGAGCAGAAGTCAAATATACCATCAAACACTGGACTAAAAAACAATATTTTGTTGATGAATAATACCATTCAGAACAAACAAAGAATATGTACAGTTAGCAGTAACTGTGCTTTAATCATTAATTTAACTTGAGCACACTGTTTTTGAATATCAAGAAATGTTCTACTATGTACAATTATAATCTGACATGACAATTCAGACACACTGAACAAGTCTACCTACCAGTCATCTCCTACATTATACATGCTCAAACATTTAGTAAAACCCTGCACATTCTGTGGGGTGATCCTCTGAAGGAATTCAATATAATCCCTAGAATGGAACCTACACATGTCGTGGGCAGAGGCTCTATACGGTCTGTACACCTAGAGAAATTCAACAACATTCCCAGATCAATTGCATCAGACAATACTCTTCCATTATTTTTCTCCCATATAATCAATAATATGTAAAATATTATAAAATTGGAAAATTTTTGGCAGTCTAATGTTATACTATCTTCAAAAGAAAATTGTATGTCACTTTGTATTCTTGTTATAAGCACAAAGATGTACCTTGACAGAAATTCAATATAATCCTTAGAAGGGGTGACAAACTTAATACAGTTATAAAATTGTTAAAATGGAATGAAATGAATGCTGTTATCACCAAATTACACCACATAAAGAAATTGCATTCTACCTTGAGATGAAACACGAATTTAAAGGTAAACTTCATCTGCTTGAAAAGTCCCCTAGTCATATTTCTATTCTGCATACTTAAAACTGATAAATGCTCAAAATTGATAAGTTTATCTGAAGTGTACCCAATGTCATCTTTTCTTTCTGAACCTTCAAACCTTACAAAGATCAAGCCTAAGCAACTTTCTGCTTTACATGAGAAGTATGTCTCCATATTACACATGACCACTTTACATAACTTTTGCAATCATTTTCTTGTTATAAGGTTTAAGCAGGGTCATGTCTTACAAAATGCCAAGAATGTGGAAGAAAGCCTAACATTTTTAGGAATGTTAAACTTGGCACAAAATCCCATATAGTATACTTCAAAACTTAGAAAATTTACAAACATTTTGGGAAGTATAAAATACTCAACATTTTATTCACTTCAACAAGAAAACAGTTTGTCTGCCATATTGAGCACTCAAGTTAGTAGAGCCCTGCACTAGTGACTCTTATGACAGTCCAATATGGCAGATGACCCTACAATTTGTTAAGTTGAATCAACAATAATAATTACCAAGTTATATATTTTGTTTTTCTATCATACTATTTTCTTGTCATTGGCCATTTCCTGTGTTTACTCCTGTCTGGTGTCATTTTCTCTAAAGTATTGCACTCTATCGCACATTTTAGTATGACCCACAACAACATGTCTTTCCCAATAAGTGACTCCACTAAAAACAGTTATTTATTCAAAGATCTAAATGAAATCATTTAAGTAAGTTTGCAGAAAGCATTCCAAGTAAAGGAGAATCTAAACGACATGTCAGTTACTTGGTCTTATGATTGTTGACAATGTTTAAAGAATTAATTCTGTTCATATGTTGGATCCCAACTGAGTGCAGTTTCAGCGATTCCTACCATCATTTTCTTGTAAAGTCCATAATGCAACACTAAACTGTGAGTAAGAGAAAGTCTGTGTGGCTTCATTGGGTGACCTGGTCCTAAAATTGGAAAAAGCACAATTGTAAAAAATTTGATGCAGTCACTTAAAATCTTGCAACTTATTTGCAACTGCAACAAAGAAATTATTTTATGATAATTTCCTCCAACAATATATATTTTATGCATGAGTGAAAACAGATTATGGTAAAATATAATTAAAATATTAGTGACAGGGATACACCAAATTTGAATGTACATCTACATGTGTAACTTAGGCCTAACTTGAATTTATTGTACAGAAGCTCATCAAATCAAATTAGCTTGCAACAATACACTAGAATTAGTTATTTTCACTCTAAGCATTTATAAATTTAGATCATTTGAAACCGCAGTTGATAAGAGCAGCTTTAGTCAAAGTGACCCTTTTACATAATGGTCCATGTACTAACCATAGTGAAAATTGCCGACCTGCGGATCGTAGAAGTACGCTACTTTCGGCGACGCCATTTTACTATTAACATTCGAACCTTCTTTTCTAAAGAACTACGCCAACTCAATTTTGTGAACTGAGCAGGCAACTGTCGGTGTAGGGGCCGTTATCAGATCAACGGGTGCATATGTTATAACGTTACATGCTCTTGGGTGATTGTGGCCAAGGTTCAAAAAGAAAGACAATTTAGAGCAACATGGATCATATGAAATTTTAACATACATATATAATTAATTTTAACGTTCAGCAGATTTCATTACAACATAAGTGCTGATATTTGTCGAGTAAACATTACATGGGTGTGAAGCCTGTATACTACGCTCTCATGAAATCTAAAAGGAATAACATATATTCTTTTCTGTAGACATTTTTTGTCATTTTCAATCAAATTTCTATTGTAATGACACGAGAAATAAAAAAAAAAAAACACGTCATACCGCTAGTTATTACACTGATACGTATGTGACCCATTGATATATAACCTGTGGGCTATTGTTGCAAATTAAACGTACTTTTAAAATAACTTTTCCTCGTCTCAAGGATCACTCCCATGTCACGCAAAAAATCTGTGTCGGGTCATACATTTATCATGATGACCCAATTCCCCATATTCGGTGAAGGTGTGTTCCAGGCTTTACATCTGATTGGTTGCTGACTAACGTCTGATTGGTTGAGCCCAAAGCATCACATGTTGGTTATGCATAGGTATAAACAGTTGTAATAAAAGGGTCAGAAAACTACAGAACTGCCTCTTGCAGTTCGGTTATGTATGTGGAGTACGACCAACATTCATACGTATAGAAACCCCAGTCTTAATTTTACGTAGAGTGGAGAATGCACCGAGTCTTTAGATATTTGTCGAGCAGGACGTTGAACCTGAAGTATGATAGTTTGATCAGTCTTTGCAGGCCAATTTCAAGTCAACTGAATCAACTGTCAGTGGAAAAAACGAGGTGTTACGGGAACTTTTACTCGAGGCATGATGACTTTACGGAGAGGCATATTGGTCCATCTGAGACCGAAAAGAAAGACATGCTACAGTTTATTGGTGTTAAGGTATTGAATATATTATTATGTGATAGCCATGCAAGGTAGGGTTGTAAATACAGGTATAAGCTGTGTATCATATTTCACCATAACCATTTTCAAAAGAAGGCCTGCTGTATTGTACTTCTTTTATTTGTACACTTAAAGCACAGATAGAGCAACTGACAATGCCAACTTCACGCTAGTATGATCGAGGGACTTGTAATCATTAATCAATTGCACATTCAACTTCAGGGTTATCCACCTTTGATACATGTACAGCCTGGCTATAGAAAATGAGCAAATGTTAAATATTTCACCCAATTTGTAATCAATGATATATGGTCCAAAAATAAATTTGATAAAGAAAATATTCATGGTAGTAAATGTAAGTGAGATGAGACTTTCATGTATTCAATATATTTTTTAACAATTAAGCATCTCATCCTTACGGGTAACAAGACCATTAACAGCTATACTCACTCATTCTCCATTTAAGTCCATTTAACATTTTTTTAAAATTTTATGAAAAATTTTCTTTAAATCAGTTTTAGGGTCTTAAATCACTAAAGAAAATTACTAGATTTATCTTTTCTCACACTAAGAACATAAACAGACTAAATTTTATACCTTTGTTTTTAAACCTTTGTTACTTGTAGCACCATCTCACATTCTTCAATCAATTTATTTTTACTAAAATAGAAAATCTACAACTTGTCTGGAAGCAAGTATGATGTGAAATGTCATAGCAATTGTCTAGAATATTTATTTTAGATCAGTCAATAAGTAGCTTGCAGCTGCTTTAGCAGTGTCCCCAGGTTTTTTAAAAATTGAAAAAAAAACCTTTGTTAAGTTTTTTTGATACAGGTCATTATTTTTAGTTGATTGATGTTCTATAATGTTTTACCCATTAATGAAATTTTCAATACAGGTATATCCATGAGAAGGAAGATGATGTGGTGACAGGGCACAGTCAAGTGTTTTACATAAAAACACAGCAAAGTTGTATTCTTTTATAAAGTAATATGCAAAAGTTTCGTTACCAGGCATTGTGAAAAATGTACTTGATACCGAGAACAAAATGTATCAGTATAATAAAGGTGCATCTAGTAATACCTTCTCAGCACAGTCTTAACTTTTGTTAGTATTAATTATGTGCAAATATCATCCAAAAGGGATGTTATTTTTAAATCTTCCTTTACTAAAACCTTTGTTGCTGAACACAAATACCCCAGGCCCATACTAGCAAGGCATGAATTTAAAAAAATATTTCATGATTTACACAAAAAGCTAGATTTAAGTTAAAGAAAAGTAGAATTTGTGAAGAAGGCTTGAAGTTTCACTTTGAGACTGACAACACCTCAGCAAGACTGCTACTTGGCCCTCCAAGCAAGCCGGTATCACTTTGCTCCAGCCTGTGTGCTCCAGAATGCAACAGGGGTACATGTGTCAACTTAAACATTCAGAAGATGTCTGCATGAAGCTCAGTTGAGGGCCAGAAAGCCATCTGTTTGCACTCCTCTGATGCAGCAACACAGACAAGCGCGTCTATACAGTTTGCAAGAAATCACAGGCTGTGTATGATCCAGCAGTGGTCATGCAGGAGGGTGTGGAGACGACCCGGGAAGTGGAACAGTCAGCCAAACATCTTCAAGCATGATCGGTTTTGAGGGTCATCAGTTCTGGTATGGGGTGGAATTTAAATCAATGGAAGTACTGACCTTCATATGATAGAATGGAACTCTCACTGGTCTCAGATAACGAGGTGAGATTGTCGCCCCTATAGTCTGTCCCTATGCAGGCGCTGTTGGTGACAACTTCATCCTAATTGGGCTTTGGGCTCAACCAATGAGACATTTTACTGATGCTTGGCATAAAGTGTGAATGTGTGTTAAAGCAGTGCTCTTCTGAAGTGTTCTTGGTGGCAATCATGTTCTTTTTCAATTTGATCTTTTTTTCTCACTCTTACTCTGAAATTACTGAAATTTGGTCTTGTTTAGTATTTTTAAGCAAACCAGTCATAATTGTCAAAATATCATTAGCAAAAGACATGATCCCTAGCAAATGTTGACTAGTATATATTGAGAATAAGTGAACATATACTGTTGTCTGCTTAGTTGGCACTCCTATAAAATTCATTTGCTATAAAAAAGTGATACACTGTGCCAGACCTTGTTTTGCAGGGAAAAGTCTTTTGTGTCAAGGTTGAAAACAAACTAGGAGTGGACTTTGAGGGTCAAGTGGACATGTATGACTAACTGTGACAGGCCCTTTCTGTAATCAAAAAAATATATTGTACCTTTGCAGGATGTCAAGATTAAGGATGTTATTTTAACTTTACTCCCCAAATTTTGACATCATGTAGTTACCCTTGATCCAAGTCCAGGTGACAGGTCTTTTCTATGATCAAATATAATTACACCATTGCAGGATGTCAAGAATAAGGGTGTTATTTTAACTTTACTTCCTAAATTTTTTGACATCATGTAGTTACCCTTGATCCGAGTCCAGGTGACAGGTCTTTTCTATAATCAAATACAATTACACCATTGCAGGATGTTAAGTTATGACTTTATTCTGTAAAACGTGACAGCCTGCAGACATTTGCTTACCAGAGCCCAGCTGAGGGATGACATCAATTCCATACATACGTTCTCCCATGGACTCTATGACTCTTTACCAAATGGAAGCAATAGTTGCACCTCTCTCTATATATATATTCCATAGATATTAAATGCTCAATTAGGTAATATGTTTTTATTTATCTGTCTGGTCAACAAGCCAGGTGGTAAGGAGGATGTTCCTAAAATTCTGCACAGTAGAGTAAGCAATTAAGTTCAGAGCAATTAACTGTGCTGATTACTGTCAGAGGGACTTAATTGGCAAGGCCCAGGATCAAGTGGCAGTGCCCAAGTAGTTTTATTACTGAATAAAATTATTTGCTGGGTTTTTATTATTGCATGTGCTTGTTGGCAAAAACTTGGGTATTGATACATTAATATGATAAAATAAACTTGGCATTAAGCTGGTTAAGTTGATAGCAATTTAGTTAGACTTCCCAGGGAGGTAGACCGATCCAGATGGATCGATCTCAGCATGCATGGGAACCCAGTCGTACATGATTATTGTGAGAAATATTGTACTTACTTGGATGATGGTTCAAATATTTTTCAAAAACCTGATATAATTATTATTTTGTTCTTGAACATACATTACATATATTTTTAATATGTATGACCATTTGTCATATTGACCATATGAAACCTAAAATGAGTGTAGTGTCCTTTGTTGCAGGATATTAAGGAATTGATCAACAAAGCTGTTCCTGAAAATATCAGACTAGGTAGAGAACTTGATTTGGAAGAACCTAAAGGTAATCATTTGTCATTATATATACCATAAATGATGTGTAAATATAGCATTTTCTTTTGAAAAATGCACTTTGCCAGTTAATTTTTAATTGTGCAATGTGCTCCTCTTTCCCATATATATCTCTCTTTTTCTCTCTTCTGATATCAGGTATTTTGTATTTTAACCTTTTTATTTTGAAGTTGAAGTTTTGTATGTCAAGATGATAAAAAACAGTTTGAAAAAGTTTTGCCAAAAAACGTGATCTAAAAAAAGAGGAAAAAGAAATAAGTAAGACTATTGAATGTTGGATAGGAGATTAGGCTACCAAAGTCAACAACTGCATGTCAGTGACCAAAACATATCAGTCTGACAATAGGATTTGTCTTTTTTTTTTCAAGCTTTGCTGCATGACTTCTCTTGAATGGACAAGCACTCTGAAGTCATTGTATTAAGATGATCTATTGCTGAAAAAAGAATGTATTGCATTACACCTCAGCTATAGCATAACTGCTCTGATGTTGAATTGTATTAACCAATGTATAACTTCTGATCACAATGCCATTGCTTAGAACACACTAGCATGTGCATGTATGCATACGCACATATATGCATATACACACACATATGCTTGGACACATACAAATTTCCAGTAGATCAATTTTAAAGGTTCTTGACACCTTTTCATGAATATTTGTTTACCCTAATCCTAGTAGTTTTTTACAATGATTTACAAAAGACCCCATTCATGTTTTTATATTTTTGAATTAAAAAAGAGAAAAGAAAAAAGTTTTAATTTCATGCAGAGACCAGGATAACATTTTCAAAAATAAATCTATCATTCAATTTATATTTATTTCTATCTGTTTTAAATCACATGATATAGCAAAAATGTAAACAAAATTAAGTAAAAGCAAACACAGTGAATAATACTTGTGTTATTAGCGTGTTTAAGTAATGCTATGGTTTGTAATATGATATATCTTAATATAGCCAGTATATAAAAGTATACAATAATAGCTGCATGTTCCCTGATGCCCTCAAAGACAATTTATAAGTAAAGGTCAAGCTTACAGGTAGTACCATAGTTTTCTTTGCCGTTATGTGAGTACAAAGTCATTTGGTGTTAACCACCAGTTAACATATTCTGACAATTAACTCTTAAACTCCGTTTAGTAATGAATTTCTTATTTACAGAATTTTCACATATTTGCAATTGTCGAAAATAATTTTGATATTTGATGTGTTTTCCCATTCAGTATTTGTTATTTTTTTAGGAGAACATGAAGTACTTGATCACCTTAAAGGAATTGCCAAAAATAATAAGCTATGGAGGTCATACATTGGGATGGGTTACTATGGATGTGATGTACCCCCAACAATAATGAGAAATATATTTGAAAATCCTGGATGGTAAGAGTATTTAAAATAAAACCAAAATTGAAGTTACTGTAGTTATTCTGACCTATATTGGCTCTACAGGCAGAATGCTTGTCTCCAGTGCAGAATTTTTTTTTTTTTTTTTTTTTTTTTTTTTTTTTT